GTATTATTCAATAAATGCTAAATTATTTATATGTATACAAAGACCCAGACAAGCGCATCTATTTAAATCTGAGGATAAAGTAAAGTTTGACATTTAGTTCATTATAGGCAAATCATTCCATGCCGTATTTGGGAAACATCCTTGACATTTATTATAAAAGGAAAAGACGTACGTTTTCTTAAATACTAATTTAATACGTCTCGGAGACTGAACTGAATTAATAAAATTCCATCTTGACCCAAGTTCTCTATTATTTATACTAACCTTTGTCTGAACTAAAACGCTAAAACACAAGATAACATGTAGAATATTGTGTACGTGGTTGAAAGGAAAAAGGAAAATTCGAAACAAAACTCTACACGTGCAAACAAATACACCTGGCTGAAAATGTAATAAATATAATGGGTTGTTATGATAGTAATAACGTAAGAATATTTAAAATAAACTTTTGTACTATTACAATATTAATTACTAAAATACATAACTTTTGTTTGTGATTTCATTTAGAACACTGTCATTTTGTCATGTACCTATGTGTATTTGGTAATTTGATAAAAAGCTATTTCGTGTATTGCTTTTGAAGTTTGGAAATATTTCTTTAATATTTTGATTCAAAATGTCAGTAATACTTATTGCACATACTCTTTCCAATATAGTTAAAATTGAATTCATGCTAAAATGCGGCGTATGTAGATATTATTGTAATATTACGTTATCTGTGGTATTATCAAAATAGGTGAAGATAATCATTTGATACAATTTGACGGCTCATATGAGGTCACGTGGAACAGTATAAATACCTAATTGATCTTTATTAATTGGCTAGTTAATATGACTGATTTGTCAATTACAAAGCATAACATAAATTTCTGTAAAATAAACTAAGAAAAAACTATTATGCATTCGGGTTCTGCATACATAAATTATGTAAAAAATAAAAGTCCAAAGAACTGATTTCTTATAATGTAATATAACTTAAGAAGAAATAATGCATATATATATATATATATATATATATATATATATATATATATATATATATATATATAATCGCAGATGTCAATCAGAGTCCTCTATAAATAAAAAAGATCAATGTCTCGACATCTGCATAGTTATCGTACGGTAAACACCTGTGTGCAGAATAAAATTTAACCGTAGTCGGACTTGGAGAGTTTATGACGGGTGAGTTGACCGTTATAGGTAAACAAGCGAATAGGAATTAGAATGGTAAACCAAAAGATATACGTTACCTACCTATAGGTAAACTTGGCTAGAGTTAAAAAACTTGAACTAAACTTCATTTAACTAACTTTTGAACTCATCTTACTAACAGCATAATAGAAGGCGGCAGTGATTAGATACAAATTCAGACCTTTTGTAATCGTCGCCCAATAGGTAAATCATAAAAAACTTTATATTTGTCCCAATATAAAACAGCAACATAGTCATATTTATCATTTTAAACACATTTACTAGGAATGTAATTTTCATTATTACAAGCATTTATATTTGTTCTTCCTTCTTTACATTTTATTGTATAATAAATATCCTCATAACTAATACATTCTAGGAAATTTACAATTTTTATTTAGATTTATAAATAGTAGTCCTATTACAATATGTAGGTAATTGCGTGATAAAATAAGGAAGAGTACTATATTAATAAATATTACGAATTTGATAAGTTAATTGTGACTTGCATATCTATACCATATTATAAATTAATAATTAACTAATAGTACAAGAAGTACTTAGGAACATAAAAGAAGTAATGAAAATAGTGGGTTAAATATCTTTCAATTTATACTATTAGCTACACACATTAGTCGGAAAGGTCGTGTCTAAGTATTATATGAATCAAATAAATTATTCCTAATATATTAACCCTTATGTCAAAGGTTAATGAATTACGAGATAAAGACAATATGAATATTAATAGTCAGTATTGCTAGACATATCCAGGAACAAGACGTTACCACATTTATAATTAACTACCTTTACAAATTAAAATATTCTAATGCAATGGTGTTGTTATTTGGTTACGTCATACATTTATCCCGAAGTTTTAAAGTTATAAAAGTTCAAAAGTGAGTATTTGTCTTATTTATTTATTTCGAGTTCAATGATCCAGAAACTGAAACTTTATCATAAACTGGGCTCACATAAGTGACTAAAATGAGTATGAATAAATGCTACTTACAAAGTCTTTCAAGGGTTAATTGAATAGCGTAAATTATACTTAATTTAAACATAGGTATAGAATAATAAATACCCACTACCTAATAACAAAGAAGCTCTGGTATTGGTAGACTAGATTCTAGTAATAATTTGCTATATTCTCATTCAGAATGTCAATGCTGTAATTATATGTAACTATTTCATAAACTATGTTAATGTTATTTATTGTAATTTATTATTACATTAATAAATCGACGTGGTAATTACGCAATTGATTTGTCCCGTATTACACAAAAGCGCCATTGATACATAAGTATCGACATGATCAATGTTTCGTTTAACGAGTTGATTGTTATGATTAAAATCAAAACAACAAGACAACACAAACCCAGAACACTGAATTCTAGATATACAATTAATCACTATTCTCTCTATATTTGAAAATTTATTGATTTATATCAGTATTGTTTCATTTCGAGTTCAATAGAATCATTACTCCTTAGGTACAATTTTAAAGTGCGTTTATAAATTTAGGTACGTTGTTTATAAAGACATTACGATTTAATAACGTAATGTAGGAATTAAATATATATTATATATATAGATATATTTTATTATAACAACTGAATTGGTTAAACATAAAAACCGGTTCTCGGGCTTCAATTAATTATTGGCGACGCAGTCCAGTCTCATCGCTGGTTCTATGTACTTTTTGTGATACTAAATTCAGTGAACGAGTTCACTGTATAACTACAATGACAGTAAATAAAACTGGCCCGTATGGCAGTTTAAATTATAAATTACTATAAAGTCATATAACATATTATCATATATGTTTCAACAATAAATAGCTCATTATTCAGTTTTATGTTTGTATTTTTGTACTCCTCCGTAATAGAAATCTGTACTATTGTAAGTACATAGCTTAAGGGTTTGTTTGTTTGAACGCGCTAATCATTAGAACTTAGCTGGTCGAATTTAAAAAATCTGTTTGTAATACCAAATTATTGAGAAAGGTTCTGTAGGTTAATAATCATTGCATTACGCCACTAAGAATCAGAGCACAAAGGATATAGAAGGAATGACCACTAAGCCAAGAAAAGTGAAACGTTTTGATAATATAAAGTGATATTTTTAGATCGATTTTCTTAAATTCTTCATATTTATTATTAAAAGATTATTTTCTGATTAATTATGGACTATACATTAAATAATTACTTAATGTTCAATCGTTATTGAAACAAAGGGGTATATTTATTATAGGTACGTTACATTCGTTATGAGGTTATCTATTAAAACTAGCACGGAATTACTTCTTATCAGTTATGTATCAATAATCTGGAGTATAATTTATTCCATAGACAAAATTTACTGTAACACATGACACACGACCTATGGCGACACTATAAATAAATAATTAAAATACAGGTGTCCAACCTCGGCAGGGCTAACATATAATACAAAATGAAGTTTAAATTGATCCTGCCCTTGAACTTTTCATCAAGATTTTATTTAGTTCCATTCCGCCATTAATGACTACGTCTTTCAATTACATAAATAAAAATTTAAACTATTTAAGTCAATTACATCTATTCTTCAATAGATATTATTTGAGATTATAAATTAAACAATTGCTGAATGTTTAATAATAATTGAAATTAATCGGTATATTTATCATTCCGCCTTTACATTCGTCATGAGGTTATCTCATAAAGCTGGCACTGTGTTAGGTATGTATCATCGGTTATATATCAATAATCTGGGGTATAATTTATTCAATTGATAATATACTACACACGACACGCGACCTAACGCGACACGTCATAATAATAGGAAATATATAATAAAATAACAGGTATCCATCTCGGCAGGGCCAGCAAATGATATTGACACTATGCTACCGCTTCTCTTACTAATATTATGAAAGCAAAAGTTTGTGAATATGGATGGATACGTGATAAATGGATGGATTGGATGTTTGTTACTCTTTCATGGAACGGATTTTGATGAAATTTTATAGTAATATAGATTATACAACAGAATAACGTATAGGCTACAAATTTCATGCGGATGAAACCACGGGCACAGCTAGTAAACTATAAGTGTGAGAAATTTCATGCCCCTCCGTCTGCGCAACTTTTGTAAAAAGTTGTAAAAAATGTTGGCTTCAGGTATTAATATACAAACAATACAAACAAATAGTTTAAAATGTGCCATAGTTAATATAAAATCTATTTATGTACATAATGCCTATGACAAGTCACTTAGAAGTTGGAACGCTTGTTTAGCAACAAGGCAAGGTCAAGTAATTAATATTTATGCATCCATTAATTATGAATAAACAATTAACAGAATCTATAGAATAATTTTGATTAAACCCCCAATATTAAATACACATACATACCTAATCACTGACACCGTGTCGTAGTTTTTCGCAACAATTTGTACTTGGCACGCGTTTGCAAAACTCACCTTGGGGAAGTCGTAAACCGGTTAGGTCGCCTGTTCTCCATATTTAATTAAATAAAAATATATACTTAACTTACTTTTTTATACACCACCAACGTATAAAAAATTAAGTACTCTCAGAATTTTTCACTCAAATTGTCTTTTTAATAAAAAAATTATTTATTAGAAAATATATTTTTGTATAACATATTTTGTTAATATAACCGAATTATCTTATAACCAGCGAAAATAGCCAATAAAGAAAAAACCTTATCCAAAGGAAGTAATATAACGAGTCTAAGAAGTTAGATTAATTATTGCCGTTTTTGACGTATACAAATAGTTTATCTACATATTCGTATTTTTATTAACAGGGATGGAGCTCACGAGGCTATGCTCACTGAAAGTCAAAAGCCAAAAATTTTAAGTAAAGATAACAGAAAAGACGAAGAGTATGAAGCTCTTCAGAGCTTTCTCCGCAGCATCAGTTCGACTGCTACACTACCACCCTACGTCAAAGGAGAAACATATTCTTCAGTTCGCGGTGTCTTAAACCAGGTACGTAACATTTACTGCATAGCGTAAGTATGTAGAAATTATCTGTTGTGCTGTTATTTTAGAGAACAACTTCAAGCTTCATCGTAATTATCATAATATTCTTTTGTCCCACTGCTGTACGCATAAAACAAAACATGAAGCCGGAATTTGGTGACGAAGAGAGTATGCATGTAGGTTTGTATGTGTTTACATGTTTTGAAACGTTAAGTATAAAAAATACTCTCTTACGAGGAGAGATATGTATCTACGTTTGATATAATTGATAGAATTCTTTCAACTATACTGCATTTCAATGGTTGCTACGAGTGTCGCGTACAAGCAGCAACAAAACGCAACACAAAAGGAGCGTTCTGATTGGAGCGCACACCCATCCAATTCAAATACGCACCGTAATGCAACAGACTTAAAATATCAACCGACCGATCTAACGTACATTTTGTTCACTCCACCAAATTTGTAATAAATAGTATATTTGCCATTAAATTCGAGACTATCAAGCGAAATCTATCATTTCTACAACCCTGTAATCTGCTGAAGACAACCTCACCGACCATCTGAGCATTCGAGCCGCATCATCACGTACCATTTGGACCTTCGAGCCGAACGATCAAGCAAAGAACGAGCGAACCACTGAGAACTTCATCAGATTACTCCACATCAAGACCTAACAACGTCTACAATATCAAGCCAGAACCTTGGGCAGCAGCAACGCATAGTGGGAGACCTGGACAGACGAGATACCTGGCTGATCAACTCCGAGAATACAGCGCATATCGGTACGACCACCAGATATCCTATCCTACCCCTATCCTGTACTTGTGTTCATTATTGTGGTAAACATCTATTGCAGTGTCTGAGACGCAGTGAGTTACCAGTGTTGCACAACAGAGCAGCTTGCCGGCAGCTAGCAACTGCTTCTACTGTTTCATACGTGAGTACTCCACCTTTCACTGTCTACCAATATGAGTGAACAATCATCCACATTAAAGTCTCATTCTAAATCACCCTGTAAAATATCAATTACAGGCGATGACAACACGAATCAGTTAATTCGTGATTTAGTTAAAAAGCGATCAATTATCAAAGGCCGGTTTACCAGATTTCAAAACTTTATCAATACGTTTGAAGTCAATGCAATTTTATCTCGTCAAACAAAGGCAGATTTAAAACTACGAATCCAAAACGCAGCAAATCTGTTCTCTGAGTTTGATGAGCTTCAATCTAAATTAGAAGAACTAGTATTAGAGATAGATTTAGACGAGCAAATCGAACAGAGAGGTCAGTTTGAAGACAGCTATTTCAACACACTGTCTCAAGCTGAATGTATGCTCAGTGGAGAAGATGACGCGTCATATTCCAAATCATGCCCCAATTCTAACGATTCCTTGAAACTTCCAGTAATTTCGGTACCTACCTTCACAGGGCTCAGCGATGAGTGGTTACAGTATAGGGACATCTTCTTATCATTGGTACATAATAATACGAATATAAGTAGCATTCAAAAGTTTCACTATTTAAAATCGTCATTAAAGGGTACTGCAGCTTTGGTTATCGATTCGTTAGAATTTTCGGCTAATAATTATTCGGTGGCATGGGAACTACTCTTAAATCGGTTCAATAATAGTAGATTATTAATACATAACCACGTAAAGGCATTATTTACTCTTCAAACCGTGACTAAGGAGTCGCCAGATCAATTGCGATATTTAATCGACAATATTTTAAAAAATCTACGCGCATTAAAACTATTAGGCGAACCAGTCGATAGCTGGGATACACTAATTATATACATAATCGTATCTAAATTAGACAAAATATCTGAACGCGAATGGGAACAATATAAAATCACAGTTTTAAAACTTTCTGGTAACTCCGAATCGCGATTGACGGTAGATACGTTATTAGCATTCCTAAAAGATCGGGCCGACATGTTAGAAACATTACTTGCGTCGCACAACAATTATAAACACGATTCAAATAATAAACAAATTGCAAACACGATAAAACACAACGTACATTGTAATGTTTCTAGCAATAAGCCACAAATTCACACGAAGCGATCTTGTTTATTCTGTGACAACGGTTATCATCCATTATATGCGTGTCAAACATTTATAAGCACTGATCTAGATTCTAGGCTAAAGTTCGTCAGTGAAAATAAATTATGCGACAACTGCTTGCGACCGGGGCATCGCCCGAATGAGTGCAGGTTCGGTGGATGTAGAAAGTGTAACAAAAAACATAACTCATTGATTCATAAAGATAGTGAAGTTTGCAACTTGTCACCGGTAAGCGAACGGAACACAGCTGCATTATCTATGCACTCTTCATTCACCGAGGCAGGGGGGCGCCCCGCAGCCGCCGTCATAGGCCCGGATCTTAACATTAACAAATGCTCACGCTCATCTACGCACACTAATACATTATGCGCTCAGTATCCCTGTACGCAGCCGGTTCTTTTATCGACAGCGTTAGTCGATGTTTATGACAAATACAATAATATTCACTCTGTTCGCGCGCTTTTAGATTCAGGTAGCGAACGATGTATTATGACGCAATCTTTATGCGATATACTAGATTTACCAATTATACAGTCCACTCAAGAAATTCGTGGGGTTGGTAATTCGATAACACAATCGACAAAGATGTGTGATATTGAATTGAAATCCCGTATTAGTTCATACACAGCGTGCATGCGATGTATTGTATTGCCGCATATCACGTCTACGCTGCCAATGATACCGAAACAATGCGCGCAGTTTCGTATCCCTGACAGTGTGCAGTTAGCAGATCCGTACTTTTATGAATCCCAGAGTATCGATATTTTAATAGGCGCAGATATATTCTGGGATTTATTAAGTAGTGGTAGAATGAGATTACCTAACGGTCCGTTTCTGCAAAATACACGATTAGGCTGGATTATATCGGGTTCTGTAGGTGTAAACACGCAGAATACCGGTCATATCCAGTGTAATTTTACACACGTTATCGATACTCAATCACAACAATTTAAGGACCTTGAAAAGGTTACTAAATCATGTGAGACGCAAACTGATGACCAGCGAGAGTGCGAAAATCCATTCATTACAACTACAATGCGCAATAATGATGGAAGGTTTTGCATTCGCATTCCTCTCAAGTCATCACCACATGAATTAGGCGAATCATATCCTCAAACCCTAAACCGATTTTCATCATTAGAAAAGCGATTACAAAATCATGATTATTACAAATTTCTATACTGCAATTTTATTAATGAATTTATACAACTGGGTCATATAACGCGTGTTAATTTGTGTGGAACCCAAATTTATATAAAACAATTAGTTTGTAATATTAGGTTAGGCTTAGGTAAAATTCCTTATGATGAATTTTATTATATTAACCATTTTAAAATTAACAAAAATATGACTATTTACACTATATTTTCATTATCTTTAAAAATTTTGCCGTTATGTACAAAGATGCATGAGTCATTACGCTGTCAGTTTAACAGTGTAGTGTTCTGGACTGACTCCACTATTGTTTTGGGGTGGTTGCACATGTCACCGAATTTATTACAAACATTCGTTCAAAATAGAGTAGCCGAGATTCACGAATTAACGAAGGAATTACCATGGTTGCACGTTAGTGGTAAGGAAAACCCGGCTGATTTGGTGTCGCGCGGTACATCATTGCCTTATCTAGCCTTTTTATGGTGGAACAGCCTATCATCCCTTCGTGAACTATCTTTCGACTACCACGGTATAGTTTCAAAGTTGAATGCTACTTATCCATTTATAACCTATGGTGTTGATTATGTGGGACCGGTGTTTACATTGAATTGTAAAGGAATGGGCGCTAAAATTGTTAAATCATATAAATATAAAAATAAATGTTTACTTCTATGTTTCATAACATGCACAGTACATTTGAAACTTTTAAGGGATCTATCCACTGAAGCATGCCTTATCACTCTGAAACGATTTATTTCGCGTCGTAGTAAACCGGCCAAATCATTCAACATAACAAAATTAAATTTCGTAGATGCCATACACGGAATTTCAAACTTTCATCTAGTTATTGAAAGACATATCAATTAAGCAATTAAATCAAGTTTTATTCCCCCTGTGTTCTCCTCATTTGGTGAGCTTTTGGATGGTGGAATACGCACAATATGTGACTATATGGCTAAGTAGTCCTAATTCATTTGCCACTTACACAATGATACCCTATCCTAATAACCTTCAACCCTTAAGTCCTGCACACTTCCTGGTTGGTCGTTAGTATGTCAGGATGTGAGGACTGATACAGGGAATTACTCTATCATAATCAAGGAGTTGAGCAGATTTGTCATCAACTTTCGTGCATTTCGGGCACAAAAACACATGTCGGAGCTGCAAACAAGCGAAGACTCAACCGCAGTTCAATTTGGAACCACTCAAGAGCTTCCAAGGCCGGGGGCATGTCGCGTACAAGCAGCAACAAAACGCAACACAAAAGGAGCGTTCTGATTGGAGCGCACACCCATCCAATTCAAATACGCACCGTAATGCAACAGACTTAAAATATCAACCGACCGATCTAACGTACATTTGTTCACTCCACCAAATTTGTAATAAATAGTATATTTGCCCAATAAATTCGAGACTATCAAGCGAAATCTATCATTTATCTACAACCCGTAATCTGCTGAAGACAACCTCACCGACCATCTGAGCATTCGAGCCGCATCACCACGTACCAACGAGAATTAATAATTATTATTGAAACTGAATAAATTATTATTGATGAAAAATTATAATTGCTAGAGAATAATATTGACATGAATAGTAAACTGAGACGCTGCACCATTAAGCTTCCTAGAATAAATAAATTCAAATTATAACAAGGAAGTTTAACCATTCGCAAAAAGTAGATAAGTGTATACCACCTTGAGTAGTAAAATAATCTCGAACAAAAAGGAACATTTCCACTGAATGAAGACGAATACCGACGACTAACAAACCGTTTCAATGTCATCCTTGAAAACTATGATATTTATTACGCTATATTTTTAATCTATACCTAAATACATTTTTTTATGGATACAACAATAATAGGTATTTTTGATAACAGGGAGTTTAAACAAGTGATGGCAGATTAAGGAGTTTCTCTCTGTTTCTCTCATTCAGGGATTTTTTGTGGAATAACGGAAACAGTTGATTTTTAAGATTTGAGGATAAAGCAAGAATGTGGTCCGGTAACACTTGCTGAAATTAATAAAAACATTAAATACATTGAAGTCCTTATACATTGAATACGTCCTAAATAAAACCTAGATCATAACATTGACTATTATGACTGACTATATAAAAATTTTCTTAGATACTGCTGCTAGATGAAATTATGCATGCATGGCTAAAACATTGTGACGCAAAAAAGTTACTGATTAGATACTATTTGCACATACAGTGCATCTATATTCTCACTTAATCAGTATGAAGTCAGTTAAAATGAAATCTATTCCAATATAACTGTTTTGAAATTTCACATTCTTTTGTCTGAAACTGCTTTCAAACCTTAAAAATATATTGTATAAAGATTTCTTTTTTTAAATATAAAGAAGAATTATTCTAGATTTCTTGTAATTTATTTAGAACTAGAACACAATACGTCATCATGTTATAGGGTCGTCATACGTGTTACTAACATGAAAAATAACAACTATATACCTAGAAAATGTATTGACAGACAAGCTGCATCGCCTCATCATTAAAATTGCATCAATCATCAATCACTACATCAATTTCACGCAGGAATATAGGGTAACGCTTGTTTTATTATTGGCATATTTGTCTTCCTATAAATTGAGATACATTGTCTATTTCTATGTTTATAATTCTATTTAGAAACATTTGGAATAAAAACACAACTCGCAAATATTTGATGACATTGCCAATAAACTCTTTCACCTTCAGAGCGTCAGCCAACAAGGGTACATTCGCTAATATTGTTTATAAATTCTCTAATATTGTTTTATCTAGACATCCTGGGTATTCTTAGACTAGAGTGCACTTCGCAACGAGTTGTTCAGATGTGTGTGATTTAGTTGCTATGGTAACTCATAAATTAGAAAAAAAATAACCTTCTAGAACCTGTATTGGTGAACTATGTATTTCTCATTTATAAAAATATATATGTAACATTCATTCAAATTCAACAAAGTTATATCATATAACGTTTAAAAAAACAGTAAAAAATAGATGTACATTACTTTTGTTACCTACAATGACATCGAATGTATATTAAATACAAATCGAATGTATAATAAAAACAATAATAATATACAAACGACAACTTTCCTTACCATACATTTCTACCTATAAAATCTACAAGAATACATATCCTTGTGTGAATGACCATGCACGCGTTCAAGGATAAAAACGCCTCAAACAGGAAATTTATTATTACCTGCGATTTTATTTGCCATAAAAATATATATATGATAATTTCATGCAGCAATTGGTGTGTAGCAAAGTCCAACGGTACAAAGTTTGTTTGACATAATAGAGTAGTGTGGTACTGTGGTTATGTAACAAGTTGCCACATACCTACATATAGTCTAAATTGTATAAATAATTACCTTTTTTTTTAAAAAAAATGGATTTCCAAGGCCAATTCTTTATTATAAAGACACCTAGGTTCTTCGAGTTCGTCTAATACTAATTAATATCTATCTGTAAAATCATTCAATATACATTACGAAAATTAGAACACCACGCCTAATTTTTCATTATACACCTAATATCTACTATAGGTACCTATATACATATTATCTTAATAAATTTTTTATATAATTTAAATTGCCACACAAATAGCCCTAGTTTCTTTTCCATAACTATTATTAATATATACATATCTAATATCTGTAGCATAATCATATCTCTGTTACTATATCATAGTATAATTTCCCCCCCTCCTATTAAAAAAATAGGCCGATAAAAGGAGGAAAAACAAAAAAAGGATGAGTAGCTTTAAAAAAATATTAATTAGTATTTGTAGTTGGTTAATTACAAATTGCTATCATCTCAAGTAAGCTGATATCGCGGCGAAGCAAAGTAACACCAAAGATCAATTGATCCCAATTAAACATACTCGTACTAGACATGTGACCAGTCAGTGTACAGTAGCAACAAAATAAACAAAACTACAAAACTAAGTTTAATTACTAACACGTGCACACTACCGTTCTCAGCATGTACAATGTATAGTATGTAATAATATAGCATTGTTTCGTCTAATTATACAGTTTTTTTTCTTTCATTACTTAGCACAGAACGATTTAAACAACCAATTAAATTAAGAATGGTTAGGTTAGGTTAAATGATTAGAGTATATTAAATATTTGTATTTATTATGTATACTATATTATTAATAGGTAAATTTAGTACGTTTAATAGGTAAGTACTTAATAAGTACTTCTCTTCTATCTCTCAGAGGCTCTTTATTTTTTATATAAGTAGTACTTATATTTATGATATTATATGTTACAGTGGAGATCAATGTAAACTGTAATTTACAGAGCATTAATTAATTTTTAAAACTGTTCACAATAATAATATTTAATAAAAACAGACAATTAAACATAGAATGAGTACCATGGACTATACTGTTTACGTTTTTAATTGTAAATGCTGTTGATATTTCACAACAAATGATAATCCATGAGTGTGATAGTTTTAGTAGGTATATACTAAATAGAATGTAACACTTGCTTTTAAATTTAGTATAAAATAAATTTGCAACTAATTATTTTGTAACCAACCATTCATAAGCTATAAAGGTATAAATATGACAATAAATATGATAATAAATATGACAATATAACCACAATAACACCAAACAATGTTTGCATGTTAGGTACTACAAAATACGAGTAGGTACATACGGTAAACATTAGTATACGTGCACTAATAAGTAATTAACTCACAAAAACGATACTGAGTTATATTAAAATCAAATATACACGTGTCTTCATTCTTATAAGAATGAAGGTGTACGAGATTTTTGTATTGTACGCTGAAAAAAAACATTCATCTACGCTAAGGACCTACTGCTGTTGAAAGGCTAATAGTAATTCGTGAATTTTAAAACTATGAGTAATTTCTAGTATTTCAAAATCTCAAAGCAATTCCAAAATTTCTCATAGTTTAAATTTTTTTTACACCTTTTTATAAGAATGAAGCCGTACCTACTAAACAGGTAGACTAAACACGTAACATGCAAACATTGTTTGGTGTTATTTATGTTATTTGTTGTCATGTTTATATATATAGCTATAGAATCTAGTTGATTATCTATTAGATATAGTTTTTATGAATTACTATTAGAACAAAATGTAGTAGAGTTATTATCTCCTATATCCTAGAGGAGTTTAAACGCCGTTCTTTTTTTCATTTACCTATATCATGTCCTTGTCGCTATCGTTGTATATTCACTCGTTTTTTTTTAATTTGTAGTAATTTCCTTATTTCCTTAAGGTATAAATAAGCTACAAGGTTTATTTGTACCTTGCAATGTCGTACATACCATAAGTTATAAGTAAATATTGTAATAGATACTAAATGTCAGGATCACAGGATTCAATCATTATTAAAACGAAAACTACAAAAATATTTTCTATGTCTCGGCACGAAAGTTCGCTATAGAAGCTACACTCACTAATTCTGTTAGCATAAGTAAGTACCTACATACCTATTCAATTATATTCAATACATACTTACATAAATAATACTGTACATACGATACTTAAATGCAGTACCGTTTGAAAATGGCTTATTTGTATAATTCTATTTCTGTGATTCCAAAACGGGTTTTATTTTTTAAAGCCGCACAGTTTTCATCTTATGGTGGAAAAAAATTCCAGTACCAATTTAAATTACAAATGGACATGTATTTACGTCATTAGATACCCAACACTACAAGTGTCGGTCATAATATCAGACGAGTACATAAATACCTAATAATATCGCACTCGTCGAATCGTAAGCGTGACTTGTACTTTTTTTATTCTTATCTACCTTTTTTTAACCAATACGTCATGATTTAAAATAAATATTTTAAGTGGAAATTACGAGTCCAATCTAACGAGAATTAACAAGTTATTTAATTTCCTTACTTAACCTAAAGGAAGCAGATGTACTTGTAGGTACATACATACTCTTAATTTATACGATACTCCTATCTTACACTGTGGTAAACAGAAATAATAGGACATCAACAGACCCCTATCATTCCATCCTATTCATTAATTAATCTTAATATATTTATTAATATAAGCTCGTTGGTTCCGATTAAGCATGTACTTTGCTATATCGTCATCGTTTGGGCGGGTGGCCTCTTTGGTATCGCTCCTTGGTAAAGTGGGCATTATGTGCCCGCAGTTTTTATCTTCTGATGCCGTGCCGGCCGGTTTCGTTAATTCCGTAACTGCCCACTGTTTTTTTTTTATTCATTTATTTCGGATATGTATCCACATGTATCGCAGATATGAATAAAATTAAATTCATTGCTATAATGCACATTGTTCGCATGCTCTACCTATACATCTTACGGTGGCTCAGTAAATTTATTACTACAATCTTATTTCAATGTCTAACTGCAATAGAATTTCGAATTAATCTTATTATATTGTTACAGGGTCTCATAACATGTGCTGTATTAATATTGGCCGCAGGGGCAGGCCATCCCATTGGGTTTTCCGCCGTTGCTCTACCACAACTCAGAGACGAGAACTCTACCATGAGAATAGACGAGGAGATGGGATCATGGATAGGTATTTTAACTTAAAGATTATCTCTTATTGAATGTATATTTACAGAGAATAAATAGGAAATAACATAAAAATAGTCAACGTTGCTCTCATAGGCACTACCGCATACAGTTTAACCTTCTATGATATATAAGTATCACTCTTAATGATGCTCACTGGCTACCTGACCTCATACTCATACATATCTGCTTCAATACATTGATAAGTTGTAACAGGGTTGTATCAGCATCACAAAAAATAATCACAAAACCGTAATTTTACCTGCTATGGAATCCCATATTAGGATTAAAGATTGTTATCAAATCTTTATTTTACTTTAACTCGTACTTTCATTTGTATTATCTAGGTAACTCTTAATAGCATTTCTTTTTTATTTTTCTTCTTTTTTGTGAGTTAACTACTAACTATACATACTTATATAGTAGCTAAAAGTCTTGCCTACGAAAATAGATTGTTGTATTATAGAGCTTATTTAATTATTAAAATAGACTCTATTTGTCATTATATTGTTATATGTTAACTGGTGAGTATCTTGTGAACATTATACCCACTTACCGTTTTTATTTCATTTATCAGCTGAATTATATCAGATGATAAATTTCAATCAATGCGTTCTCTACTCAACATCACTTACACGTGTTGTCACTTCTCATAAATCTTGATAACGATTACAAGGGAAATATATATCACTTCCTGTATGTAAGGCATTAGAACCACTTATTATAGACATACTAAAGGACATACATATTATATTTCTCATTGGGCATTGAATAGGTACTGGTTCTCATTAACTGTAATCAACAAGAGATCCGGTTCGCTTCCTGAATGTAGAAACAAAAGGTTGTCAATGCCTGAAAATAATATCCTTACTAACCATAACTTCCTACAACCGTTAAAGTCTAAATCAAAAACATTGATTCATATAGGACATTTTTCCTACTTATTTATATTATATATAGTTTTAATTTCATCACTATTATTTTTTTAATCTTACTGTATTCAATAGTAGGTATGTCATATACCATACCTACTATCAAAATGACTATATTGAATAATTATAATATCGCCCTAATCAGAAATTTGGTAGTACCTAGGTTAAGTGCTAAATATAAATTACTTCGAAAATATCATAGCTTTAAAAAGCATAATTCAAAATGTAATTAGGTTTAAATGTTCAAGATTTTAATCCCAGGGCAATCAAGTCGAAGAGATTTTATTGACTAGTTCAAATTTGGTAATTGTCAAGTTGCTGACATTTGCTATGCTTATTCAAATCCAACGAATAAATAAATCCAAAGAACTAAGTACTAATAAGAAAAATAATATCCATCTCCTTATAATAAGTAAATACAGGTTCTTTTTTTTATACATCATCATCATCATCTCAGGCCGGAAGACGTCCACTGCTGAACAAAGGCCTTTTTATGCATATGGATAACTAATTAAACTCATCAATCACAACAAGTAATGGCACCGTTAGTAGCATAACGATATAGAGTTAGAAACTATAATAATATTGTATGATCGGCCTGGAATCCGTTATAGTTGATTCCTGGTAAATTCGCTACGATGAACTGACTGACCTGACTTATGACTCATCATATCATTCGCAACTGTTCTTTTTCTTCTCCTACGTACGTAAGCCTTCCATTGCCATCCATAAAAACCGCATCTGTTGCCACAGAACACTTAGATGCAATGTCTCCGAACTCTGCCATTTCAATCTCTAACCATAAGTGATTATAATAGGCAAGCTAGAGTTACTCAGGCAGACGACGATAATTTAGTTCTTAATTTCATTGGGTGTAAGTAGTAGTAGTGTAGTAGTATTGGCCCATTATCTCTATTATAATTATCCTTTACAGAGCTGACTGACAGCAAGTGAAAGCAATTAATATTAATTCTACAAGTACTATAATCCCTCGTTAACGCTTGTCGCTCAAACTCACGTAACCGTGCTCCACTGAAAAGTCACGGTCAACACGCTACTGTCACGTATTTACTTCAGTGTTAGAATATACTGTATTTCGTAGTAGTAGATACCACCTAGCTTCTTAAAGACTACCGTCATAGCGTCCTTTTCCTTTTTTTAGTTCCAACAGCGATATAAGTAGGTAGTTTATAGTATAATAGCTGTCCCGGTCCCCGAATAAATTAAAATCGCTATTAAAAAATGGGGGTGATGGTAGAAGTCTGAAAATTTAGGGTATTAAACCCTAAATTTTCAGACTTCAGTATTAAAAAAAAATAACAACTAAAAATTTAATTACAAAAATAAAATGTTAGGAGTAGGTAACCCTTACCACTTAGAGGTACGAAAAATTGATAGTAGCCGATTCTCAGATCTACTGAATTATACATATAAAATTTAAATAAAAAAAATCGGTCAAGCCGTTTCGGAGGAGTTACATTGTGACATGAGAATATTATTTTTATATTATTATAGTATATAAGGTAGTAGGCGATAATTCTACCATAGATAACCTCGCTGATCTATGATTTAATACACCATCTTACTTCCAATGGTCATATGTTCGATCATTCCATACATAAGTCAAACATTTGTAATATAAATATATAATGTACTAAAAACAGCATTAAAAGCTGTTTTTAGTACATTATATATTTATATGTATTTACAAAAGAAACTATATTTAGGCATCTAATTAATAGCAATTCAATTCGTATGCACTGCTCTACCAGTCTTATAATAAAATATATACCTATAGGTAAAAAACAATAATTATATTGAAATAGTAGTAATTCTAACTACGGTATACGTCAATTCATTGAAACAAGACTAAAAGTCTAAGTGAAACCTACTCTATTTATTCTCTTAAAATTCTAGTCTTTACTTATCACAAGTCTCGATGATGTAAATGTGTGTCATACACAAAAGTGTGTACAAATTAAACTAAATCAAGTATACTATTCCCATATATCTACTTACAATTTTTATGAAATCCTTAGGCAATATACTTGTCTCTAAACTGGATAGTAACGATGTATCATCGTTACTAGATTATTTATAGTTAAGTTTTCCTATATTTTAATTATGTTAATTACTAGCTGTGCCCACGATTTCGTCGGCTTGGAATAGTGACCTTGGATAGCATTTTTAATTATTTTACAAATAAGACACGCACTTTGACGGATTTCCATACAAACTTTCATTTTTATTTTACCCCTTAAGGGGGTTTTTACAAACTATAAAGTCATATTTATTTATATTTAATTAATAGCATTAAACTAAATTTCATGCTTCTAGCGTTAAACACGACAACACTTCCATACAACCTTTCATTTCCTCTTTCATCCGCTTACAACCCTTTTATCGCATTAAAAAGTTGTCTATGTTCTTTCTCAGGCTCTAGACATATGTGTACCAAATTTCATTTAAAACGGGTTCAGTAGTTTTGGCGAGAAAACGTGAGAGACATACAGGCAGATTGAGTTACTTTCGGATTTATAGATATTATTAATAATGATATAATCCTTACACTCATTTTATAATCTTAGTACCAATATGTACATACTATTGAAAATGTTGCGAAAAAACACGTGCCATATCTAAAAGTTAAAATCTATATGAATAACGATCGCATGTCCAGAGATTGTCAGTAAACCGTGTAATTAGTATGCCCCTGGTATGAATACAAATAAGTAGTTACGTAGGTAACAATCACATGGCATTTCAGTTGTAAGAAAAACAATACAATGAAATTAAAACTGGATGATACTCACATCTTCGACCGAGCAGATACATCTAATTCTTTGGTTATATTATTTGAATTCAATGGTTATCTTCATATTTTTCATATTTATCCTTCATATTTTTTTTCTCGTATTTCTAATCTGTATTATTCTGTGCTTGTAGCTTAGAAAATAATATGTACCAATAAACTATTGTTTATTCTCCAATCACAACAATGTATATGATAGCTACTAGTTCCCATTAGCAACAATCCCCTTGGATTGGCCAAAGCTAGGTTTGTTCAAGTCTATAACAATGCTTACCACTTTTCAATAAAGGTGCATTAACTGATTGCCATATCAAATCAGCTATTATGTAAGCCAACAAACGAGCATGACATAAAATGAAGCAAAGAAAAAATCTCTGTGAACCTCAGTATTTGCTAAACAAGACAAGTTAGGTTTTGTATGAGAAACGAAAATGTTTTAAATTAATCACTACCTATAATTGTCGGCAGCTAGTATACATTCAGCAGCTACGCCCCTGGGTTCGATGTTGTCCGGCCCTGTAATGGAAGCAATTGGTCGTCGTCGAACATTGCAAGCGTGCATATTGCCACTTATCTTAGGATGGATTATCATTGGCACTGCCGCTCACCATGCATTGATGCTTCTTGGCAGAATTGTCTGTGGGTTTGCTGTAGGCATTATGGCAGCACCCTCACAGGTATGTATTTGTATTATGATACTCAAACTTTATGTAGGTATAATTACAAGAACACTAGTATTAGTTCAATTACTTGTTGTAGTCAAAACTCTGATAAAAAAATAGAGGTATGGGATAAAAAACGTGTCGTACTAAAGATACTATATTGTATATTAAGTTAAACTAAAGTTACTAAAGTAATAAGACTGAAATAAGAGGTAAGTAAAACAGATTTTAAAGCATTTTTCTTACGTTTGACCCAAGAAAAAATGTTCGATAATATAGATATACATAAAAATTTTAAAAGTATAATAGTAATATTAAAAATGTAGTTGTATTTTGTTTTAATCATTACATACTCTAATTGTTTTCGCGATATTTGTGGATTGCATACAGTATACGTCAAAATAATTACTGGTGGTATATAGCATCTTTCAATCTCTAAGCTTTAATTACAAAGAACTACGAGTGATGGTAGAAGTGGAGTGGTGGTCATATCATGTTGACGATGACAAATAGCTACTTGTACGATATATGGGGTTGATGCATATGTTTTCTTAGTCTCGCATTTGAGTCTCTGTGTGTAAACAATCAAAAATACTGTAACATCAGTAAAGGTATCCCTAATATTTTTACTATTCTAGTGCCTACTTGTATAGCGGAACACTCTGTCCCAATGAACCGTAACATATCTAACAGTTAGCTGTTACAATAGCTGAAGCAACAACACACGCATTGATCTTTCAAGGACATAAGTGAAAAATCACTCACCACTGCAATGCTGCATATATATTTAGTAAAATTAATATAATTTTTATTTTATTTGAAATAATATCTTCCACAGGTTTATCTGGGCGAAATATCAGAGCCGAGACTTCGTGGTTTACTCATAGGAACGCCATTCGTGGCCTACTCACTAGGAGTGTTATACGTATACGCACTAGGCGGTGCCCTACCATGGAGAACAGTGGCGTTCCTATCTATCGTGCTACCCATCTTGGCATTCGTGGCGTTGTGTTTCTCTCCTGAGAGCCCCACGTGGCTTGCGCGGCGTGGACGTTTCCACGACGCCATGGCCGCTATGTCATGTTTACGAGGCAACTCTGAAACTGTAAGTCGTTCATTATTGTAATTATTATCAGTTTCATAATTGGCTTCAATTTTAAATATTCAATCAACGGTAAGTATTCACCCATCTATGATAGTGTATGTATGATAATGTCTACATCTATGGTAGAGTCAACTGACGAAGCTATTAAAATATCTTTATTATCATTTATTTTATTTTCCCCTTTTTGGTATGGTATGTATTTTTGATTTTGATTTCAAATACACGATAAATCTATACGAAGCAATATTTAGCATAAATATGGTGAATAGTTATATACCCCTCCTATGATTAAAGTTATCTTTTAGTAATTTAATTTTAATGTTTATTTTAGTACTAGGTATAAAATAGAAATAGCAATTAAACATGTATATACATGCATATTTCAATACATGTAACAGTAGTTTGTATATCATAGGTACTTATTTGCTTCTGTTATTATGTAAAAGTTTACTTATTCGGCGTTAATAATACAAATATCCAGTCAAAAACCACGTAGAATGCTCGTAAAACTTAACCAGAAGAAAGTACAAGAAATCAAATTGAAAACGTAAGATCAAGTACATTTTTTTACGTTTACACTAAACTTATCACTTATATATTTTAATTTTAATAAATATTAAAGGTAACGTCTTAATAAATATATTATTTTCTGGCTTTAAGCTTGGTATATGCTTTCCTAACTGACCTAGTAAACCATGTACGTACGTATGTTATACTCACTTATGTACATTAAGTTTTGTTTTGCTCATTCCGAAAACTATTGAAAAAAATACTCGACGATGATTCCGCCAATAAATTAAATGATTTTTTAATGAGCTCAACAAGAGTCCACTTACAATTGAAGAGTATGTTCGTGAACTAACCGGCTTTATGAAATTCAAACAAATGTACGTACAAATATACAACCTATAATACATCGAAGACTCATTCATTGTAATGCTATTCTATAAGAATAAATATATTAGGCCTAGATCGGGTTTAAGTATTAAAAGCCAGCCTGTAATTTAATACTCATTAAGTAATTTTAAAATATATGTTTATAAGGTAACTTATGGAATTTAATAGCATGGTACTTATCTACTTATATGTCATCAAATAGTAATCATTGGTCGGTTGATCCCATGAATATAATTCAAGAATACCTACCTAAATATTAACGATATCATTGCTGAATTAAGGTATATGCGTAATTTTGTTGTTAATTATGACTACATTTAACTCTATGTACTGTATTCAGTAAAAAATTGAATAATTTTTATATTTTTAGTTAATTTACGTTTTTTTTCAGTAAATGAGTGTGTATAGATGAGACGACATTTTAAATTTGTAACGTCCACGTTCAGTTGAGGCTTTTCTTTTTCATAACAGTGATCCGCTTGCACTAAAGGTATATCCTGGCAGATTACTGTTGAAAGATAAAACGATGAGGATGAAATTTAGCCAGTTAGGGATTCGTAGCGAATAAATCGTGACGAATTCCAGTAGGATCCCATAGAAGTTGACACGACATTGTTACCAATTTCATCGCTCGTCCATACCACTTACAATCTTCTTTGTTAACCATTAAAACATCTATAGATGTTTTAATGGTCTCACCTATAAATTCTACCAGCAAGCAGACTGTTTGAACAATTTAAGTTACGTAATGATACGGATAATTGTCATTATTCTAAGTAAAGTCTAAACGTTTATGGATTAGGTATACCTAAACAATTACCATCGATCATGACATTGTTTACATATGACAACAGAGTAACCTAATAAATAAAATAAATCAAAATGTTACTAAAATAAAAAAGGGTACAGATTACAGTTGTTTTTTTTCAGGCCCAACGTGAACTCCATGAATTGATATCAGCACGCGAGAAAGAGAAAGCGAGAGGTGAAGAGAGTGTTAGATTCTTCGCGACAGTGACTCGTGCACCAGTCCTTAAACCACTGCTACTTATTAATGCATTCAACATGCTGCAGATCATGTCGGGAAGCTATGTTGTCATATTTTATGCTGTAGATATAGTAAAGGGCTCTGGTGGATCACTAGACCCACATGTAAGTATCTACAAATGACTTATATAAAAATATATTAATTACTAGCTGTTCCCGCGACTTTGTTCGCGTAGAATATAATTTTATTTTCTAAACTAAAATATTTTTTCTAAAATAAAAGTAGCGTAATCTACTCTTTATTACATCAGGTGCCTGCCAAAAAAAGTCCCGTCAAAATCGGTCCAGCCATTTTCGAGATTAGCCAGAACAAACAGACAGACAGGCAAAAATTGTAAAAAATGTTAATTTGGTGTATATGTAACGTGACCATTTATTTCAAAACGGGACATTTATTATATCTATTAATGTAGTCAATAAAAAACAATTTATTTCAATCTTTAAAAAAGTATTACACTCTAAAAAGGGAGACTCATATATAAAAGAATAATAATAATTAACTCTTTATTGTGTACACAAAATAAACAATATATATAAGTAATTACAATAGGCATTCTTCACGCTATAGACGGTTAAACCTAGAAGAGAGAACATATCGTCGATTAAATAGAAAAATGACATTTTTATATATTTAGCACCTTTTATATAATTCAATTAAAATACATTATCTAAATACTTTTAAAATTATATATGATACTTCTTTGTAAATTTAAAACTTTAAAAGGAAAAATAATTTAAATTAATTTAAAAACTTTAATTGCTTGTCTACAAGACAATATAAAAATGGCACGTTTTTTATATTCACCTTAATTATCAACAATAATCTACATCACAACCGGCCCGCTCGACTAAACATATTTTCACCGAGTTTCCAAAAACGGGACAATTTTGCGTCCCAGAGTTAATTTCGGGGACACCGGGACTTGTTGAACAGTACGTTTAAAACACGTCTTGTTATGTATATGGCATATTTATATTCATATGTATGTAGTAAAAAACTGTTATTTCAATGTTACAAACAGACACTCTCACTCATTTTATTTACATGTATATATAAGATTTAGCCTCAGACGGTTAAACTTAAGAATGACACAATGATGGATATATATTTAGCTATGACAGCTTCAGTAGTCTAGCGGTTTAGCACACCGCCTTAAATCCGATGATCGTGGGTTCAATTCCTCGAACAGTACAAACATTTGTTTGTATACATGATTGTCTGTATAGATGTGGATGTTTACTATGTATATTATGTATCTAATTACAAAAAAATATGTATTTATATACCAGTTGTCTAGTACCCATAACACAAACTCTTCTTAGCTTGGGTCTAGATGGCACTATGTCAATAGTTAAAAAAATATATATAAATAATATATATATATACATGTATTGTTATTTCTATTACAGATGGCTGCAAATGCAACGGCTTTAGTCCGACTAGCCATGACAATAGTTGCGTGCATACTACTGCTGAAGGTGACTCGGCGAGGGCTGGTGCTGGTCTCTGGCGCCGGAACAGCCTTGTGCACTCTTGGCCTAGCCATCGTACTGTCACAAGGTCCCGGCTACGGATTCCTACCTCCCACCCTCATTCTCGGCTACGTGGCATTCAACACGTTAGGTTTCTTTTTATTACCAGGGTTGATGATTGGGGAATTATTGCCCACTAAAGTCAGAGGTCTGTGTGGTGGTTACATATTTTGTCTTTTCAATTCAGTCCTATTCGGTTTCACAAAGTTGTTTCCTATAATGAAGCGCGCTATCGGAATGAGCGGCGTGTTTGGTTTGTTCGGCGCGTCTGCCTTACTCGCCACTATAATACTTTACCTCATGCTACCAGAAACTAAAGGAAAATCATTAATACAAATTGAACAGTATTACCAGAAACCGAACTTCTTCTGGTTAACGCGGAAGAAAACTGATAGTCCTAATGTGTGAATCACTAGAAATTCGTATTGAAAATTTGGTTTCAAAGTTTGCTTCGGTTTTGAGTGATTAAGTAATTAAGTGATTCAACATCAAACACTACTTACTAGTTTTATTATATCATTTACAATTTAATTTTTAGACCCTGACTATTGTTTACTCACGTCTCAGATATATGTATTTAAGATATTCTCGAATATTTGAAGGTGAATCTTTGACACGGTGATGGGCATTAATGGAAGAGAGCCGGTCAAGATTTTTACATTACAATAAACCTAATAAGGTATTAATCAAATAGACTATCTCTATATGCTTATTATTATAAGAGTATTGTATTGTGTCTAAATTATCGTCCAATATCTGGTATTTAGTGTGTAATATTTAATTACCGCAAAGTATTATAATGTTCAATCAGACCTATACATTTTGGTGTTTACTATTTACAAAGGCAATACATATAATATCTAAAAATTAAGAGAGATCGAAATGTCTTCATGCTAAGATTTACTTATAAATCAATTTTTAACTATGTAAATGTAATTAATAACTGTGATGTGTAAACAAGTGGCTTGTTCGAATTGTATATTGTACTTATTTTTCAGATGACACATTTAAGTAGTGCATTTAATGTAAACTATAAATTTATGTTATGCAGGATTTACATATGCAATAACTATTCAATGTCTGTAAAGCGTTTGTAAACATTTGACGGTTTTATAAAGTGCATGTAAATCCAGCATTACATATATTCGTGATATAATATGTATTTGACTTGTTTATAGTTAAGTAAACATATATAAGGGCGCGAGATATAACAGTGACGTTATTGAGTACCACGAAACAACAAATGATGTACTATGGAAGCTCGTCGTTACTATATACTTGAGAAAACAATCATTTTATATTACGAGATTTTTATCTGTGATCTAAATAATGGCCGTGTTGTTAAGTACATAATAATAACTTACTGTATCATGTACTTATGAAGAAAATATTTTGTAATCGCATTAACAAATAGAATTTTACAAATTGTGATAAAAATATAACAAATAAATAATATACATGTTTTCTGTAATTTTCTTAATTCTTTATTCACTTTATATACAATAAATAAAATACACTACACTTAAGTCTACACTAGGGTTCACCGGGAATTCTCGACCCGAGAATTCCCAATTGGGTTTTGTTCCCGGGAAATCAAGCTCGAGAAAAGTCGAGAACTCGAGAAATCAAGTACCTATATAGAAATTAAATTGCCGTTTGTTGTATTGCGTGGCGGCGCAATAATTTAAGATATTAAGGTTTTCTTCCATGTATTTTTTTTTTGTTTTACAGAAACTATTTTTGTTTACAAGTTTAAGGTAGATTTTTTCTAAATAACCAGCCAAAAATGGTGCTGTCATTATAAATATAAGTCTGAATAATATTGGGTCCTAACATATGAAAGTGGTGTTTTGTAAGGGAGTAATCTGAAGTATTTTTTTTTTCAAAATATAACATGTTTATTTAATCAAACTATGTACCATTGCTATTTATGCACTTTTGCCATCTCATAGGTACTTCATTGATCCCTTTACTGAAAAAACATTTGAACGGGAACATTTGGACATATCAATAAAATCTTTGAACTTTGGACTGCCCCATCGAATTTGAGTTTTTTCTCAATCAGTTATCCAAATTTCGAAAAAAATGGTAATCTGTTGGAGCAAGATCCGGGGAGCAATTGTAAAGTCTTAGACATTACAATTGAATCTCTTCTTATTTGGTAAATGTCAGTTGTACAGTGTGTGGTTTAGCGTTGTCCTGAAGCAGCAGTAGCCTTAACTCGGTTGTTTAGTAGCTAGCTTTACCATTATGGTTTCTCAATTGCTGTGCCGTAATCATCTAGCCAGATTTAAGAAAGGTGAAGTGAACAACACCGGAACTAGTCCACTAAACGCTCGCAAGTAACTTTTTTGGGTCAAATTTCGCTTGGGGCAGGTTTTGGTTGGTTTACCAGGGTTCAGCCATTGCGATGAGCGTTTCCAATTATCATACAAGACCCACATCATCACAGGTAATGATTCAGTTTAAAATCCCTTTATTATTATGCCGGTTGACTAATGTAACGCAGCGGTTTACGCGCGTTTGTCGATCGAAACGCGAATTGTCTACTCAATTCATGAGGGACCCACCTTTTAAGCTTTTTCACCCTCCCAATTTGCTACAAGTGGATTAATACAGTTTTGTCACTAACACCGCAACCTGCAACTAACTCGGACGTGGTTTGCGATGGATCTGCTATAACAATTGCCTTCAATCCTTCATTACCAACCTTGGACTCCAGCCGCCCACGGGGATTATTTAGCAGGTCGAAATTTCCAGAACGAAAAAGTTGCAACCAACAATGCATTGTGTTTTCTTTTGCGACACCACCACTATACACATCATTAATCCTTCGAGCCGTTTCTGCAGCACTAGTGCTATGGCGGAACTCGTGACTCGTACTTGTAAATGATATTTTAAGTTTTCCATTTTGTAACACTCAGCTTACAAAATGGAAAACTTAAAATATAGCGGTATAAATTTGAAATTGAAATTTCTAACCAAAGAGGAGATATTTAAGATCAAAGTGGCCAGTACGACAAAACGCTAATTTCATACGTAACCTTATATATTTGAGTATTTTTAAAAAAAATTGCTTATTCATAATATGTATAATGTTTTTAAATATACCAATCCAATAAGGGTTTTATAATTAATTTTATAGTTAAATTTATATTTAATATTTAACAAAAAATGCAGTGGTTTTCGTAACAAATGAAACCACTGAGTTTTTTGAAAGGAACCAAATAATATTTAAATGTAAATTTCTCGACAACCCGAGAAGACCCGAGAAATTAACCTCGAGAATTCTCGAGACCCGAGAAATGAAAATCGAGAAATCATGAACCCTAGTCTATATCAATTGATCTGACACCTATTTTTAAGCCGCCATAACATCAAGAAAACTAATATTACTATACACAGTTAGTTCTGTTACAACCTGATCCCATTGAACAATATAGGTATTTTGCCATCATGATAAATATTAGTCGTCTGTGTCGTCTTGAAGTGTAATCTCAATTTTAAGAGGCACTTTAACTGTGTTTACTATACAATCAATTGTCACTTATTTAGAACCATTGAATATTTTTATTTCTAGCACTCTGGCACTTACATGCTTTACGTTTGCTACTTTGCAAAACACATAGCTTTAACGCGGTTTTCTAATGTAAAATGACTTACGACTGAATTTGGCCAAATTACTGAAATACTAGACTTTCTGACACTGTGATAGTGCTCTTTTTTATTACTAAAAAACAGAAGACCTTTTGCTCGAAAAATTACAATGATGGATGTTTGTTACTCTTTCAAGCAAAGCAAAGCAAACTACTAAAGGAATTTTAATGAAAATTTACTATAATATAGTTTATATATCAAAACACATAGACTATAAACTTCACGCGGGTACAGATTGTTAAAATAAATATGTAAGAGTACACTAAGTTCACCAATCAGTAGTAATCACTTCCATGTTTGTCTACTAGTCAATGTAGAGTTATTTTAACTCTTGTTCACCCGAGCGGCTGTGTGAGGTAATGAGACAGCTGTGGTTGATGAGAGGGGGGCTGCGCCTCCGGCAGCCGCTGGTAGAGGTGTGGGCGAGAGGCGCATCCCGGGCACACATGCAACGAGCCACCGACCACGCCCTCGCACTCCCAACAATAGTGCTCCGTACACCGGTTGCACCGGTAGATCTAATGAAAATAATCATAATAATTATCTTTATTGTAACTCAAAACCAATATTATAAAATCTAGGGTAGTGTAACGATAACAGTTTATATAAACATAAATGATTGAATTAATTTTTATTTTGTTTAATTCCGCTACTATTAGTATGTTCGAGAATACAATACAAACATTCAGTGCGGAAAACGGATTACCGCTACTGGTGACCTTCCCCACTAGTGATAAAACGCAGACCGTTATTAAATCTACCATATTACAACACGTGTTGCGCCTCTAAACGAGGCATTATCAGGCAATGAATACTATGCTAACTATGACTGAAAATAAATTATTTTCAATCGAAAACATTCGAAAATCGGGAAATTTATTTATTCCAAATTTCATTCTTCTGTGTAATTGTATATATTATGTTTTTATTCATAGAAATAATTATTTAACAAATGAATGTTACAAACATTTGCTATAGTAAAATGGCTCATTTCATCTCTTGTCAATGTTAAGTAATTACTACCAGCAAGTGCAGTAAGTATAGTATAGTTTCAATCTTTGTTTCAACCAATTTTTTATCAAAACAGAAACCCAACCCAACCCGAAAGTTCGATAAATGTCATCAAAATTTATTCAAACAATTTCTTCTTTTACGACGGCGGCTTGTCAATTACTTTTAAATTAATTACATGAGTTTTTATTTTGATAGCTGTATTAAATAACCGTAAAGTCCGTTATTTACCTGTTTATCCACATCTGTGAATGACCTCAAACAAGCAAAACAACTTTGTGCTTGCCCTTCATTTTTTAATTCTTCGTATGGCTCTACTGGAAACAAATGGTGATATGATCTGAAACAAGAAAACAAAACGATTTTGTTAATTAATTGTAATTGTAAATATTACTTTTCACGGAAACCATAAAATATGGCTGTCGTACAAAACTGTGTAATGAAGTTTTTTTATATAGCATATGTTTTAGATTAAGATGATACACAAAAAATATTATGGAAATTATAAATGAGAAAGTTTATGAGGTTGGATAAATGGTTGGTTGTTTTGTAATAATAATAATAACTCTTTATTGCGCATACATAAACATAGGACAGTAAGTACAAAACAATGAAAATAAATGTTTTACAAAAGGCGGTCTTATCGCTATCAGCAATCTCTTACAGAGAACCCGGTGTTAACAGAGAGTATTTACATAAAGAGAGAAGGTAGGAGGCGCACTAAACACTCTATTTATTATATATACATATAATAAATAGAGTATTTTACAACAAACATACAATAAACATACATTTTATAAACATAAATAAATAAACTTACACACCAATACATACAATATACATACATATACTACATAATAATGAATGAGAGGATGTGTTATTATTTAATAATTTTTGAAAAATGGCATATGATTGTGCTGATCGAATGGGAAATGGTAAGGAGTTCCAGAGACGAATAGCTTGTACAGTAAAAGAATCAGCGTAATATTTAGAAGAATGAGGTGGGAAGATAAGACAGAGGCTTCTTGTGCTGCGTAATTCAGAACCCGGGTGTTTAGAATGGAACTGAAAGTTCTTTTTTAAGTATTGAGGAGTATGAGGGTGGGAGAGGATTGTATAAAGGAGGGATAGAAAATGGTAGTTCCTGCGAAGACGAATGGGAAGCCATTTGAGTTGTTTGCGAAATTGAGATATGTGGTCATACTTACTAAGACCAAATATAACTCGTATACAAATGTTTTGGAGTCGCTCAAGTTTATTCAATTGTTCTTCAGTAAGATTTACATAGCAGGAACCTGCATAATCTAGGATTGGGAGTAACAACGAATGTGCGAGCGCAGTCTTGGTATCTACTGGCAGGAAATTTCGCAATCTATTTAGGCTTCCGAGAGACCCAAATATTTTACGACTTAATTGCGAAATTTGGTGCGACCATGATAATGTTTCATCGAAATAAATACCGAGGTTTTTTACCTGGGCACTGAATTCAATGACATGGCCATTGAAGGTAATAGGCGGGAGACTTGTTTTATTTAATTTAGACACAAAATATGGGCTTCCACTAATGATACATTGTGTTTTTTTTGGATTAATAATAAGGCCATAGGCTTTGCTCCAATCAGAGATATAGATGAGGTCAAGATTGATATCACGAATCGCATCATTGATATTGGACAAAGTGCCTTGAGAATAAATTTGTAAATCGTCTGCATAGAGGTGGTAGGATGAACGAAGATGAAGTGTGATAGAATTGATAAACAATGCGAAGAGAAGAGGAGATAAAACGCCACACTGAGGTATGCCCGCAGTCGTTGTGCACCATGATGTACAGATATCCTCGATACGAATACGCTGCCGGCGCCCATACAGGTAAGTATGAAACCATTCAATCACCGTTGGAGATATGTTAAGAGAACTAAGTATACTGAGTAAAATGTCGAAATCAACAGTATTGAACGCATTACTGAAATCTAATAGCGTTAGCACTGTCAGTTGCGATTTGTTCATGCCAAGCCGAATATCATCGGTGATCTTGATGAGAGCGGTAGTCGTACTATGGTATATGACCAGGACGGAAACCAGACTGGAGTGGATTAAGGAGATTGTTCACAGAAAGGAAATTATATATCTGTTTGTGAACAAGGCGTTCTAAAACCTTAGATAGGAATGGTAGAATGGAGATGGGTCGGTATTCTGAAAAGGTCAAAGGATTTTTATTTTTGGGGAGAGGTATTATATGTGCATCTTTCCACGTGGAAGGAAATAGAATTATTGAGTATAATTGTTACAGTAGTAAGGATAATGTCAAGGATAGGAATGATCATATTACGACTAATGCTATCATTACCCATGGCATTCGTGGTTATGGCAAGTATATTCTTCTTAACATCACAATCGGTAAATTGACTAAAAGAAAAAGGAGATATGTCAGGAGTTGAGAAGGTAGAAAGAACATTTAGTGTGCTTAATTTATCGTTGTTGTCAAACACAACAGAAGAGCAGAAATGCTTGTTAAGACTTTCGACGTCTATGTTATTCTGTCCGGGACTATGGGTTTTTCCAACTCCTAGTGATCTAAGAAATCTCCAGACCTTAGCCGGATCACTATCCTCTACAGAATTATGAATGTGGCGACGTTGAGCATTTCTACAAGCTCTATTGCAGAGATTTCTTGCCCGAATGTAATATTCTCGGTATTTATCGGAATTTGGCTTTGGCTCTATTTTTTTTTATTTGAAGAGTTTTGATCTCGTCGGTCAACCAAGGTGCAGGGAGATGCTTAACTCGTACTGGTCGTACGGGAGCATGCCGATCATATAGTTCCAATAAAATAGAGTTGAATAATTTGATTTGTAGTGTTTTATGAAAACTACTGGACGGATTTAAAATAAATTTAGTACACAGACCAAATATATTCTATATTAATAAATTTGATATTTTTTAACATAATTGTATGACCCGTGGTCTGCAGCATATATTTAAATAAATAAATTTAAACTTATTCTGTAACTAGTTGTGCTTGCAACTAAGTAAATACGGAAACATTACATATTATTGTATTAATAAACTAATACAATTTTAGATGGCGTATTAAAACTATTCATTCGATATATCATCCTTTCAATCAACTTTCTTTAAATAAGCTGAAATATATTCACCCATATGTGACGGCCTAGCGGTCTAGCGGTTTAGCATATCGCTTTACTTCCTATAATCGTGGGTTCGATTACTCTTATTATATGTAGAGTATAGAAGTTTGCGTACCTAGCAAGATGCGGCGCTGAGGCGAGCGTAAGTCCGCAAGTACGACACTGTGCCGGCAACGAGCAGTACTTGCTGCGGCACTGCGGACACAGATGCCCTTCACCACCCACGCCCTCACCTTCCTCCAAGTGACTGCAACCAGATGAAAGTTTGCCTTTATTACTTTATCAGGATAAAACGCTGATGATATCGCAATTAAATTCCCACTGTGAACGCTTATAAAGTATTTCATGCTACTACACTTTCCTTTGCATGAATACGTGCAGATGTCAAACCTTAAAATATGTAACCTATCAAGGATATTTCTGTTGTTAAACAGGAATGGACCTGTCTTAAAAATTGGGTATAATTTTTGTTAACTTTTAAATCGGATAACGGCAATCTAATAGAAACTTCGAACAGCACATGAGAAGTATATATTTTATTTTAAAAAATTTTAATATATGCAGCATTACCTTAAAAAGTCAAAAGCATTTACTCAGATAGGGAAGCTTTTGCCATCAATTTACAAAAAAATGTTTTATCACTATTTTAACCCTATCGTCTAGACTTGCTAACTACTTCAATTGAACAAACCTTGCAAAATACATTACTAATACATTATTATATTATTATTATATATATATATATTATTATATATATATATATATATATATATATATATATATATATAAATATCCCCTTGGGCACTTTGTGGCTCAGACGTGCCGTATAGGTAGTTTTTTGTTGATCCTTTTTCACTTGTTGATCCGGAGGCCTTTTGTTGATCTAATGCCAGATGACCATATATAAATGTTGATCCGTTTTGAGCCACAACTGTCACGACGAGTAATAATAATAATTAAGCGATTTATACACGATTTTATACAAATCCACCTTTTTGGCATACGACCACTTCTTGATCCAATTCAAACGGGCCAATCAGGGTGCAGCATTTGCCAAGGGCTTCCTCATTGGCACGTTTGGGCTACTACATTATGGCTACAGTAACTTAATAATGTCTAGCTAGTATTTCAAAAATAATAGTCTACCTAATCTAAATATTTATAGAAATCAGTCTGGAGTAACGTGACTCCAGATCAAACCTCAATACTTGTTATTTTTTGGACGGGAATTTTTCCTTTTGTAACAACGTTACTGAGCGAATGAAGAGAAGACGTAACGGCGGATCCAGGGGGGAGCGTCATGGAGGTCTTGGGAGTCATGGGGGGTCATGACTCTCCCCTCCCTTAGCCCAGGACTTAGGTAGACCACTAATTGAACTAAAAAATAATGAAACAGCTAAATTTTTTGCACGATCGGAGTGTTGGTGCAGTAGTATTAATTATAATTAAACATTGTTACTTAAAACATAACAGTTAAAGTACTATAACACTAAAAGCAAAATAGGTATTTTCAAAATACTTTTTCAAAATAAATTACCCTTTGAGTTTTTGTTCAAACCTCAGATATTATATTTATTTTAGGTATATCAATCATTACATAGTATAGTATAGTATAAAACAAAGTCGCTGTCGCATCTAACAAGTACATAAATAAAGAAAGAAGACTTTTTGGCTCTGAATATATTTCAAAAATCAATTACTTGTGTTAATCAATTTATATACTCGTTCTTATTTCATAGTACTTGTTTTGATCCGAATATATACAGATACCGTAACGGTCTATTAATTATGAATTTATTATACCTAACCTAGATATTTTATTTTGACGAAACTCCGTGTAGTAGTAGTATCCGATAAGGGTATGCGAACCCTAAGTATTATTACAAAATGACCAGTAATTTCGAAGAAATAAGCCTTTGAATTTCAAATCAACTTACCAAACGGACGCTCAAGGTTCGATTCCCGCCATAGATTTTTTTTTGTTTTGACTTTATGTTATATTTTAAATTAACTATTTTAATAATTAAATGAATTTAATCGAACAAAAAGTTGTCAAGTATTAAATTAATTTTAATTTACATTAACTATTATACTTTCTGAATTGTAAAGCAGCTAACAATTATAGTAAGATCTTATAAATAATTAACACAACAACATTTCAAATGTATTTTCTTTATTATTACAAAATATTTTTTGTGCATGCTATAATAGTTAATGTCACTTAAAATTTATTTAATATTAAACAACGTTTTTATCGATTAAATTCATTTAATTATTAAAATAGTTAATTTTAAATATTACTTTAAAAAAAAACAAAAAAAAAGTCAATGGTGGGAATCGAACCCGGGGTGTCTGTGTGGTAAGTTGGTACACAGATACACTCCTAACTAGTAAAATTAATTTAATACTTAACTACGTTTTTCTCGTATAAATTAATGTAATTATTAAAATATTAAATTAAAAAAAAACAAAAAGAAGTAAATAACAATAGTCAATGGTGGGAATCGAACCCGGGGTGTCTGTGTGGTAAGTTGGTACACAGGTACACTCCTAACTAGTAAAATTAATTTAATACTTAACTACGTTTTTATTATAAATTCATAATCGTATATAATCATAAATTAATTATTAAAATACAAAATAAAAAAAAAACCAAAAAAATAAATAATAAAAAAAAAGTGTAGGATTCGAACTCGGAGTATTACATTATTATATATATTAGGCATACGACTAGCCTTATGACTGTTACTTTTTTTTAATCTATACATCTATACATGTAAATAAAATTGGAGTGTCTGTTTGCAATATTGAAATAACCGTTTTTACTACTTGCATATGAATATAAATACGGTATACACCAAAATAACATATTTTACAAGTTTTGTCTGTCTGTCTGTCTGTTTGTTCCGGCTAATCTCTGAAATAGCTGGACCGATTTTGACGGGACTTTTTTTGGCAAGTAGCTGATGCAATAAGGATTAACTTACGCTACTGTTATTTTAGAAAAATAAAATAAAATTTCACGCGGACGAAAGCTTGTCTATAGATATACCGAGATTTAATATTTAAGTTGCTATTATGTTGTTGACAAAATTTTACTATAATGTTACTATTACGTTATCCTACACAATTTGTATTATTTTGGATGAATAAATAAATAAATAAATAATAATCTATACATATAAATAAAATTGGAGTGTCTGTTTGTAATATTGAAATAACCGTATTTTACTACTTGCATATGAATATATATAAGGTACATATACCAAAATAACTATTTTTATAATTTTAGTCTGTCTGTCGGTCTGTTTGTTCCGGCTAATCTCTGAAATGGCTGGACCGATTTTGACGGTACTTTTTTTGGCAGGTAGCTGATTTATAAGGAGTAACTTAGGTTACTTTTATTTTAGAAAAATAAAGTTAAATTCCACGCGGACGAAGTCGCGGGAACAGCTTGTTTTTAATAAAAACATCTTTTTTGTGGTACTTGAGAATGTTGAAGCCTGTTGTTTGTAATATTGAAATAACCGTTTTTTACTACTTGCATATGAATATAAATACGGTACATACACCAAAATAACATATTTTACAATTTTTGTCTGTCTGTCTGTTTGTTCCGGCTAATCTCTGAAATGGCTGGACTGATTTTGACGGGACTTTTTTTGGCAGGTAGCTGATGTAATAAGGAGTAACTTAGGCTACTTTTATTTTAGAAAAATAAAGTTAAAAACCACGTGGACGAAGTCGCGGGAACAGCTAGTGTATAATATATTAGAGATACCTACGTGTTTTTTTATTGATGACTAGCTGTACACGGGATTTCGTCCGTGTGGAATTTAACTTTATTTTTCTAAAATATAAGAAGTTAAATTCCACGCGGACGAAGTCGCGTGTACAACTAGTTGTCGGTAGTCTAGCGATTTAGCTAGCACACTGCTTTGATTCCTGCTTGGTGGTCGAGGGTTCGATTCCTCGCACGCTGCAAACATTTGTATTCATGAGTAGGATTGTTTGTAACGGTCTGGGTGTTTTCTATGTATAGATAATATATATGTATTTACGAAAAAATATCTTTGTATTTATATCAGTACCCATAACATAATCTTCAGCTAGCTTAACTTGGGTCTAGATGAAGCTGTGTGAATTGTCCTGAGATTACTATTATTACTATAATAAATCTTTTCAAATCAGCCGATGTTTATTTTTGCCATAATACGTGCTGTTACCATGTGATAATATTACGTACGTACTTATTAAACCATTAACTTATTATTAAATTATTAACTATTTATACTGTTTTAAATGTGATGCGTTCATTATTTATATTTCCTTTGAATTAAAGACAAATGTATATATATATATATATACATTTATATAAACTTGCACACTTAGTTGATCCAGCCACGATCCGTAGATATTGCTGATTCCACTGTCTCTCTCTTTCTGTCACTATCTTTGTATTCTAATATGCGATGTTGCCGTTCCGTCATGGTCTCGGCCGGAACGGCAACATCGCATATGTTGCGCGTTGTTGCCAAATGTATTCGTCGATAGTAGTAGATACGTATACGCGATATATATTTTTTCAACAATTTCCTGCAATAGTGAATCCGTATCGGCAATTTTTTTTAAATGCACAAAGATTTTTTGGCTCTGAATATATTTAAAAATCATTTACTTGTGTGTTGATGAATTTATATACTAGTACATGAAGTACCTAATACTTGTTTTGAATTGAATAGGTAGCGATATTATGAATTTATTATACGTAATCTAAAGATTTTGACGAAATAAAAGTAATTAGTTATCTGTTAACCTTGACTTCATGCTGGCAACAGTATTATCAGATGATGAACATACTCTTCGAAAACTTACAGCAGAAATATCGTGTTTGGACTCATTAGATAGGTCTCGATGAATAGAGTTTAAAAAACTTAAAATAAATGGTAAATTAGAAATAATGTATAAATACCCCTTACGTAAAATTCAACCACTTTAAACTTAATAATAATAATAATTAGGAAAAGAGAAAAGCTATACATGCACTGAAAGTAATTGATGTCTTCCACACAATATTTTCACTATTAAACAACTCTGTTTGTTCAGTAAAGTGTAAATACACTGGTAACCTTTAATCATATTTTATATGCAAACATTACATATACAAACCCTAAAGTTTTATTTCAGAATAGCCAGTAGTTTTGAAGAAATAAGTCTTTGAAATTGTACGTGTAACTTATATATATATACTAGTTTTTTCACCATAACAAACAACACCAATATGGCCTAGTTAGTAGTTTACCTGTGTACCAATTAATAATAATAGTAATCTCAGGACAATTCACACAGCTTCATCTAGACCCAAGTTAAGCTAGCTGAAGATTATGTTATGGGTACTAGACAACTGATATAAATACAAAGATTTTTTTCGTAAATACATATATATTATCTATACATAGAAAACACCCAGACCGTTACAAACAATTTAATAATAAGTTAATAGTTTAATAAGTACGTACGCAATATTATCACATGGTAACAGCACGTATTATGGCAAAAATAAACATCGGCTGATTTGAAAAGATTTATTATAGTAATAATAGTAATCTCAGGACAATTCACACAGCTTCATCTAGACCCAAGTTAAGCTAGCTGAAGATTATGTTATGGGTACTGATATAAATACAAAGATTTTTTTTCGTAAATACCTATATATTATCTATACATAGAAAACACCCAGACCGTTACAAACAATCATACTCATGAATACAAATGTTTGCAGCGTGCGAGGAATCGAACCCTCGACCACCAAGCAGGAATCAAAGCAGTGTGCTAGCTAAATCGCTAGACTACCGACAACTAGCTGTACACGCGACTTCGTCCGCGTGGAATTTAACTTCTTATATTTTAGAAAAATAAAGTTAAATTCAACACGGACGAAATCCCGTGTACAGCTAGTCATCAATAAAAAAACACGTAGGTATCTCTAATATATTATACACTAGCTGTTCCCGCGACTTCGTCCACGTGGTTTTTAACTTTATTTTTCTAAAATAAAAGTAGCCTAAGTTACTCCTTATTACATCAGCTACCTGCCAAAAAAAGTCCCGTCAAAATCGGTCCAGCCATTTCAGAGATTAGCTGGAACAAACAGACAGACGGACAAAAATTGTAAAATATGTTATTTTGGTGTATGTACCGTATTTATATTCATATGCAAGTAGTAAAAAACGGTTATTTCAATATTACAAACAACAGGCTTCAACATTCTCAAGTACCACAAAAAAGATGTTTTTTCTATCAAATAAACCGTTTTTATTAAAAACAAGCTGTTCCCGCGACTTCGTCCGCGTGGAACTTAACTTTATTTTTCTAAAATAAAAGTAGCCTAAGTTACTCCTTATAAATCAGCTACCTGCCAAAAAAAGTACCGTCAAAATCGGTCCAGCCATTTCAGAGATTAGCCGGAACAAACAGACCGACAGACAGACAGACAAAAATTATAAAAATTGTTATTTTGGTATATGTACCTTATATATATTCATATGCATGTAGTAAAAAACGGTTTTTTCAATATTACAAACAGACACTCCAATTTTTATTAAATGTATAGATGTAGAGATTATTATTTATTTATTTATTTATTTATTCATCCCAAAATAATACAAATTGTGTAGGATAACGTAATAGTAACATTACAGTAAAATTTTGTCAACAACATAATAGCAACTTAAATATTAAATCTCGGTATATCTATAGACTAGTTGGCCCCAGCGACTTCGTCCGCGTGAAATTTTATTTTATTTTTCTAAAATAACAGTAGCGTAAGTTAATCCTTATTACATCAGCTACTTGCCAAAAACAGTCCTGTCAAAATCGGTCCAGCTATTTCAGAGATTAGCCGGAACAAACAGACAGACAGACAGACAAAACTTGTAAAATATGTTATTTTGGTGTATGTACCGTATTTATATTCATATGCAAGTAGTAAAAAACGGTTATTTCAATATTACAAACAGACACTCCAATTTTATTTACATGTATAGATGTATAGATTAAAAAAAAAGTAACAGTCATAAGGCTAGTCGTATGCCTAATATATATAATAATGTAATAAATTCATTTAAACAGAAATTGCGGGAACATTATTTAAATTTGTAACTTTTTTACTGTCCTTCTCCTTTTTTCACATCTTTCTGTTATATGCCTATAGTTCTCTCTATATTTTCTGTTTTTCTTACTTTCAATTTGAGACTGTACTTATAATTTGATTATCGGATCATTATGTATTTATTTATACATTTATGGGTTATATTTACATATATATTTATGTATGTATATTGTTATAGAAATGTATATTTTGCTTATCTTTCTAAATCTTTTTTTGACATTTCTTATTTATATTAGTGCACCGCCAATAATCTTTCGCTGCACCACTCATGGTTGCCTGGTAAATAACGCGGCAAAATATTAAGTCCGCCACATGTACAAATTTTTTTGTGCATTAAAGTTAAAGAAATAAAAAAAATACAATACTGTTTAATGAAAATGCGTATTGTCTAGTGCTTTGAGATGTCTTAAGGATAACCAACAATAACCATTTTTTATCTTTTACATTTTACGGGAATTTTTTTTATCGTATGTTTCCCTTAAAATCATGTAAACTATGTTATTATGTCATAATCTAAAGAAATAATAATATTTTATAGTGAAATATCCACTATAAAATACCAAAAAGTAGCAATGTAATTCGTTACGCGCGAATCAGCTGTTATAAGGTCAAAGGTCGGTGCACCCCGCGTATTTGATAAATAGTGCTTCTCTGGATGTCTTTAAGAGAAAATGGCAGTATGTACGTGTATATGTCACACACAAGTCCTTAAGTGTTAAGTTTTTCAAATGTACAATAAAGAATAAATATTTTTAAGTACAGTACTTACGTACATTAATATAATACCTACTTTTTACTTGTATCTATTGTTATCAAAATTAAATTATAAGTTCTTAACTTGACCACGACTATGTGACCCTCTCTTGGCGCCAAAACGAGTGAAAAAATGAACAGCATACGACGACGACGCAGTACCTATAGAGTGGAGCAACTGCTTATTCAGTTTTATTCAACTATTTAGTCCCTCCACCGTTACAATGAATAGAGGCGGATATTACAATGTACGTAGCATTGCGAATATAAAATATCTAGATTAGGTATAATAAATTCATAATTCATAGGCCGTTACGGTATCAGAGCCAAAGTCTTCTTTCTTTGTTTATGTACTGTTAGATGCGACAGCGACTTTGTTTTTATATTACTATGTAATGATTGATATACCTAAAATAAATAAAATATCTGAGGTTTGGACAAAAATTCAAAAGGTACTTTATTTTGAAAAAGTATTTTGAAAATACCTATTTTGCATTTAGTATTTGAAATACAAAAACGAAACTATTATTGTTTTTAGAGTGACATTTCTATGAATTCACTGTCGATAGCGAGCGGTGGGATGGAAAAAGATAACCGTTTATAAATATATAATAAATAGCCCTGGACAATTAACACAGACTGATACTGAACTGATATAGATATTTTTATTTTGTAAATACACATATAATATACATATAAAACACCCAGACCGATGAAAACAATCGATGACCGATGAGTACAATTGTTTGCACCGTGCGAGAAATCGAACCCGCGACCATCGGATGTAAAGCGGTGTGACCACCGAGGCAGTTGAAATATATAAATAATCTTATGAATTTAATTTATTCTAATTTGTTTGTGTGCGCGGGGTGCGGTGTACGGTGCTCCCCCCTGCCTCCACCGTTGCTGGAGCTTGCATGTATGGAGCATTGCGAATATAAAATATCTAGATTAGTAAATTCATAATTGATAGACCGTTACGGTATCTATATATATTCGGATTAAAATAAGTATCGCAGTAAGGACCAGTATATAAAGTGATCAACATAATTAATTGATTTTTGAAATATATATACAGAGCCAAAAAGTCTTTGTGTATTCAAAAAATATCTAATTTGTTTGTGTGCGCGGGGTGCGGTGTACGGTGCAGGGGGGACCCTGCCTCCACCGTTGCTGGAGCTTGCATGTATGGAGCATTGCGAATATAAAATATCTACATTAGTAAATTAATAAATTCATAATTGATAGACCGTTACGGTATCTATATATATTCGGATGTAAATAAGTATCGCAGTAAGGACGAGTATATAAAGTGATCAACATAATTAATTGATTTTTGGAATATATTCAGAGCCAAAAAGTCTTTATGTATACCAAAAATTTAGCCGTTCGGAGCCATTCAGTCACGAATTATTAGTAAAAAAAGTGTCGAGTATATCGTACTATCGACGAATATATATGGCCACATCGCAAAATAGAATGCGACGTTGCCATACCGCCTGAGATATACGCGATAGGAGTCAAGTTATTCAGTGCAAAAGGTGGAATCGGCAAGTGTTTAGGTCGTGGCCTGATCAACAAAGTGCCCAAAGAGGTGTTTATATATATATATATATATACATATCGTAATTATATAATTAATAATGGCAATAGAGATGTACTATGCGAACTGTGTGTATTTTTTAGTGTATGTAAATAAAATAGAGACCACATGCAAACTGTGATAGGCGGATCAGTATTGGCCCCGGGCTCCGAGGTAGCGACTGGGGGCGCGGAATGCGGGAAGCCCATCTTAACCAGGCCGGCGTGCAGGGGCCGATCGGCCGCCTGCGCCGGAGGACTGCTGCGCTCCAACAACAGCGACCGGTAGTGTACATCGTCCAAAACCACCTGCATACTCACATTTTATTCTTATGGAGCTATTTGTCGGTACTGATTGAAAATTTCAAAAACTGTATTAGTTTTTGATATTTTCAACCAGTAGAGCGAGTAGAGACTAGTTCTTTTGAATCGTAATCATTTTTAAACTGAATTCACAAATAACGTTATATATAAATACGTGAATTGTTCTGGATTATATTTAAATACGATTATAATGGATTTGAATTAAATTGGCACTAAATATAAGTAATTTCTTAACTATAAATACAATTTAAAAATATTTCTAAAGATTCATTTTAACAGAATGTATAAAGTAAAAGGAAGTGCTTTTATATTTTTCAGTATTTTACTTGTTGTTACACTTACTTTTATTATCTGATAACTTAACAGTAAGACATAAATTAAAATATACCCCATATTCGCCACCTGTGTCTTGGCACAATTTTTTGCAAATTCTTACTTCCGCTGCTAATCCAATAACGGAACATCTAATTCCATCTGTTTTCAGGGTCTAAAAATAAATTAAAATAGTTAGTAATTATTAAAAGTTCTAAGTATTCCATTGTCGACGTTGCGAAGTGGCAAACAGTTAATATGCCCACATTTGGAAAAGTATTTGAACCCAATGTGGCGAGCCTACCACTATCTCTCGGATAAATTTATTTGTATATATTATAATTATTAGTATTACAATAATTCCATTATTAAATAAGTTCTCTAATATTATTAGAGAAAGATTGCTTTATGCATTATTGATACTTGTCTGCTTGTGCTGCTTATCAAGTGTTTTACTGAAAGTATACAATGGAGTTTATAATATTTATATAAAAAATATTATCACCAAACGATTGGCCAATCAAAAAGTTCGTTAGTACCGTTCCTCTAATTTAAAACACATAGCCATTTGAAAAGCACTCACCTGAATAGTAGTAGTTATGTCGGATGGGTCACAGGTAGTGAGTGATGCAAACAATACCAACAGCTCTCTAGACGCGTGCGCCGGCAGTGGTCTCAATACCCTCCCTGCGTATTCCAATGTATTCTGTAGTGATGGCTCACCAACCAGGGCCATAGTGGACAAACTGTAAAAATTAATGAAAACAACAATGTGTGTAATATTAACACATTTTTATTGACGACCTCAGTGGTCTAGCTGTTTACCACACCGCCTTACTTCCGATGGTCGCGGGTTCGATTCCACGCACATCACAAATATTTGTATTCATAAGTATGATTGTTTGTATCTTTCTTAGTGTTCTATCTATGTGTAATATGTATTATGTATATGAAAAAAAAATATCAATGTATTTGTATCAGTTATCTAGTACCCATAATACAAGCTTTAGCTAGCTTAACTTGGGTCTATACAGCGCTGGGTGCATTGTCCTAAGATTATTATTATTATTTAATTGTAATGGAAAATGCATTTGATAGAACATTCCTGTAAATCCACAATCTTCCATGTCAAATACAGTTGAGTATTTTTTCTTTAACTATTGCTCCATCTGTGTCTCATTAGTTGAGTATATATCTACATTGTGTTGTGTCACATAAAAATAAAATTTTATGTTCAGAAAAGGACAGATAAATTATATTAATTACATTACCTACATACCTTTCCACAGCTTTTATATGCTTTCTAACATTGCCTGACAGCTCAGTGATTCTCTCAGCTCTTTTGTTCTTCATTACTACTATACCAAGTTGGCTCAAAGGGTTTTGGTCAAAAAACTCTTCAATAAACTTCTGCAACAGCTAAAAATTTTGTTATATTAATAGATCTTTGTTTTAATATGAGGATATAGTGTAATATGAATTTCATTAATTTGTTATACTTTTAAAAATGCATAATTAACCATTTCATACCACATGATACCACTCTTACAAGTCACAAAACCAAACAACCACTCGTACAAAAAAACACACTTAATACCTTCAAAGTACATAGAAAACGTGAGGGCTTCAAATCTTGTGCATTCATAGCTTCAGAACAATCAATGGCTACAAGAAGATGTCTCATCATACCGAGCCTGATGGGACCACGTCGAGGCGCGGCAGCCTTCCGGGCCGCCTTTTGTGCAAACTCTGCCACTAATCCTTCCACTAAGCCATCCTCGTCTTCTTTTATAGCTTCCCTACAAATAATATGTCTAATTACTTTAGAAGCTACTTTTGTTTGATTACTCATATTCCTTAGCCATTCTTTCAGCAGAATGTGCATTATGAATCATATGAAATAACATTGCAAGTATGTACTGCACAATTTGCTATGTATGGATAATTTTATGTACTATATAATACATACATTGAGAAATATGCATAAACACCTTTTAATAAAATTACAGATTGAAATAATATCTTGTTTATTATAATTTAATATGTATTTGACAGTCTCTGGGGTTTAGTACAAAATCTTACTTCTGCAGGTCGCAAGTTTAATCCTTGCACAATGCATACATTTGTATTGGAGTAAAATTGTATGTATTATGTATTATATCTATACATATAAATAAAATTAGAGTGTCTGTTTGTAATATTGAAATAACCATTTTTTACTACATGCATATGAATATAAATACGGTATATACACAAAATAATCATTTTTTTAAATTTTTGTCTGTCTGTCTGTTTGTTCCCACTAATCTCTGAAATGGATGGACCTATTTTGATGTGACTTTTTGGCAGGTAGCTGATGTAATAAGGAGTAACTTAGGCTACTTTTAGACATAGTCGCATGTAGAGCTAGTACATACATACAATAAAACAAGGAATTCAATGTTCTTATTGCATTTCAGACATAAGAAAAAAATTGTGAACTATTTCACCCATAGCTAATCTGCATTTGTAATTAATTTATTTAGATGTCTAAATTTCTTAACTCTGTAAACTGTAACTCTTCTAAAAAGCACCTAAATCAAAGTAGCATTCGGAAAATGTAATAGAAACGTTACATCTATTAAGATAAAAAACTGTTCACAAGTTTGAGATCCAACTAATAGATACTAAAAGAAATTTATTACAACAAAATAGGTCTCTAATTTGTTATAATATTTTTTTTTTGTTAGAATTAATTTAACTAATTGGGAATATGTAATTGAATAACATTTACTTGCAAATAGGATGTTAAAATTAGCCATATATTTAATAGTCATCTTTTTTAATGTATCACTGTTTTAACCAAATAAACAACTTACCATGTTTTCTCATAACCTGTCTCCCACCGATATTCCTTAAGGTCCTGATCGTCATCTGCCATTATATAAAATCTTAATCCCTAGGATTAAATTAATTGGGATTTTACTCTAATAAAATTTATAAATTTAGTCTTACTGACAACTTTATTGTTTAGGTAATGATAAAAATACTATTATTAATTATATAACTATACGATACTATATAGATTAGTATTTAATTACTAAAGAGAACTATGAATAATTATAAATAAATAATAGCTTTCCAATATGCAATAAACAACATGCGATAACTATTTTGAAAATGTTTTTTTATTGGTTGTGTTTACTATTCAAAAGAAAGGCTAGGGAACTGCGCTCATACAGGCATAAACACAAAATTACTATTTTATAAAGAAGTTCTAGGCATGGCAATATTCATCGATACTATCGTGTCTGAAAAAAAAGGTTCAACTAAAATATTAAAGAAATATATTTCATATGGTATATTATACAGTAATATCGATATTTCCTAGTTAATATCATAATATCGATATGCATGTAAATCGCTCAACAATAACTACATCAGTATATTCTATGAACTACATTATAAAAAGTAATTTACGGGGGTACCCTAGTCTCATCTCATCCACAAAGTTTTGTACCTTACAAAGCAAGCTGCTTTCCGGATAAATACTGTTTCAGTTGAAGGATAAGCAGTGAATTTACAGGATACGGGGGATAATATTATTATCTTAATCTTCCGAAATGGCAACGAATGAGTAGTCACTAATTTTCAGGTTAATTCATCCAATGTTGTTAAAATTCACCTAATTAGGACAGACGAAAAGCATGGCTTGGATAACTGCCTTTTCCAAGTATATAAAAAAATACTAATCTATATTGCCGCTTTAGTGGTATCACCACGATAACTATACTGTAGTCCTGATAGATTTTAAAGTCAAATGAACCGTTGGCTGATCTTAAAAAAATGAGTGGACCTCCTAAGTTACATAATTGTAGTTATTAAGGACTGAATTATTATTGACACTAATGTAAAAACATTTATTTAAAAATTAAGTATGTCACGTGTAAGAATGATTCTCATTAGTTAAGACACTATGTCGCACGCTCTGAATTTAAAAAGTTAAAACATCTCTTACTGAGCCATTGTTCTTCTGGGCTATTGAAAAAACTTTGTTTAGTTTTGGTTTTAATGAAAAGAACAAGAATACACAATATATAATTTTCTAGATTTATTGTTCCATAAAACTAACATAAACATACAAAAATAGTTAAAATAATAGCAGATTCTCACCATGACTTTAATGTTTATAACAAGAGGAATAGTTAACTACAGATTATTATTAATTTTTTTGGAACAATACCAATACTGTATCACAAATGCTGTCATAGTAGAAATAAATAATAAACACCTCAGGAGACTTACTTCTAATCTTTAATTCTAGATTCAAAGCTGTGTGAATGGTGTTTAGACAGACATTGTAATTAGAATACTTTATTACATAGAAATAAGTATTAATGAATTACTGTATCCCTACCACAGTTTAGGACACACATAATTCAAGGGTACAATGACTCTTTCTAAAGTATGAAACTTTGTGACAGGAGATTAGTAGACAATGTTGTAATATGCCCACTTGAAAATTAATCTATTTCATAATTCAGGTGCTTAATAGTATATGATATATATCAAAGAAAATAATTATAGTAATATGATTGTACAAGTGAGAAAAATAAATCATACTTACTTAAATAAATATTAACATTATTTATTTACTTATATTGCATTCTGTATTAAATGTAACCAGAATAGTAGAACACTGATTTTCACGGTATTTGTAATATATTCCATATTTGAATTAATTATAGTTGGTACTTTTCAATACAGCAAGCAAGGTTACATAGGTATCATCATAATTATAAAAACTAAGATTGTGCATACTTTTTCAGAACAAAGCTATGATTGAAAGAGCAATGTCAATAATCTCCAGAGATTCACAGTATATCTTGACAATGTAATAAATATTCCATTTATTTTTTTATAATGAACATATAAATAGCCAATTAAACATCCAGTGGCTATTATGAAGTTCAGTTTTGTTAGTCTCCTGCCACTTAGCGAGATGACCATGACAGCACCACGGCCAATATTCCTCCTGATGTTTCTGCAAGATTCATTCAGTGGCAGCCATTGCGCGTGCCTGTGCTCGAACTCTTTTATCATATTCTAACCTATTTTGACTATAAAACAAAAAATAATTAATAGAAATAGTAACAATCTTCTTCAAATTAATTTAATATAAACACTTTTGAATAGTCATGAACTTTTCCATATTCTACTGATCAATGGTAAAGAAAAAGTGGCCAGATACTTCTTGTGTTGTTCAGTATTACATATTTAACATGTGTGAATACAAACTACCACTGATTTTCACTTGTATATTTTAAATGTTTATAGTATGTTGAATGAAATAAGCTTTCATAGCACGGGTTTATCTATTTCGAAAGCCAGGGCTAAAACAAAATTAATACTAACAATATTAAGAAAGAAGATAGGAGTATATGTTTTACTATAGTTTTTTACTTTTTAATGTTCATAAATAAATATAGAAATTGCCCGTATATCTCATTGAAGTTGTAACAATACATACCAGTAAATTGTATATGCCTCAGCTTGTGCAGGATCTTTGACATTTGGTTCATTGAGTAGGTCTTGGATACCAAGGAGGATCTGTTTAATTGTGATGGCAGGGCGCCAATCTTTCTCCTCATCTAGAAGTGACAAGCATACTGTTCCTGATGGATAGACATTTGGGTGGAATAATGGTGGCTCAAATTTGCATTTTGGTGGACTTGAAGGATAATCATCTTTAAAGATCATCCGTAATTTATATAGACCGCCTTCCCAAGGTGTCTGTAAAACAGGTTACATATTTAGTAAAACAAACCAGTCATTAACTTGCATGAATCTATAAAATCAATAAAAGTGATTTTACAAATATTTCAACTACAGAAAAATCAAATGGAAAGAAGTAAAACTAAATTTGAATAACATGTAACTCTTTAAAAAGCAATACATATACTCGAGAATTAGTCTTTTTAGTACTTAATAAAACTAAAATTTAATAGAATATACTTATAAAATACTAACCCCTTTTTTTCCGGGAATAGCACACTCCCAAGTCATAAGATTCAAAGAGCCATCTGGATTCTTCATTGGTCTAGCTACAAAACCCTAAAAAAGAAGTACATATTGTAAGGTGAGGCAGTTGCATCTTGGGTACAACAATCACAATAGGTATTAAATATGTACTTACAAAGGGATGATCCTTCCGCCAAGCTTTCCTTTCTTCTGCTAAACGTGCACTTGCAATGCCAGACATTTTCTGTCCTTCCTAAAATAGCAAGTAATATTTTTAATTTTTGTATACCTAATTAAAATTTATATTAAAAATAGGAAGTTATTATTACGAACTTATAGTTATCGTAAGCAAATATTATAGAAATTTATTTAACACAACGTAATTAAAGCGTCTGTCTCAGGATGTATGGCAGTATGTCTTAGGGATGTAACGAAAAAATCGATTATAAAAATCTATTTTGATACGTAGATATTTATGAGTTTTTAAATTTCCCAAAAATCTATGAAATAATGATCGAGTTTTTCACATATTTTTTTAACTAATCATATCTACAAGAAAAAATTAAAAACAAGTGATGAGCTTAATGAAACCACTCGGAGATTAATGGATCTATTATAATCGATTATAATATTATAAAAATAAATTAATAATCGATTTTTATAAATATTGTTACAACACTAGTAGATATCAGACAGGGTTGCCAACTTTAAAACATTTAGCCTCGTACGACTGAATCAGTCAAAAATTTAATATATTTGCATAACTTGACTTTCTATCCTCGTACATTGTCGTATTTTCTCCAATTTATTCAAACTCTCTTACAACGTAACTGAACGAAAATGAAGTATGCGCTGCGGATCTTTCACTAAAATATAGGACGAAATAGTTATTGCATCTGAAATAGTAACCACGTTAATGATCGTACAAAAAACAAATGCAAATCGAAAAATGGGGAAATTGCTGTAAAATTCGCAATTAAAATTAGAAAACAGTATTTTTTGTTTTTTGTAAAAGTTGACGAGTTGCCATTATTAAAATAGAATACAAATTATTGGATAACTTGGATTAAAAGATGGCGTCTTTGTATTATAACGTAAACAAACTTACGCTGTCAATAGTGGCTGACGGACGTAGAAAATAAAGTTGTTAAAACATATTTAAAACTTTTAAATATTTAAATTGTAAAGTAATTATGCATCGTTGTTGTGCAATTGCATGCAAAAATGTAGGTATCCATTTATTCCCTCGTGATACTGAAGTCCGAAAGAAATGGGAAATCGCTGTGTGTCGTAAAAACTTTAAAGCCAGTAAACACTCAAGACTTTGTTCAGATCATTTTAAATCTGAGGATTATATTATTGAAGGATTTCAGTCAGGTTAATGAATACGTATTATAAATTCGTTCTTAAAATAAGTTATACCTTATTTCTTATACAATGTAAATAAAGATAGACTCTTTTAGCTTTAAATAACAATTTTACTAAATAAAAACTTAATACTTAAGTAGAATTATACTGACACTATGAACTTTTACATAGAATTAATAGATAATACAATAGAATAACGGCAATACAGTTTGATAATTTCGTTATTTTATACTACAGGCTTAAAGTTAAATCGACACAGGCTGAAGAGAGGAGTCATACCTTCCTTATACAAAAAAGGGATTGAAGACAATCAAATAAAAAAAACAGTAGACAGACAAAATGAAACAGATAAGTCAGGTTAATATATATTTTATATTGCACATGGATATATATTACTATATCTTTACAATATTAATATAATTATTTAAATGGGTATACTGGTTCCAAGTTTTGGCCTAAAAATATTACTTTCCATTTTAATATTAGGGTAAATGTAGATTGTTTTTTTTTCTTCTAATTGCATCTATTACCTAATCAAAGAAATACCAAAGTAATTCTTCGATTAAATAACATAGGTCTGATGTATTCATACAAACACTAACCAAATTCCCTATAAACATATGTTTATTCCATAGTTGCTGTATGTGATAATGCGAGAGAGCATGCTTATTGTATCACTTTTTGCACATGTGAAGGTCTTGTCCTGTCTATTTTTTTAAATAATACTTAATAATTGTATTTTTTATTTGCACTTTCAAGTAAGTAAAACAATAGTTAGTCTGTGTGAGAGTAAGTATTGTTGTTTTTAAATTGAGTGTAAAGTGTGAAAGATGAATATTCCTGCTTCTACACATTCTTATATAGGTTGCATAGTGGTCACACTGTGATTCTCCGACACATTGAACATATCCAAAGGGCTACATATCTCCTGCTGCAACAGATTTCATGAACTGAAATGAGATTGGCAATTTTAATGTTCGCAATGGCTATAGGCTATATTCATTACTATAGTTTGATGCTGGTTTCCAAACCCACACAAATTCCTTATGTTATTGACCACCTTAAGAGATTCTGCTAACTTACCATCCAGACAACTACTTGTGTAGATGTCAGTCCTGGCATCTTGACATAATTTTATTTGTTATTGTTTACTACAAATAAACAAATACATTCTTATTTGCTAGGCTATAAAAATTAGGCGTCATATTTTTAGGCATCTAAATAAATCACCTGATAAATAATTACATTATTCTGTAGAAATGTTATTGTACACTACATAAATAGTAGTAGACAGTTACTGGAATGTTATAAATAAAATTTCATAGGAAATTGTTTTTTTTTGACATAAATTTTTGACTTTGGATTCCGAAAATAAACTATCGACATCACTACCGTGCATTTGAATTTCGTGTACGGAAATCCCAATAATATTTTTGTGTGGTTTAATACAAAGAAACTATGTTTTGAAAACTAGGTAGAAAACTTTGTATAAAGTAAAAAAAACTACGTATTATTACTTCGTATTGCAGGTACAGCACTGTCCCAGCTGGTAACATTATTTGAAAATATTAATTTTGCATCTATCAATTTTGTAGCCGAGATTAAAAAACAAACTGTAGAGTGAAGTACCATAACCTATAACCTGTTTTTTAATCTCTATTACTATAAAACTAAAAAAAAAAACTCAAAAATACCAGTCTACAAGTTAATATTATTATGAATATCTTTATCTTGTAACAGTCCCTAGCTTAAGTTAGTTTTAAGTAACCCGCCCTAAGAGGCTTGTAACCTAGCCACCCGGCGATTGTGACCCTCTTAGTCATGCCGGGATAAAGGAGACTAAATTAGGGGTATTAACGTAGATTCAAAGGGTAAGGTTATCGATAAATATCTCTGCAAGTATATATATATACCTATATGTTAATATGCCTCTATGGTAGCCTAGCCTATGCCTAACGGTTTAGAACACAGCTTTACTTACATATATTCATGATTGTGATTGTTTCTATCGATTTTTTATGTTGTATGTATGCCTATATCTATATTATGTATATATTTATGTGTTTGAATCATATTATTCGGTATTTCCACCTGTGGACGGCGACGCCATTCGATATTCATTATTGAAGAAAAAAAAATGCTTTAAAAGATGCCATGAAAAATACACTAGCAACACTGCTTTTATTAATTTGGAGTTGGGCTAAAAAGGACTTATATCCAGAGCCGTAAAATTTTAATAAATAAAAAAATTTGTTATAAATCCTAGACGGACCTACTAAAATGCATTAGGCTGTATGGGACAAATTGTGGATAAAATATACCACTACTACCTACTAAAATGCATTACTGGACAAATTTGGAATAACCTGTGAAATTGTGTTTTATTATTAACCTACTTTTTTTTATTGTTTATTGTTAGAATTTATCGTTTGTTAATTAATGGTAATGGGATCAATTTATATTTAAAAAATAGATAAGTAAAAACATATTAAATTTCAAATGTTGTGAATAATCTTATTACATCAAACTAATAATTTCTGTTGCATATAAAACTATTTTTTAAAAGAGAATGAAATATAAAAAATTGAAGGGCAACAAATGACATACGCGCAACAACGTGGGAAAGAATGAAACGAACATAGAAACAATCACTTACGTTTGTGCGAACTGGCTTTCCCGCGCTAAAACGCGCACACTCCTAATCGCGCGAGAATGAGAAATGTAATGAATGACAGCCATTACAAGAAACTACTCTGATTTAATCGATTAGGTTTATGTATTTAATTTATTATCTACTGTTACATTTAAATTATACTAGCGATTCGTCTATATATACTATAATACTCAATATATTATACTTATAAACGAGGAATGTTTTAAATCACGATCTATTATTGAAAACCGCATTAAAATCCCTTGCGTAATTTAAAAAATATTGACGACGGCGACTTTTTTATACTAAGTAAAGATAAAGATTATTATTATTCATAAAATAATCTAAGTAGATTTTTGTCTAAAAAATCCAAGTAGGTACAGGTGTAGGTAGCGTCTGTAACATTACCATACGTAGGTACACAGGCATTGTGTACTTAATATTTTTCATAGATTATAATGGATTGCTTTCCCCGTCTGTTTGCTTACTGGTGCCCACCAGTGTAGGATGATAAGATGTCAGGTCAGGTCAGTTAGCCCATCGTGACAAATCCACTAGTAATTTATAATGATGGTTTTTAGGGGGAACCGCGTGGAGGTCAACCTGATATGGGATCAGCCTGACATGCTAGCGATGGGGTCAACAGTCCACATTACTAATAATTTCCTTCTCCAATTTAGAGAAATTTTCTCGTCAAAATTTAAGCATTAAGGCAATCAATAACACTTAGGCTGCACGCGCCTAAAGTCACATTGACTCTACATTCTCATTCTCACGATTGGCAATCGCAGAGTTTGTGGTTGTCTTTTTGAAACAAATGCAATGTGCGCTTTGATCTTATCGGCTATCGAAGGTTTTGTTATGTTAATTTGTGAGTTACTTTAACTGGATTGAATTTTGTGTATACATAAAGTTTCGTAAGATAGCTGATGTAAATTGTTCGTTCCTTCTAAAGGCAAATAATATAGTCTTGAATATTTACTCATCATACATACTGCTATATTTACTAATCCAATTTTGTCCGTTATTCCTCTTCAGTAGGTTATGCCTGCTGGTTGTCGGGCATGTAGATTGTAGGTATGTTCATTAAGATCCGATTAAATATATAAATAAGTCAGTCAATGAAATTTTGACAGATGTCAAATTTATTTTTATTATTAATTAATCTAGTTCAATAATATTTAACGAGCTATTTACGCTACGATTTTCAAAAGTTTTTGTTAAGCCCTTGTATTCTGATATAGTATTTGCTCAGACACTCAGACCTATACCTTATTTGCCTATTACTTATATCTACTATCTAATAGAGAACAAAAAATATGCCTAATTTAAGTAATGTTCTTGTGAATATGATTGAATATATTTTAACGAATCCAACTAGTCTTATAAAAAGTTATATCTTTTATATTTTTTTATTCCTTTAGGTAGATATAACGAAATAATTGGCTTGTCGACATAACATGACGGTATAAAAATCTTGTCGGTATAAAATGACGCTAAATATGAGATAGCAAGTGTGTTACGATATGTTTGTTTTTTAGTTTTATGTGATTGGTTAAGCATATTCTGTGGAACCAAATCCGTGGCCGTTATTGGTAGTTTTGGTTAAATGAAACAAAGAAAACATAGAATGTCGGCGTACGTCGGGGTGCAGTAATAAGGAGTCGGTGACGCCGATTTTTTGCCCATAAAATATTTGATTCTTGGACTGATTGTCGTTTTGAGTTGCGTTACGTTCTCACTTCTGTAATTTATATTTTTTGTTGAGAAAAAAGTTATTGTTTTGGTAAGTGTCAAATACTGAAAAAGATATGTTTTATGTATTTTTAATAAACGATACAATATCTGTGAAATGCTATATAAATGTCTGCTCATTGGTACTAGTATTTTCTTGAAATAGTCATAATTCGTGAATAATTTAAATTTGAACCTCTTGTAGCATTTGTGTATAATAAAACAATTCTCGGCGTGTCATTATAATAATTAAAAAAGTACATTTCCTTAAATAAATGTTTAGTAGCCGAAGCTTTAACAATGCAGTGGACTAGTTTGAAAATATTAATTTTATTTACCTTTCACGTTGACTAATCAGTAAAATTTATGTGAGTTGGCGTTGGCGGGAGCGAGAAGACGCCGGTTTAATTGAAGGTTAGGATTAGACTTTTTGGAAAATCTGTCTTATTATGTTGTTAATATCGCTTATTTACGACTTATTTCTCCTAAAATCTTAGGAGTTGCAAGTGTAAACATGGCTTCTGTCGAAGAGGAGTCGCAATCTACTGAAGAAGTGCCTGCAGGAAATCCTGAAGAGCTCACTAAAAACCCAGCGGCACTAAAAGGTAATCTAAATTCACAATATGATTATTTTAGAAATAAAATATAATTAAATTATTATTATAAATTAAAAAGTCAGTATTTTGTCCTACCATTACTCCCTATCGAGAAGAGACAGACAACACTATGATTAAATGGCATATTTCATATGTATTTAAGCTAATTCATCAATATATAGAGTATATACTCATATTATCTCAAATACATATGGACTATGCATTATAATACTGTAATATACTAGCTGTATATGTAACTTTCAGCATCTCTACATATGCAGTATGCATATGTAGAGATGCTGAAAGTTACATATACATATTGGAAAGTACCTTTCCAATAGAACTTAGAAATATAGTTAACAAAGAGGTTACTAGCCATAATCTATCCATAGATAGTTTAGTGTTGATTGATTTTACTACTTTTAATGGTACTGCATTAAAAAGAAATAATTGTATTGAATATTGTGATTAATCTGTTGAATGTTTCAATTTCTTTCACTAAAATATACATTATTATATATTAGTATTACTGACGGCAGACAATCTTAAGTTTAATGATGTAAAGTAAAATAATATAGAAATATTAACTTATGAAATTATATATTGATAATAAATATTTTTAGTAGTTGATCTCTGTTTTAAAGGTATAATAAAAAAACAAAAAATGTTGTAGAGTATATAACTCTTCTATCCATGTGAATTTCAAACACCATCCTGTGTCACCGATTATTATCTTCAAATTTATTTTCAGAGGCTCATGAACAGATGGCTACTATGGATGTGTTGGTGTGTGGTCAGTGTCATTCTGCGTTTCATTTTATAGAAGAATTCAAAGAACATAAAAGTGATAACAATTGTACAGGAAAATCACCAGTTAGAGATAGTGTAAGATTTTTCTTGTATTCCTCATACATTATCGCCCCCTTAACACCATTTTTACCTGCTTAATCCTAGATAGTAAGTTCATGTTAATTATGCTAATTAATTTTTTACTAGACATTATTATTAATTCGGGTTTTTTTCATTATGAAGGAATTAATAATTTTTCTGTTTTCAATAGGTCTCCACATTAAGAATTTTATAAGTATAATTAGTAAATCATGGGATCTTACCACATTTTATTTTTGTTGAGTTCTCGATATTTCAGCAGTGTTTCAACGGCCATGATCAAGGGTAAACTTTAAACTAAGGAGTTAATTATACTTATAAATAATGACCGCATCAAACTTAAAACAGTATATAATAAGAATTTTAAATAGCTAGCACTTAAGTAATTATATAAACTGTTATAATTTATTATTCCTAATGATTACAATAAATATAAATATGCATTCCTAGATTCATATTCAAAAATATATAATAATTCTTGTGTTTCTGTTAGACAAAAGAGTTTGCTGTTCTATCCTAACTCATTTGTATAAAGTAACATATAATGAAAATAAAAACATTGTGTATTCAAAATCATTGAGAGTTAGTCAGATCTACATTGAATAAATTTTTGTTTTTTTGGAGAACCCTTTTAAACTTTATTATAAATTAACAATCAGCACAAATTTACACAAGCATGCATTGATTATTTGTTATGTTTATATCGCTTTTTATTTACATCATTATTTCAAGTCTAGACATTTATTTAGCATTTATTCTACAGAATGAAAGTAAAGCGCAAGTGTGGGCATTTCTACTGTGGAAGTGTTCCTCGGCTAGAGACAGCTCTGTCATAAATGCTGACAACAGTTGGAAACTATACCAGCAATGGTGTCGTATGGCTGAAGCACAACGGACTGCTTGGATTACTGCTGGAGCCAATGTGCAGTCTCTCTCTAAATTTGCACATGCTAAAGTTGTAAGTATTTTTTTCTTTATTTCTAAACTAGTAATTATGTATTTAGTGTTGAATTTTGGTCTGAGTGACTACACATTATACAAGAAACTATAATGTTGAAAAGGATAAAAGTTCTAAATTGGTATGTTTTAAATGAATAAGTAATAATGCTTTTTTTTATTTTATGATAATGAACAATTTTTTTTATCTGTAATTGTTGTCAAATGTATTCACATATATTATTATTGTCTCATTCAGATGGAAGTCAAGACTGATGATCAATTAGTACCAGTACAAGTGCCAACATCAGAAGTTAAAAAGCGTGGAAGACCTAGGAAGAATGTCAAAATTGTAAGTTGAAATCTGATTTACTAAAATATTTATAAGGAAATAGATTATTTTATTAAAATTAATAAACTTAGGAGGGGTACTGTGACCATAATGTAATGTACAGGTGATTGTTATCAATTATCATCAGGAGAGCTGTCAGCCTTGGTACAAAGTAACAAATAGGCCTTCAAACTGACATAAATTTATTATATAAAATATAATATAATAATGGTGGCATATTTGAATAATAATGTTACAAAAATGGATACTCATACATACATATATGTACATACAAATGTATACTCATATATACATAATAAAGAATAAATTCTGTGCTCTAAATTGATGATTTTCTCACAAAAGCAATCTCTTATGGATCAGTTGGGTAATGTAGTAGCAGATATACTATACTATTTTTAATATTTCGTTGTAGGAGGATTCTGAAGGGGGTGAGGAAAGTGATGATGTGGTCAAAACACAGAAAGTTGTTATAAACAAAACACCTGTTAGCCAAAATATTGCTAAATCTAAGGTATACCAATACTATTAATATATTTTTAAAATCTTTCTTGACAAATTAAAAGAAATGGTAGGAACTATTTACCTATTTTAATAGCACCTTGAAATCTTTAAAAGGAAAATAAAACTTCATGCTACATGTTTTTGTTTACGACATACATTGTACAATATAATTCATAAGTTGGCAAGATTACTTTAATTTATATGTGCCTCAAAATCGGATATTTCCATTTGGTCATTATCAACAAACTACTTTTGATATTTCAAATAGTAAATAACCGTGAACATACAATGCACAAATATGAATAAACTTGTATTTTATTTTGTAGGAATTGATGGATAAGGAATCGGTACGAAATGCTCAAGAACGTGTTCCTCCCGAGGAGCGTATAGCACGTCGCACTGAACGAGAAGGCGGCGATCCTTCAGAAGCCGGCGAATTTGTTGTAGAAAAAATACTGGCCAAGAGGTTTAACCCGCGTCGAAAACAGTATGAGTACCTGCTGAAATGGGAAGGATATCCACAGTTAGTTACTTTCTATTATTTTTACATTTATCTCATAATATTTATAACTTTAGTTATAAATATTGTCTGGTCTTGAAATGGGGAAACATGAGACATGCTTGTTTGCTGTATACAATTATACAGTATACATATAGTCTATTACTATATTTAGACTTCTGTAGTTTAGCAAAACATTGCTTTATTTCAGATGGTAGGGTTCAATTCCTAAAACAATGCAATTATTTTTATTATTCATGAGTATGATTGTTCTGCTTCGTTTCATTCATATAATATACTTTTGTTTCTTATGCAGTGAACAAAACACATGGGAACCCGTAGAAAATATGGAAACATGTAAACATCTTTTAGAAGCATTTGAGAAGCAACTAGCACGCCAGAAGGAGCTCAAAGCTCTGAGGGCACAGCAACAGCAGCAACATCCAGTGCAGGTTAACAATACTTACATTGTAAAAGCGAGAGTTTTCTGTTATCCTACCTCTATTCAAAAACTGTATGATATCATACCATAAATATGTCAGAATATCCTTCTCTAGCTTATTCATTATTATATTTAGTTGCTATTCAACTAAATATAATAATGAATAAGCTATAGGAATATATATAGAATAAGAATATATATAGAAATGTAATTCAGGTGTTAATACTACTGATACTATTGTTATTATCTATTCTATTGGTTTAAATTACTTACATTGAATTACTTATTTAGGTAAAACAAATCAATGCACCTTTGCCACAGATTGTAAAGCAGGTTGTGAAGAAAACGGATAGTCCCGCATTGACCCCTACTGGGTAAGTGAAGTTTTATTACAATTTGATTTTATTTTCACAAAATCTTAAAAATGTAAAATTGAACAACAGTTATCCTAAAGAGAAACACGCAAGTTGGTTGGTGATGCTCGTTCTTCATGGTATGAGTTTGCTTTCTGAATTAGTGGTAGACTAAAAAAAAAAGACTATACAAAAGTGTTTAATAAGATATATACATAAATAATGTAAATCTCGATTGTAGGCGTCTCCAACGTACAAGTAAAGCACGAGCACTCGATCAAGTAAAAGCATGGTGTGGTGCTGAAGACGAACCTGCAATCAAGAAAGTCAAGAAGGAAATATCTAGCGAAGATGATGATTACTCAGATTCTGATCTTCTCAAAGGTAATTAATGAAACACAAATATAATGGAGCAATTAGAAATCCAGCTTAGCTCGGTGACTACCACATGGCATTACAGTTACTATTTAGACAAAAGTCAACTACACTGTCTTTCTTAAAATGTATATTTTATATACTATTCAATTATATGACATATTAGATTAACTTGAAAAGAAAAACGTCCATACACATTATTCTACATGATTAGGCTTGCAAATAATCTCTGCTAATATATTTTTTTATATTCAAAGATATATATGCATATAACATGTATAAGTAAAATATGAATGTAAAAATGTATGTGTGTGCATATTTCAACAGAGAAAAAAGTAATGAATGGGCAGTCATCCCCAAAATCAGCACTAGATCCAGAACTAGTGAAGTCTCTGGGTCTTAGCGGAAAGGGAATGCCAAACATTAAGGGTGTCATCAAAGTTGATCCTAAACACATGCCGAATCTCACTACAGGTGTGTAATATCTGAGTCTATAATAATTTGTTATTTTTCCTTAGATATAAATTGTGATCTATTAGACATAGACCATTATTTTATATATTTTTATGATGTATTTTAATTTATTGTTATAGGTGTTTACATAATGTCAAAGAGTTCAGGTATTATGAAAATTGATTCCCCTGGAAAATTAGGACCTGGACTCAATATAGATCAAGATGTGATCAGAAAACAAATATTAGCTGCAAAACAGGTACAATTTCTAAGAATTTTTTCACATTTTTTATAAAAGTTACTTCTATTTGAATTATTATTTCATAATACATATGAAAATTTCGAATATGTATTTTGCATTATTTATAAAATTATAACTTATTAATAACAGAAAAAGGCAGAGGAAGTAAAAAAATCATCACCAGTACGAACACCACTTTCTACACAGGTAAAATATAAAATATCGTTGTACTCATTTTTTATTCGTAACTATTGTTATACTACAACTATAGTATATTTTTGAAAGGTCACTCATAAAGGTCTGAAATAAATGTATTGAATGCTATTGTATAATCTTGAACTAGATATTTACGTAACACACTATAACTATTACCATATACATGGAACACCTATACCTGACGTATATGATGGATGCATTTTCCCTTAATTATATAATGATGTTGTAATAGTAATACATAAAAATTTATATATTTGCGATATTGTGTGGATCGTTTGAGAGCAGCAATTGTGAGCTAAGTTGTACGATTGGCATTTGTTAAATAAATTTAGGTTCATATCACATTTTAGACTTACAGTCATAACTGGCATGCCTTGATCTTGAGCCTACTTTATCACAAAACCGAGCAGAGTATACTAGTAAACACCGTTTGTAACATAGTACTGTTACAAACGGTGTTTAGTAGTTGGCTCATTAAAACGTTATTTGTAAGAAACATAACAAATAATCTTTTCCTGCATTTAATACAAGAACAAATTTGTAAAATTCTCACATTAAATTTTCTTATTAATCAATGTATCCTATTTCATAATTTTATTTTTTATCATATTATATACCTATGTACACTTTATTACAGATTAAGAAGACATTTGCATCAAGTGGTCCACAGGTGACTGAGAGAACTATAACTACGCCCTCTGGCCAAAAAATCATACAACGTACAATACAGCGACCATCTGGTCATAATGAGGGAAAATCGCCTGTAACTATATTAAACAAGAAACTTGCACAGGTTAGTCCCTATAAAGTTAAATAATAGTAGATAAAAGTGTTTTCGTCTTATATAAAAAATAATCACTTATTTTATGACCTAATGTCTCAACCGAAATTAATTTTATCTATTTACAATAATAATAATTTTATATTAGATCTATATTTGTTAACCAAAAATTAACTGAGTGTATGTTAGTGTTCCTATAATTGAATATTACATTATTTAAGTACCCCTAATAACCATTTTAGTCCGAAAATAATATATTAGGCTGTCGAAATTTGCATAGCATTTTCAGAATACTGTATTGCTTCCACACAGTATGTGCAATAGAGAGGCAATTCATTTGTGTCTGTGAACACATCAAATGTGTTCCGATTTCCTTTTTTCCGAGTACCTCTCGCCACTTATAAATATTATGTTTATATTTTTATCTGGAGCGATACCTTCTCGCTCGTTTGTATTTCAAAGAACTTAGTGTATATTTATTGGGTGCTAGTTCGAGTTCAGTGCGTGCGCTAGTGGCATGAAAGTCGGTAGTATTGCCCTGACTGCAACATGGGTTTATGTTTGACACCTTGTTTTAAGATTTATCACACAAATTTGTTTTTTTTAAGTACCGATTTTCTTTTATTTTTATGTTTTTATTATGATTTATACTTTATCAATATTATAATTTAATAAAAAATTGCTTTTTTTGACCTCATTTCACAGAAAAACCCTCGCATAAGTGGTTAATAAATGTCTTGTAACTCAGGGGGATAGTCTACTGCGGCGCGGTGCGTCGGCGCGTGGTCGCGGTCGCGGCTCCTACTCCGCAGTCTCTACAGCCGCCGGGAATGTCGTACGCATTCGCGAAAAAGCTCCCGTTCCTATTACTTTCGACTTCGACCAGGTTTGATTTCTTCTTATTGAAACTAATGTATTATAATTGACGATTCTAATATTTCCTTCGATTCAATGCCGCTATCACATACTTTTATACATAATATACATTTATAGTACATGGAGAACCTAATCCCGATTATGTGTTATATTTTACTTTGCACTAATTTGTAATGGCTCACATATTATTATTTAAATAATAATAAATGTTAGGCAACATTTCAAAGTAAATACATATTAAAAGTTACTATTTATACTAATTACAGAATATTGAAAAATTACAGTAATTTTCAACATTGTGAATAAATACAGTTTTATTATATATATGTTCGACCAATATCAATTAAAGTTCTCAATATTTATACTATGTGGCGCCAGGTGAAATGTACAACGCGCTATAGTTTCGTTTTCTTTGATTATGACCACTGTACGGAATTTTGTAATTATTGAGTTCGATTTACACCCGAATATATCTTTGTTTACTATCCAATTCGGTGTTGTTTGATTTCTTGGCCTCGAGTAAAACATATATTATTAGTCAACATTACTAACAATCCTGTTTTTTTTGTTACTCCTGGTTTAGCTTTGCCTTTGCATTTAACCAATATCAAAGTATCGTGTACGATGGAGTGTGTGTTTGCGCAGTGGGAGGGCTCGTCGGACACGTCGGACGGCATCGAGGACCCGTTCCCGCGGTCGCCGGGCCCGCTGCCGCCGCCGAGCCCCGAGCGGCCGCTGTCGCTGTGTCCGCTCACCGGCCGCCGCCTGGCGCGCGCAGAGGGCGAGCCCACGCCGCCACCCACGCCGCCCACGCCCTCGCCGCCGCCCACGCCGCCGCCCGAACATTCCGGCGCTATGCTCATGAAGGTAACACCCGCGACGACGCGCCCCGCACACCTATCACGCCATCCACGCCGCCGCCCGAACATTCCGGCGCTATGCTCATGAAGGTAACACCCGCGACGACGCGCCCCGCACACCTATCACGCCATCCACGCCGCCGCCCGAACATTCCGGCGCTATGCTCATGAAGGTAACACCCGCGACGACGCGCCCCGCACACCTATCACGCCATCCACGCCGCCGCCCGAACATTCCGGCGCTATGCTCATGAAGGTAACACCCGCGACGACGCCGCGACGACGCCGCCGCCCGAACATTCCGGCGCTATGCTCATGAAGGTAACACCCGCGACGACGCGCCCCGCACACCTATCACGCCATCCACGCCGCCGCCCGAACATTCCGGCGCTATGCTCATGAAGGTAACACCCGCGACGACGCGCCCCGCACACCTATCACGCCATCCACGCCGCCGCCCGAACATTCCGGCGCTATGCTCATGAAGGTAACACCCGCGACGACGCGCCCTACACACCTATTTTTTATGGACTAGCTGCGCCGTAGAATTCGTCCGAATATTCATACAATCTTTTATCCCCTTTTTATTTTATATTTAGTCAACTACCTAAAAAGTAAGTTTCAAGGATAAGCTTAACGACACTTCCATACAACCATTTGTCTCCCCTTTCGACCCCCCTTTACAACCCTTTTTTGGCATTAAGTAGTGGCCTATATCCTTTTTAGGGTCTAAAGTATCTGTATACCAAATTTCATTTATATCGGTTCATTCGTCATGAATTTGTCATGATGGTTTCCATGAAGAACCACATGGAGGTCAACCTAGCATGCTTTTTTTTGCTAGCATTGGTGTTATTAGTCCATATTACTAACAATTGTCGCCCGCCTTCAAATAGGTGTTTCTATTTGAAGACTTAAAGATTGATCTGCAAACAATTAAGATGTACTTGTGTAATGTATTATTATTTAAACCAGAAACATTTTAGTATATACAAAATATAGGAAATCAATAATTTATCTTTCAATAATGTATTCATATTTTTTTCTCATTCTGAATATAGATACAAAATCTGAATACTGATACTTTCTGATATATAAAATTTATGTTAAAATCTTTTTATAAAGTTATATTCAAAAAGTAACTACTACAAAGACTAGTGGTTTCTGTTTAGCACCAACATCAGCAACAGGAAATTACAAAATGACCTAACAAGTTTCAAACTGTAAGGAAGTGTATACTATGTCAATAATGTTTTTTGTAGGTGGAAATGTCTCCCGGCGGGACCACTGGAATGCTTGTACAAGGTGACGGAGCCCAGCCCTCGTTACCTGTGTTAACAGACGAAGATGGCGTAAGTTGTAGAAATATTTATTTATCATTTTAACCTAAATGATAGTTTTTCCCGAACCAATCACATCAGGCATATACTTACATACATTTGAGGATGTATTAGATTATATAATTTAGGTTCTTTATAAAATTTTTTTTTTTAGACTGAAGTTAAAGTAGAAGCAAGTACAGTAAAGCAACTTCTAGAAGGTACTGATGATGGTGAAGAAGTAAGCCTCTTACACACGGGTCACCCTCCTATTATGATCCGCGGAGAAGATGGGGTTCTATATCAAGTAAGTTATTTTCAAATAAAAAAAAGGTAGACTGATGATGTGAATATGTCATCAGTCAATCAGTAGTCGTCTGAACTTTACTTTGTTTTATTAAATCCAATTTCCAATTATATTTATTGGTTATCAGAGCTGGCATTATATAGGTATGCTTATGCAATTATATTTTTTTAAAAGAAAGAGACCAAGATTATTTCGGCATAGAACAAATTTTATTTCCTGTTACAAGTCAAAATTACTAAACATACTATAAGTTTATCAGGACATAATGCTCAGAATAGCAAAGATCAAAGAATATAAAAAAATATGTGTATACGAATCATAAAATAAACTCATTAGGTGGCTGGAGAAAATGAAGCCGGACAAACGCTACTAGTGGCAGCAGAGGGTGTCGAAGGGGCGGTAGAAGGCGTCGAGGGCGCTGTGGAGACAGACGGCGACGGAGTTATGTATGTTACGAGAGATGACGGACAGGTCAGTAGTATTAATAAAAGAATTAGTAAATTAAAGCTTACACAATTTAGTTTACTAATTCTATTTACTTTTAGTTTAGATCCTCAAACTTTAAAAACTGTGTTTGTTTGAAACCTAAAATGATATGCCTACTTTCATTTCTTTCTGCGATTCTGTAATTAAAACATTTGTTTTAATATGGTCATCATTTATTACTCAATGATAGAGTTTAAACAAATGACTATGTTTTGTTCGAAATAAATGTAATACAAAATGTAAAATAAATACAATAGCAAATGGAAAAACTAAAAATTTCTTATAGATACATCTCCTTAAACAAAGTGTAAAATTTAAAGTTTTAATAGTGTTGATTAGTCAAGAACTACATATATAACAAAATTTGGTCATCCATGCACATACAAAATCCACAATTACAATAAACTAGCGACCCGGCTTTGCATAGGTAGACATTTCCTCAGTGCACACAATACAATACATGTTAAGGCAATTTTGTTATTAATGCAAACCAAAGTGCCTTGCATTATAGAAGATTTAGTAGGGATTCCTATTTTTTCCAGTAATGAATTGTTACTTATGAGATAATGCAGCGTTCTAATGATGAAATCATATTTGAAATTGTTCCAGAAACTTATTATATCTTATAAACCACAATTTTTACCTCTATATAATATTAGTGTAGCTACTTAACTGTGTTGTATTGAAGCTTATGACTCTTTTCTTATGACACAGAACAGGTGTCTAACTTGGAAAACTTCAACCACCCAATATTTATCACTGTTATTGATATTATACTGATATGTCACTTTTAAGGTATGGTGTCAGAATGATTTTCTATCGAAATATTATGCCACAGGACGTGTTGGCAATCGACCCGTCGCAGCTGGCGCAGCTGATGCCTGGCGAAGCGGCACCCGCGCTGCAGCAAGTCGCCGTGCAAGTGGAGGGCGAGCCCGGCGAGGATGCCACGCAAGTCATCGCGCAGCTACTGCAGGCTGACCTCCCGTCGCCAGGTTAACTATATTTTTTTTTATTATTCATTTATCTCTTTGTACACTTTCCTCCAATCTGTTAAAAACTACGAGCAGATTATTTTGTCAGTATTCAGGTTATTTCAATTTTATAAAAAGTACATAATGTATTATGTAACAATATTAAATAATGATATTTATACAGGAGGCACACGACGAGTAGTTCTCATGCTGCCCGATGGAACATTAACAATGACTGAGTTGGACAAAGAACAATATGAGTCTATTACAGAAGCCAGCAAGGTGCAAGAGTGAAAAAATAATTATGATAGTTTAGAATATAATATTGAAAGATCGACTCTGTGCTTTACATATTGCGGGTCAATAAAACAATTTACGAATGTTTACTGTATATTTTATAAAACTGCTGTAATTATTAAATTAATTTTGACTCCAAAAATATCAAATTTTTAGCAGTTTTCTGTCTAGTTGTCTGTTATTACATACATAATTTTGCAACGAGCGGAGTATACCTGCAATTTAGTTTTGCATTTATGTATATTATATGAAATAATATTTAGTATTGCAAACTAATGGACTAGCCAACAGATGCCAAACATGAAAAGCATGTAAATATATTATACTAATTCTTAACATTGCAATGTAAAAAATGATCTAAGAAATTTCACTAATACTGAATTATTGCTTTTCTATTACATAATACCTTAAATAAATACATATGTATGTATGGATAATTATAATACACATTGATTTACATGCAACAGAATTGGCTATCAATCGTGTTTAAATTATAGTATTGCTAAAAAGGTATTATTTTTGCAAAACTACCTATTTTTTAAGGTATTGCCTGATTTCTAATTCTGACTTGTTATATTGCACTCAAATTAATAAATAATAATAATAAAAACGAATAATTTAATATCAAGTCATAGAATATCGAAGTGTATTTAATTAATAGAATATTCATGTAAACGTGTATATAGTGTTGAAGGTCAATTTCGATTTGTTAGTATTGTACAAGTTATATGTTTGAGTAAAATGTAATCATGTTCTTAAAGGCTGATCAATTATTTGATCTACCTTTGAGAAACAGTTTGTGAACTAGTGTTTTAGTAATATTAATAGTAGCAAAATATCACTAGTTTTAAGTATGTACAGTATATGTATTGTAAAATGACGAAACCAATGTGTGTAAAAAGCGAGCAATTTTATTATAAACATAAAATATTGCTTTCTGGCATTTATTTTCTTGGCAACAATAAATTTATTTGGTCAATATAATTAGTTTATTTAGAACAATTCTCAAAATCAACCTTAATATACGCCAGTAAATTCTTCATATGCATCAAATTTAATAGTCTGTGAATTGATTCTATACTAAGTTCTACGGATGTACACTTCGAAGGTATTAAATATTTTAAGATTACTACTTTTTAGAGTATTATGTAGCGGAACAGGTTACAAAATTTTTTTTGTACTTGACATTTTAAGAAACAATTTTTTTTATTTGTTTAATCTTTAACAGAAAGTCAAAGGAAACTGCCCAGATAGCCATGTCTTTGATGTTTTTAATTTTCTTATATACTTTATTTTGTCTCGAATTAATTACATAATGTACAATGCCTTCTGCATTGTACATTTTGAGAGTCTTCATAGTTTCTGAAGAAAGTCCCCTGACGGAACAACTAGCCGTATAAAAGAACCCCGAGACATCGGAATACATACACCCCAACCGCCAAATTTCTCTATACAACGAGCACCCTATTCAAGACTACGAAATCCATCACAGCGAAGAGCTCATCTCGCTTTTCCGTCATCTTTTTATCTGTAGATTTCTTCCTAGGGAACCTGTTTTTTTTTACCTTTATGATAAATAAAGGTAAAAAAAACAGGAAAGGCAAAGAGTCTAAGCCCATACAGCCCTAGGAAACCTGGTTGACATTTATTTGACGTTGACACTTGTTACTTGTCAATCTCAAGTTGATAATACTTAGTTGGCTTCCGTCCATAGAAATTCACTGCTTCCACACACCCTTCTTTTTAAATCTGTATTTGAAAGAATAAATGTAAGTTCTTTTATCGCGGCATATATAGTTTTATTTTAAACTTTTTGTCTACACAGTTATTGTACTTGGGATGTTCATATCTATAGTGTTGTGAACTGTACTATGCGATATACATAATAGTAAACATATTTTTTCCATATAATAATTTAGCCTTGCATAAAATGCTACAATCCTGTGAATATTAATATAATATTGAAAGTTTCAGAAGAGCTGTTTATATATCCTTGATAATATAATGATACAATGGAATCAAAAAATGTTAATATATATTTTTTGTTAGATGATCCAATTTCCAATTGTAATACTTTATTTTACAAAGCATTATCTCTTGCTGCACATGGTAAAGTACTGTACATACGGCATGAGGAATTGAATGAGCTGCCACAGTTATCTCGAGATTTACATTTAGCAAGCAAGCATTATATGAAGATGATAAGTTTTCTATATGCAAAGACATTGGAATCATTAATAGAAAGTCTTTCTACTTTGCCAGAGTGGCAGAATATCCCGTCTACAATAATACTAGAAAATTTAAATGGTTATTATGAAAAAATAAATGCACAAATTGCATGTGGTACTGTAGCATTATTGATTGATACAATAAAAAGTTGTGCAGATGTTCTGAAAGTGTCTTGCAATCTTTATATTTCAGTCTCTAAAGGTAGTGTAGGTGATGAATATGGCAATATGTTGAGAGAATTGTATACATAGTGTTAATGAATGAATATATAATTTTTTTAACTGTTGAGGTGGATAGTAAATAATTTCATTTTATAAAGAGTTTTATTTAAAAGTGATTGCTTAATATAATAGTATAATTGGGAGATAATAATAAGTGGTGTAAATATAATAATAAATAAATAGGTGGTGTTACCCACAATAGATTTTATATTTGTATAGGTATGACAATGAGTAAAACTGGCATAGCCTTTTACTGATGATGAATGGGGTGGAATATGTTGGTAAAGGCCTTTACCAAAAGCCAAATAGACATACACATTAAAGATAAATAATGACTATTAATGGTATGTCTGAATAAAAGGTTTTATTATTATTATAATAATAACCTACACTCCGGTCACAAATCTGAGGAACGGCTCCGTTTCCCTATCTGCCACACAATGAATTTTATTCCCAATGGTGAATACATGCAATACTAAGAAATTTGCCTCTTCAAAATTCAGTAATTCAATCCACAATTTGTAATAACTCCATATTCAGCTTATACATTATGTTATTACAGTAGTAGTACAATATATTATTCATAAACTAAATCTAAATTCCAAATTTACAATGCATTTTCATTCACTTTGACAAAGATGAAATTACTGTGTAATCCAAGTTTATAATTTTAGGTCTTTGTAAATGATAATATAGGAAGTTTTAGACGGAAAAGTAACATTGCATATACAGTAATGTTATTAGGTATAAATTTTAAATCATAAAATAGAATCCTTTATTTATATTATTTTACACAATTATTTACAATAGATTAATATTTTTTCAATCTTGGGAATGAAAACAATGATATAGATTTAGATCACCTAAATTTAAGAACTATATATAACACAAAGAAAACAAATATTGAAAATATAAATAAATAAAATATATAGTAGTTATGATTCCCTTTTCCAAGTTTGAGAACTCGACCCATTGTTTTGCCAAGGAACCCAGAACTCCTATCAACATCATCATCGAGCCCACGCAGCATCTTGTCTTGATAACGAACTTCATCGCCAATTTGTATTGACATATGCTTTAATGTACTTATCTTCCCGCTGAGTTCTTCAGCCATTCTGTCGTTGTCATTTTCAAGTGCATCCTCTGTTGTGACCCTAGGAAGTGGCTGGTAAGAATACCCGTCTCGGGGACGACGCATGTTGCTTCGACCCGCCGTTTTGATGGATAATTATTATACAGTATACGTCAACTTTAACTCGATTAATTTGATGTCAATTCGTTGCAATACACGTACTCATGAAATTATTAACACAGTCGCAAACTGATACTGGAAGTTACTGTTTCAAGCTTGAAAAAATAAAAATTATTTCCAGAAGAATAATAACATAAATTTTTTACACATATTTTTGTTCAAATTATCTAAGTTAGAAAGAATTGAATTGAATACGAAAAATAAAACAATCGTCAAATTCCTCAATTTGTCAGTCGTCACGTCATCAGTGTTGCCAAATGACCACAGAACACCAATATCCAAACGGACAAATGACTGTCTGGTCCACAGAATACCGATATCCTAGGTCCGGCTGGCTTTACTCTTTGCTTGCTTACCCTAAATTTTGTAGAAACTCCTAAAAAATCGGGTTATTAAAAAAATACACCAACAAATGTATTAACAGACTATTCACAATTTTAATGCTGCTTATGATCCAATAGTTTACTTCAATATACACTTTTCGATACAGTTCCTCTTTATTTTTTTTTTCATTTAAATTTAACCAGCAGTCTTTAATAATTTAGACCTACATAAACATACCAACGACCTTGTAATCTTTCACTTCAATTACTTTCTGCAATTTCCTCCAGAGTACTACTATCATATCATACACACAGGGCCGACGCTAGGGTCATCAGCGCCCGCATGCAATTTTAATTTTTAAAAAAACTAACTCGAGGAGCAGAAGTTCCATCCTTCTGCTGCTTTATCGGCCTTTAATGTAACACCGGACGAAAAAGGAGTAAGTGTAGAGGGTAGATACTCCAAAGCTGCGGATGAACGTATAGGAAACCGCTAAAGAATAACTTTTAGACGCACTGGACTGTTTAATTATGTCGTCTTCGTCGACGAGGTCGGTTTTGTGTGATAGCGTAGTTGTACAGGGCGAAAAGAACCGTAGTTAAGTTTGTTGCCGTTATGGGATCTTTAGGGTAAATATGAACGTGCATCCAACAGCGTTATTGTATCGAGACATTTTTCCTAGGTATATACACAAGCATACTGATAATAAGAGGATTGAGTGTGATTGGGTGGAATTATTGTTATTAGCACTGTCCATCCTTTATGAAATGCTAGATGATGGCAGGTAGAATTTGTAGAGATCCACATTGTGAACGCACCATGGCGCGCCAGTGGCTCGACGCAAGCTCTTATATATATAGAATTTGTAATTTTGTACCTAATTAAGCATTGTATCGTATAGTCGTAAACGAGACTAACATTGCTTTGCCTTTAATGCAGCTAAGTAACCATACCATTATCATTCAGAAATATTCGATTTCGTCTAGTTTGGATTTGGTCTTTAGGTCAATACCGTAAATAATCTATAGTTCTAATTCTCTATGTAGTCTGTGGTTCTACTCTATATGTTATACCTACCTACTTTCATTGTTGCAGTTGCGAATGAAATATGTATATTTATCCAATAACCAAAGAATAAAATATATAGTGTATTTCATGTAATGTAACGTGTTTAATATGGTAAAAATATTTTAAGTTTGATACTACACGGTTAGTGTCTGTTATATTTTGCTACAACTTTGGTTATATTATTGTTGTCGTCTATGTACTATCGTTAAATTCAATGATTGCGTCATGTAAACTTATAGATATACGATGAGGTCCTAGGAAAAGTGAAAATCGTTAGCCTTCATTATAATGCTATTACTTTTTTAGTTCTAGTGACTAAAACTATAATTATTTCCTGTACGGTATTGGTGATCTTAACCTTTCATTTGACAGAGATAACCTATGGTTTTTTTATTTTGACACCATTATTGCTTTTCATAAAACAATTTAATGTGAAATATTTATATATGGTCCTATTAAAGATTACTAATGTCTGCAAATATTAACTGAAATTAGTAATATAAACATTATTTCGAATCTCATAGTTAATAAGGTTATGTTGATGTTTTGGTTTTAGAAGGCGTACTTAGGTATTTAGTTTAGTCGTTGACATGATCATGGCAGCCAGATTAGTTTTTAAAATAGAGTTATAATTTCGACAGTAAATAACTTATTATTTAGAACACAATTTAGCATTCTCTATTTCGAAATTTGTTGAATAAAAGGAAAAGCCTTCAAAACCATAATATAGAGTAATCATTTCATAGTCAGTCAGTAAGTCTTTGCATACATATATTGGACATTATCTCCCAATTAGCTTAAGGGAAAGTCAGAACTAAGAGGGAGAATTCAATATATGTAATTAATACATGTATGATTAATATTAAATGTATATATTTTGCACTGTGATAGATTTGTATAGATTTAGATTGAAAACTATGTTTTATTCCTGGTTTAATTAATCCAATTAATATAATATGTATTTATTAATATATTTATATATATTTGGTTTCCGTTGGAGTAGAATTCTATATATTTATTTCCCTATATGAAATGTAAGTTTTTTTACAGTAACTGTAACAAAAACATGAAGATATGATAGCTATAAAAAGTACTTTTTAGTGAAATTTGTGAAGAAAACAATATTTAGGATATACAATTTTAGTTATGGGAGAGATCATAACATAACAACATGGATGGTGACGGAGACTTCCTCCATTGGGAGGAAGTAGAAGTAAAAGTAAGTGACAATACATTTGTTTTTACTCCTTTGGACACCTTTTTTATTTTGCACTCCTTTGGACTTTATTTTTTTCTTCCTTGAAATGTATGTGTGTTGATGATATTGTATGAAGAAATTATTATGAATGAACTACATTAATATATATACATGTATATATATTGATATACTTTATAATAAAATAGTATGTTAGGAAGAATACTTAATACTTAATGTAAGAAGTATTTTTAAGTCAGTGCTCAGTAGTTCAGAGACTCTTGAACTCTTGCTTTCTTGATATATGATAGTGTAGCGGCTTTTGTATTGATTACCGCATGCATCCTCATGTAATAATCCATATAGTAATTTTTGTAGCTGTGACGTGGTCGAGTGGAATGAGTAGTCATGCTCACTAAAATGTCCAGACATGTGGCGGCGTGGTGGGCCGGGTAATTGGCTCCCTAAAACATGGTTGAGCGCAGTGATGGCTGGCTCATCCGTCATACTCGTGAACGAGTACTGCTTGTAGGGACTGGCCTGCTCTTATCACTACAACTGATTTTATCTTATTGTGTTTTTATATTTGAGCCTAAATGAAGTAGTGTTGGTAGTTTGTATTCACACGTTTCGACTTGTAAAATGTGAACTTACAAGGATTGTTTAAAAGAGCAACACTCAAGTTTCTTGCTTATTCTTCTTGTGATGAGACAGCTTTCCGAATTAGCGGTAGATTTAAAACAATGTTGACTATTCAAAAGTGCTTAAGTTAAGTTTATTTGAATAAATGATTTTCTATTCTATTCTTGACTTGATATTTCTGTCCGAAAAGAATTCTTTTTTTCTCAGACAGAAATATCAAGGCTCTTCTTTTGTTTTTTATAGAATAAATAAATAAATACAGCATAGTATTTATTTATTCTAAAAAAAACAAAGCTGTAAAAGAAATAATGTTGCTGGAAAAAATACTATTTTCTACTCTTTACATCTCAATAATATGTTGCTGGAAAATAGTAAAAGGTGCATTTTTAAAGAAAATAATTAAACTTTTTTTAGCAAAGCCCTGTCCATCCAGTAGGTGATGAGGAGATATGTGACCTTGACAATGTGCAAACTGGAAGTTTTTCCAATATGGTAAATGTTATTATATCATTCTGTTCTTACATTTGTAAATATAATGATAAACTTAACAGGGGAAGAGAGGTAGAGAAGACTACTTTTAAAAAGAATTGCTTCTTGTGATTAAATATTTACAAATAAAAATGGATATCATTAAAATGTTCTCTATGCCTAAATTCACAAATGTTTAGTGATTAATTGAATAGATTATAAGTTGATGTACCACTACATAACAAACACTATAATGTTATTCTTTGTGTAAATTATACATATTTATATGTATGTCAATTTTAGACTTCAGAAGAAATTATTACAAATATGGATCAAACAGCAGCCGAGAACTTGATGTATTTATCACAAGATGTTGTGAGTTATACAGAAACGGCAGAGCTTGTAGAGGATCCAAATGTGGAGTGTGTCACTGAAGAAGTGATTACTGATGATTGGGTGATATCAGGAGGGCAGGAAAGGTAAATTATTATATTACACAATCATTAAGACCAACCATATTACTGTTTTTAGTTTCTATGGATAGAATTGTGTGTCCATATCAAGTCAGGTTAGTTAGCTCATAGTGGTGAATTAACCAGAAATTATTGAATATAGTTTACATGGGTGACTGTATGGAAGTTGACCTGACACTGCTTGGAACATTGCTTGCTATATACTATTATATTGCAAGCAATGTTGGGCTAATATTAAATTTAATGTTGGATGTCAAAATTTGTAACTTGTTTATTTTTTTTCCAAGGAATCTTATTATTTTTATTATTATGTTGTATTTGTATTATTTGTTCACTAATTACAATTGATTAAGAATCCTATTTATTTACTTTAAATGTTCTCTTTCAGAGTGGAAGTATCGCTAGAGCATTTAGCAAATCCAGTGTTAGATATAAAAGAAGAAAATGATATTGATGTACCCCTTCCAACTGATCAGGTTAGTGTTCTACATTATTGATAAACTTATTGTACATTCCTGTATTTTATTATGAGTTTTAATTTTATTGTTGTGTTTATTGTAGCTCTATTTATTATTATGTTATAGGTAATAGACCACTGATGTAAATAAATACATACATAATAGGCAGTATGATGTAAATAAATACATGCATATTAAACACCCATACAGGCACCACAAGAAGTAAAGTAGTTTGCAAATCTACTAGACCACAGAGGCTGTTAATTGTACACAATTTATTTCAATGGGACTCATATGTATTACTAGCAAAATCGGGTTATTAGTTCACATCACTATTACTACTATAATTCCCCTCCTACATTCCTGTACTTATATACAAATCTATTTGTTATCTGATTATTGATGATTTAACCCCTGTCCCATTTATATCGTTGATTAAATAGAAATAAGACATTTTGCCTCTTTTTGTATAAGTCAATTAAATTAACCACACTGTCTTAATCATTATCTAAATACTTTTAAAATGATATATAATATTTCTGTGTAAACTAAAATTTTAAAGGCAAAAATAATTTAAATAAATTAAAAAAAAACTTTAAATGCTTGTCTTGTAAAGAAAAGTACATTTTGAATACTGCCATTATTCTATTTAACCGACGATATGGGGATCGAAATGACGGCCTTAGCAGCGGTTGGAGCCCTGTAGAGGTGCTTGGCATTCAGCCATCTCATTTTTGTTCAGTGAAGCTGTAAATTCCAGTATTTAATAATTCGAAAAAATGGCTTATCTTGCACTTTCATGACTCACATATAAAATCTAGCTTTACTTTAGTATGTAGTGTTCCCTTCTAACTCTTCTAAATTTGAGTGTGGGCGTGATCTCAGGACGAGTACACAGCGATGCGGCCGTGGCCATGTGACTTCTGCTCAAGGCGGTTTCGCAAAAAAGCGGCGCTTATGAACCATATGGTTGCGCATCAAAACGACCGACCGCACGCGTGTAACCTCTGCGGCGTACGGTACGTGAGAAAGTGCGATCTCATGAATCACTTGAAGGTCCACGCCTTCGTACCCGATGACCACGACCAGGATTCCCTGCACTATGGTTAGTCAGATTTTTTACATAATGAGTACACACAAAGGCGGCTATATATGTATATACAAACAAATGGTTGCAAACAAGCAAATGGCCCGTCTAATGGCGGATGGTAAATGGTTATCGCAGCCTATGGACACCTGTAACACTAAGGGCGTCACGTGCTTGTTGCCGACACTTAAGAAACTTTAATATACCCTTCTTGAAACACCCCATGCTGTTGTCTCGTGAGTAAACTTCGGCAGGTAGTTCATTCTATAATGTAAGTAGATGTGGAAGCAAGCTCCTTTGAAATCGTGCTGTCCGAGGCCACTTAGGTTCCAGTGTGTGGAGATAAATTCTCTCTCGATGGCGAGTGGTGCGATGGTAAAATGTTAGTAACACACACACATTGCTATCCCTTCGCGACTTAGACCGGTGAAACGGTAGCTGTCAGGTTACTAGGACACGATTAGGTACCACTTCAATGAATAATCGCCGGAGTTTCAAAGCGTAAAGAGGAAAGTGGCTACATACTTTCCTCTTTATGCTTTGGAACTCCTGGAAAGTAATTCGCATTTGGGTAATATAACAACTAAACGATTGTCAACAGTCTTAGCTGTGGCTCTTATTGTTAGACACTACCAACAAGAGAAGTTACAATATCAATGTAGTATTTTTACAACATACTTGTATTTTTGTACTTTTATTGAAGTTTCCTGATGATATTTAAAAAGGATGAATAGAATTTATTTTAATTGGTTTTAGTATATTGTATAAGTGTCTGTTACCATTGTAGAAAGAAGTTGCGAATCAATCTTTGAATAAATCCGAGGTTGATGGAATAAAAATACTTTATTTAATAATATAATTTCTATGTATTTCCCACCATATTTTATTCAAGAAAAAATTATAAGAATATTTTCTTCTTATAATTATATGGCAACGGAATAACCATATACAGCCTAAACAATCTTAAATGGATTGAAATGTCTGAAAATGATTTGTTAATGAAATTAATAATGTAAATTACCAATTTTTTCAGATGATTTATTAGATAGTGATCAAATTGTCAAACCAAAGAAAAAAAGAGGTAGACGGAAAAAGAATCCAGAACCAGTAGAGGTGAGTATTGTAATAATACCAATATAATATTATCAAAAGAAATGTAATATATGTAAAAAAAATATATACCATTTAGAAGGACGCGGGAATGCGCGTGATGACGGCCTGCGCGGTTTCTTTTTCTCTTTGTCTACATTAAAAATCTAAATCTACTTAAAACAACATTTCTTTAAAAGAGCAACACACAAGTTTCTTGCTCATTCTTTTTGTGATGAGTCTGCGTTCTGAATGAGTGGTAGAATAAAAAAAAGGTGTCTATTATAAAAATGCTTATATTAAGTTTACTTGAATAGAGATTATTTCTATTTCTACCTGTACATGCATATACTTTTCTGGGTGAAAGTCTATTCACGCGTGAAAGAGCGTACGCGTAATGGGAGCTATTCTTAACAGAATGGCATGTGGGAGAATATGACGTCGGCGCGGACGCAGCAGTGGTCGCGGCGCGCGCGGCCGGCCGCCGCCGCCCCGCCGTCGCCGCCCACGCCGCCGCCGCCGCCGCTGCCGCCGTCGCCCCCGCCGCCCCCCACCGACCCCTCGCGCCCCTTCGTGTGTCGCCACTGCGGGGTCGGCTTCGCGAGGGAGAAGGCGCTGCAGTCGCACGCTCGGGTACTTATCGTTTGATATAAGTAAAACTTCAATTACTCGTTTGTGTAAATGTACGACAGAACATAGACTCGGTAGAATTCGATTGAATATCGTAGTTCCCGTGTAAAATTAATTCGAATAGGTGAGTATGATCAGGAGATATATGATTACCGATTGTTTACGAAGATTATAGAATCTATTTTAATTGTTGCTCCAGATTACTATTAATAATTTTGTGGTGAATGGTAAGGTTGGATTCAGATATTTAGTAATCAATCGCCACCGTCCACAAGGACGACAACAGTTGTCAGTGTTTCTGACTCCCCTATCTAATGTCATGCCGGTATATTATTCCATTATTATTTAATAATAACTGATAGTCCCCGACAACATGTGGAAATTCGATGACTAATCAGGACCATCTCAAGATACGATGATTCCACTGAGAATCACACTCTACCCGCGACGTAACTTTTACCGCATATGCTCATAGAGTTCGACCGATTGCAAGATGGATACAGAAAACAATATATTACGAGCCATACGCTCGGTTGGAATGCGACGACGTTTTGAGTTACCGAATGTATGTTATTGACCTAAGCCGTGAGGTACTGCGCATGTGCAGGTGCACGGCGGCGACTCGCCGGTGGAGTGCGCATCGTGCGGCGAACTGTGCTGGTCGCGCGAGGCGCTGGCCGCACACGCCGCCGCGCGCCACCCGCACCTGCCGCGCCCGCCGCGCGCGCGCGCAGACCCCGACCCCGACCCCGACCCCGGGGACGACTCCGGTGAGTACACACTCTTTTATAGGAACACTGCACCACCCGCACCTGCCGCGCCCGCCGCGCGCGCGCGCAGACCCCGACCCCGACCCCGACCCCGGGGACGACTCCGGTGAGTACACACTCTTTTATAGGAACACTGCACCACCCGCACCTGCCGCGCCCGCCGCGCGCGCGCCGACCCCGCGCGCGCGCGTACACACTCTTTTATAGGAACACTGCACCACCCGCACCTGCCGCGCCCGCCGCGCGCGCGCGCAGACCCCGACCCCGACCCCGACCCCGGGGACGACTCCGGTGAGTACACACTCTTTTATAGGAACACTGCACCACCCGCACCTGCCGCGCCCGCCGCGCGCGCGCGCAGACCCCGACCCCGACCCCGGGGACGACTCCGGTGAGTACACACTCTTTTATGGAAACCACCCGCACCTGCCGCGCCCGCCGCGCGCGCGCGCAGACCCCGACCCCGACCCCGCCCCCGGGGACGACTCCGGTGAGGACACACTCTTTTATAGGAACACTGCACCACCCGCACCTGCCGCGCCCGCCGCGCGCGCGCGCAGACCCCGACCCCGACCCCGCCCCCGGGGACGACTCCGGTGAGGACACACTATTTTAAAGGAACACTGCACCACACACGACCCCCCGGGGCGCGAGTACACACTCTTTTATAGGAACACTGCACCACCCGCACCTGCCGCGCCCGCCGCGCGCGCGCCGACCCCGACCCCGACCCCGCGGGGCACGCGCTAGCTTTTATAGGAACACTGCACCACCCGCACCTGCCGCGCCCGCCGCGCGCGCGCGCGAGTCGACCCCGACCCCGACCCCAACGTACACAAGTATCAAGGCATTTGTGGCCCTGGTCCCCATCTACGTGCTGATAATTATAGATATTGAGCAATTTATATTTTATTATTTTTTCATATGTACATACATATGAAAAAATAATAAAAATAATAGTTATAATAATAGTCTACAAGGTATTTGTAATATGCTCTACATGACTTGAATTAAGTAAATAAATAAAATAGCAAATGATAAACCCCTTCCTCAATGTAGACGAGGACATGGACTTCCGGCTGTCGCAGGCGTCAGGTGGCGCGGAACGGCCTGCCTACGAGCAAATGAGGGGGCCGGAGCTGTTTTGCCAGGACTGCGGCGTTGCCTTCCAGCGTGCGGACCTACTGCGCAGACACGTGGCCGCCGCGCACAGGTACGCGGCTTGACTATATACTATACTATACTTTTTTTTTAATTAATAAAAAATTGTATGTATAAATAATGACCGCGTCAAATTTAACTACATACTATCAAAATACATGGATTGTTCAGATTATCAAATGTTGTATTACACTAGTTATAAGCGGCACGACAGCACGAGCAGCACGTGGGCGGAGCACACGTGCGACGTGTGCGGGGAGAGCTGCACCGACGCGCTGCAACTGCTGGCGCACGCAGAGCGGCACGCGGAGCGCCCGCGGGCCCCCAGGTACTACCGACACTCGCTGACCCCCTCCATACCTGCACTGACCCCTATTACAGTATCTGGAACCTGGAACGTTATCTTTTACTATGGAATTAATTAATTTCACTCAAAGTAATTATAGTCCTGAGCTTGCACTACATATTAAGTAAATTAATTTCAAGACTTCCTGCTCCTTTTAGAAGCTACCAAATACCGCTAAAATTGTTGCCAACGTTAAGGATGGCATAGGAGATTTATTTTGTAACTGTTAAATGACTGCAGTAAAAGATTACATATTTTTATTTTTTAGATTAAAGAAGATGAGTCGAGGTAGAAATAATACGTCGTCGTCTAACAGTTCGAGGCAATTTCCCTGTAGAGAATGTGGTAAGTGATAAGAGCGATTAAAGCCATTTTTTTTAAATGGTTTTAAAAAACACGTGTCATCATTTTAAATATATTTTAAACCTACCGACAATTCAAATGACAATATTCGTTATGAGGAGCTGGCAAGAAACTCGAATCTATTTACATCATTTACTTATTTGGTCATACAATATTGACAATTCTGACCATAAACAACCAACATTTGGCTTGTATGTTACTTTATGCAATAGCTCGTTGAAAGATGTCAATGTAGATAAAATACACACTCCCAATTTTTGCAGGTAAAGTGTTCGGATCGCGGAGCTCCCAGCAGATCCACATACGGATTCACACGGGCGAGCGGCCGTATGCGTGTAGATTTTGTTGGAAGGCGTTTGCGGACGGCGGCACGCTTCGCAAGCACGAAAGAATACACACAGGTCACTGTTATGCTGATATTATTATTGTTTTTTTTTCTGTACTCAAGTACGAAAAATATGACCGTCATCTTTATTCTCTTATTCACAAATTGCAATGTACATTTAAATATGCATATCTGGAAATGCAACTCAGGTTTTAGTATAAAATAAGTAAAAAGCCCAATACTGTAAAAACATATCAGTAGCCATGCTCATATTAATATATTATAATAATATCTCAGGGCAGTTCTCAAAGTGCCTTCTAGCTCCAAAATAAGCAGAACTTGTGTTATGGGTACTGGACAACTGATATAAATACATAAATACTTTTTTTTGGATATACATACATATTATACATAGGAAATACCCAGACCAATTCAAACAATCATACTCATGAATACACATGTTTGTACCGTGCGAGCCGCGACTATCGCAACCAGGCAGCTCGATGACGACCTCGGTAGTTTAGTAACAAGATGCCGAGCGGGAATTCATTATCATGCCGTAACATGAGCCCCTGGTGTTTCGGGCGTCCATAGGCTACGATAGGCGTTTACTATCAGATGGCCCGAATGCTTGTTTGCCACCGTCGTAATAGAATAGAATATATAGAATACTGGCTGTGCCCGCGGTTTCTCCCGCGTTAAATTTCAATAAAAAATATAGCCTATATGTTTTTCTGATGCATAAATTATATTACTGTAAGATTTCATCAAAATAGTATATGCGTGAAAGAAACAAACATCCATACTGGCAAACTTTCGCGTTTATAATATTATATTAAGATTAAGATAATTTTATTGACTCGTTTCACACAAAATAAAAAAAAGCAATAACATACACATTAAAAAATAGAGTCAATATGGACAACAAATAAGCGTAATGCTAGAAATATAAAAAAGTTTAGAGTATAAAAGTATTGTGTTAAGGTATTGTGTTGCAGGCGAGAAGCCGTACGCGTGCGCGGTGTGCCCGCGCGCCTTCAACCAGCGCGTGGTGCTCCGCGAGCACGTGCGCTCGCACCACTCCGCGCCCGACCGCCGCGCCAACGGTCAGTGCCCACTACTCTTATTTACTTAAGCTTTGCATTCCATCATTTTACACTAAACCAAGGTAGGTAGGAAATTCAAAGTAAATCAATTATGTACCCTGTGTTGGGCGCACAGGGCACATAATTGATTTACTTGGCTAGCGGAAGAGAAGAGAGGAGGAAGAGTTCATTGTTATATAATTATAAAATTATTATTTAAATAATAATAATAACATGTAATTCACTTAATTATTAAGAAATGTATACTATATATATATTTAATTAATAAAATTCAGTATGCCATTTTTATATTCGAAGAAATAGTAGAATATTAAAATTAGCAATCACTTGAGATCTATATATTTTTTCCTTTACTATTTTTTACTATTCCGCGTACCACTTGATTATACATATTATATACCTTGATTTTTCCGCTCTCGCTTACTTCACCGTCAAACAGTTTGTTTCCATTGAAGACAGAGAAATGGTACCAAAATTACAGAGTACAGAGGCGTAATATCGTAGACCTCCGGTATGATAACGCTTGTGAGGTACCATAGTCGTCAGTCGATGTCCGTGAAGCTTTTTAAGTGTATATATTGGTGAGCTAACCATCAGCTTGTTTACCATTTTATTTGAACAAAAAAATAAACATACTCCACTAGAAGGAATACTTCTTCCTAAAATCAGTAATTTGTAGAAGTCCATTTTTAGCATAGGATTAAAATGTATGTGTATTTCATCAATTATTTATTATTCTTGTAACATTTCAGGTGGGCCTGCATATTGTTGCGTGGTTTGTGAAAGGACGTTACATTCCAGTGCAGAACTAGTCCAGCATTTAATTCAACATTGCGATGCAAATACAGCTCTTAAAAGGCAACCTCAGGTGAGTCAAATTTGAATTGATTTACTGGCCTATTGAAATACCAACAATATTAATCCAAAATGGCTGTGGAGTTTTATTAGAGATAAAGATTTATATTTATCTTCACATTACAATTAATAACAGTCTGTTTTATTTACGACTAATAGGGTTTATTGATTAGGAGTACCATGCACAAAAAGATACTATGCCTCTAATTTGTTGCTTGAAAACTAAGAAGTAAAATTTCAATAACAAGAAATTAGATTGTAACATAACATCGCATTGTTATATGAATTTCCGTCGGGTGGTTCTCGAGCGAATAATAAGCGACTTTAAGATAGACGAAGAAATGATATAAGAGTTCTAAGTTTGGACGTTTATATTCATAGGTAGGATAGGTCATGGTGCACTTCACTTTGGAAAACATTGATACACCTATATTAGAAATAGAAGATTTAACAAATATAAGTTAACTTATATTACCTACACAGTCGGGTCCGCGCAAGTACAAGCGGCGGCGGAGAGTGAAAGTGGAGTCGCCAGTGGAGAACCCGTGGGAGCGGGCGTCGCGGTCGGCGAGCGGATCGCCCGCGCGGCTGTCGCCCCCCTCGCCCCCCTCGCCCCCGTCGCGGTCCCCGTCGCCGCCCCCCTCGCCGACGTCCCCCTCGCCGCCGCCCTCCCCCGCGCCGCGCTCCCCGCCGCCCGCACGCCGCCGCCGCCGCCGCCCCGCGCCCCCGCCGCGCGCGCCGCGCCCCCGCATGATACACACGGAGCAGCCGCGGCCCAGGACCAAACAGGTCTGTGTTTAAGTTACCATTAGCCAAACCTCTTGACTATACTTTTTTTTATTTAGCCGTCAGAAAATATCCCTTTTCAGTTGAGTGGAAGCTTTTATTTAATCTAACCTATGGTTATGAGGTTGTGGATGTCCACATTTTCTATTGTCACTGTAAATACAGTAAAAATTGCTCTTTAATTTTATATAGTTTTGTACATATATAAATATATTCTATATACCACTCCATATAATAGTCGTTACAAGTTTATCAAGAAGTAAACATTTGTTACAGATTCGTACGAGAAGGCCCCCTCGTCACCCGGCCGACGACTTGCGTGCCATCCGGGCGCGATCCCCCGCGGTGTCCCCGCCCCGCGCGTCGCCCCCGCCCCCGTTGTCGCCGCCGTCGCCGCCGTCCCCACAGTCTCCGCCGGCGGAGCACGCGGTTCCAGGCGGCGCGTTCAAGTGCGAGATGTGTTCGCTGGAGTTTCCCCGCCGCGACGCGCTGCTACTACACGTGCCCATACACATTTGACGAGAACCGCGACTACTGCGACGCTCGCGACGTCGCCGCTAAGCCCGTCGTATACACGACCGGTAACTATACGTATATGTCGTAGCGAGATCGCAGAATCGACATCATACCACAATACAGACGACAGAATTACGTCAAGTATTGACATATTGTGAAATCACGTTTTTTAACAATTGATATGATATGCCTTGATCATAACAATAATTGGAGATTGTATCTTAATCAGATATCTTCTCTTGAAAGTGATGATGTGTAATAAAGATGAAGTTCGTTATTTTTCGGTATTAATTAATTCCCGTGGGATTATTGCAATACTATTCACCTTTTATTAAAATAAATGAGAAATTTCTGTCAGAAATATGTATATATATAGCAATATATATAAATAACAATAATAATGCTAGAAAATCCACATAGTGCCATCTAGCCCCAATCTAAAAATATATTGTGTTATGAATACTAGATAACTAGTATACATATTAGAAATATTTACATGTTTGATAAAATTAAAAATATATTTCTATGATAATTTACATGAGTCCCAATATGCAATATTGTTTAGAAACGCAAAGCAATTCATATGATGATCATGTAACGAAGTAGTTTTAGATCCCAGAATGAAAAAAACTGATAAACTGGTAAAATCTATAGTATCTCTGAATTTTGATGAGACCACTAAATGAAATATTGGTACTGTGTATTACTTATACATATATATGTATAAATGTATATGTAATACGTAGTACGTATATATGTATACTTTCCAAAAATCGGTGTTGAGTAATTTTAAAGTGCTACATTTATTCATCACTTTTTAAATAATAATGTCAAAATTTTTAAACCCCAAACGTCAACTGCACACAAAACAAGTATATCCAAAACAAGTCGTGTGTCGCTCTCGTTTCGAAATGAAGTCGATAAGTTTTAGATATTAATAGGCAGGGCATAATAATATCTAGTGGTTTATAAACTTCATTAGGCACACGTTGTGTTGATACTACGCCTAATACCAAATAATGAGTAAGCGGCCTAATTAAACATTTCTACATCATGACTGTAATAAGATTATTCCATTTTCATTGATGAATCTCTATTGACAGTAATGAGTATTGCCATATCCTTAATGGGATGACAATCATAGGAATTGTATTTAATAGTAATGACTAATGTAAGGTACTTCACAATTTAATTATTATAATATATGATTTCAATGTTGAAATTGCCATAATCCAAGGAAAGGGATTTGTTATGATCATGATAATTTCTAATTGAAGTGGATGACTTCATATATAGTGTAACTATGTATGTATTAATTTAGGTGTTAAATAAATGTTTTAGAGAATGTATGAAATGTAGATGTGAAAGTGTTATTGGTAATACATGATTATTAAGACTCTACTTTTAAGTGTGTGATTGTTAAATAATTCTGTATTATTGAAAATGAATTGAGCTACTCTTTATTTTATTTGTCTTTACAATAAAGTTAGAGCTGTTTAATGATGGATGTCAATTATTGTAAATAGTTACTTGTGTAATTTTTTTTTACAAAACACTGAAGGACATCTCGAGGCTAAACACTGTATAATTATACTGTATTTCTTGGTGTGTTCTAAATATTTCATAATAATTTCGATTTCTTTTGACTTATTTTTATAAGTACATGTAAATGGGTATTATATTTTCACTAATGGACTGATTTATCTATTAGTTTCAAAATTATTGTTTAAACTAGACATAATTTGTACATAAGTATATATATAATGTTTCAGATCACCGTCGTGTTTTTTTTTTAAGTAGATGAATAAAATTTAAGGTCCTTTAATTATCATCACCTTAGTGCAGTAAACATTTATCTAGATTACACAAGATGCCAATATTCTTGTGCCATACAATAATGACAGCCAGTCACTGACAATACCAATTTAGTAAATTATTCAACGGAAAGATCTCGATAGTATTCTTGAACAGGTAAATTCATAACGAATAAATTGTAATCATGGAATAATTTTAAAGTAAATGTTATAGTTATGTGTAGTAGGTCTCCAATATGTAAAATTATTATTACTGTAAATAGGAAGAGGACATTTTTAAAATTAGTAAAATAATAATGTTATTTTAAAATGAATACATAAAAATAAGATACAAAATATTTTCATTAGTGTAACATAATTCAGTAGTCATCCTCATTTACCGGGATATATGTTCATGCAAACTGCATGTTTAATATCTCATAAATGTAAGAAAATGTGTACCTATGCAGCAATAAAGCAATACCAATACAATTACATTATTATTATTATCATCATCGCTCTACTATTATCATTGTGTTAAGAAGGCCACATATCAATCTCCTCGATTTGTCACCGTCCTTTTTGATATGGATAGATTACATTTACTAACGTCCTCCTCCTCTCGTGTCTCTCCTCCTCCGTCCGGCTCCTCTCGTGGCGCGGATTTTAATTGAAACTATTTACTGTAGATTTAGATTGTTGAAATGAAAGTAGTAATAATATGATTATAAGTTAATTTTACTAGTTGTGGTAAGTTGTGCTACCAAGTAGGTAAACATCTCAAACGCGGCAGCAGTGAAGGTGAGTAACTGCAGTAATTCGTGGGCGCAATAACGTTGCGAGGATAGAAAACAAAAACTTTCTGCTGTCGTATATTGCAATGGTTTTTATAAGAATTTACCTATAATCACATTACATTATAATTTGATCAATTGTATCCAAATCCAATAATAAATGTGTATAAAAAAGATAGTGCCTTTTAATTGTCAATTTGACATAGTCAAGATGACACTGACACATCACTCTCGATTGTATGCCTGATATCGAAGAAAATAAATATAATAATTTAAATAAAATCTAAAGGATTAAGTTACGTGCCCAAATATTAATTGTAATATAATAGTATTTATTTTTTTAATATATATTTTGTTACCAAATGGCGCAAGAACTAAAGGAATTGTGTCATTTATTGTTTCCCGATTCTACGGAAGGTAAATAATTTCGGTTTATTATTAAAAAAAACTTTTATTAATCGTGTTACGTAGCACAACAGAAAAATGAGCAATTATACACTTTTAAATAGACCTCAGAAACCCTAATTTACTTACAGAATCATTGGAGAATTTTAATGAAATCAATGACTACATAAAAAAGTTAGGCTCACAGAACTGGGAGTATGTTCGTAAAGAGCCGGAGAGATTAACCGAGGAAATGAAACAATTGACAGAACAGACACAGGAATTGGCTTTCACCAATTACAAAACCTTTGTTGAGACAGCAGAGACCTCAAAAACTATAATGAAGGATTTGGGAAAGTCGAAAGAGTCACTGGATCTATTTCTGAATATGACACCTAATTTCTTACATGAATGTGAGAAATTTTCACAGATTGTTGGGAATATTGTCAAAGAGAAAAGGTGAAATCAATGTTAATTGATTTTTTATGATTGAAATAGTTAATACTTCTATAATTTTAAATGTTAAATTAAATTTGTAAAAACAACTATTTTATTCCAATAAATACAAATTAGAATATGTATTAAAAATAAACAAGTTACGCCTATTACTCCTATTCCTATTCTGTAAATTCAATTATTAAATTTTGACTTAGCTGATATAATTTTTTTAATTTCAGCCAGTACAGTGGTATTCGTAATCAAGTTGACAAAATGTTGGAACTTCTAGAGTTGCCATCCATTATGCGAGAAGCTCTTAATGCTGAAGACTATGAGAGCGCATTGGATATATTTACATTTGTTCGTAATTTATCAAAAAGATATTCTGAGATACCTATAGTGCAAGTATGTCTTCTTATAACATTAAATGGTATTTCATGGATATATAATTTTGTATTAAAATATTCTATTCCAGGTCTTTATATTGAGAATATTTATATTTTGAAAAATAATAATATTATTTTCATTTACAGAATACAACTTCAGAAATAATGACACTGTGGTTTGAAACTTTATATCACTTATTTAATCAACTTCGTTATGATTTGCCTTTACCACAATGTTTGCAAGTAAGTTTTTCAATTATTTTTGTAAATATCATAATTTCTTACATTTACTATAATGGTAATAAATTTAACTTATTAGATTTTAGGATATCTTCGTAGAGCAAATACAGTATACCGAGCTACAGATGATGAAGAGAATGGGTTGCAATATGTAGCAGGGAGTAAAAACAATATCTTTACATCAGATGGGTTACATTTACATTTTTTAAAGGCAAGAAATGCATGGTTTCAAAAAGCTTTAGAGGATGCTAAGAATACCGAAAGTGAGTACAAATAACAATATAAGAACTAATTAATGACAAATTTAAAATCTTTCCAGAAAATATTTATAACTCATTATTGTTATTGGTGATGTTACTCTTGTTTGTCTACTGCATTCAATGATGATATGATAGTAAAATTATCTAAGATCATGTAATTTTTATTATTTGTAGCTCCTGAGAAATTATTGAGGAAAATTGTGGAACTGCATAGAATTCACCTTTTCAATGTATTAACTCAGCATAAATCAATATTTCTATCAGACACCCAAGATTCTAAAATAAAAGATGAAGAGTTAAATGGGACAAGTGCTCTTTCATGCTGGCTAAAAGAAAAGGTACCCAGGCATCATTTGTTTATTATTGTACACCTATATAGTGAAATGACATTAAATAATTTTGCATTTTTAGGTGGAAATTTTAGCTCACATATTGAACCAAGACCTATTGAGGGAGGATGAATCAAGCTTTGAGGCCTTATTAAATCAGTGCATGTTTTTGTGTCTGTCCTTCGGGAGAGTAGGTGCTGATATGAGATGTGTGTTGACACCTTTATTCCGAAATAATATTCTGTTGCAATTAAATAGTGGTCTTGAAAGAGTGGTTAGTCAATTAGAGAAGCAAATGCGGTCATACAAGGTACCCAGTATTAAGAATGTGCCACGACCAGTGAATGAAAACATGGCATCTGGTCCTCCAGAGAACTTACTTGATTACTATCCTTTAGCTGAGTTTTGTAATGGTTTATTGACTGTACTGAATTCACTGAGGATTACTGCCCCATTAAATATCGTTAAAGATGTTTACAAAGGATTTAGAAAATCATTAGAGAAAGCAGTCCACATATTAGTAGCATTTTATCATAAGGAACAACAGAGCTTTTCAGACATTGAGAGACAAAACTTTGTTTTGTTTTGTGTAAGTTTCTGTGAAGATTTAGTGCCTTACATAACGAAATGTTTATCACAGTCTTTCCCATCCACACAGATAGCAGAGTTGTTGGGGATTACGTTATCAGTTTTACAAGAAAGTAAAATTCTTTATATAGACCAAATAGTTATCTGTGAGCGCCTTGGCCCTATAATAAAATTACCAATTAATTAATCTATTCTACAAAAAATAATTTTGTGATCATAATACTATTATTCTATATGGGATGTGATGAAAAGATAAATGTAATATGTTATATCGAGTAAGAGATTTTTATATTATTAAAGTTAGTTATATAGTTGCGATTTTTACTGTCTAAAAATATTTGGTTTATCCTGAAGTTGTGGTGTGGTAGCGACACAAACAACTGGGGCTGCAAATTCGAATTTGGCAAATGAACACAGAACTCATCATTACCGCGTCGTTGACAACTTGACCACTGAGACGTCAAGAAAATTGTAATTGTAATAAGTAAATAAAACAATATTAATTGGACAAATTGTATGTTAATATGTATATTCAAAAATGGACCGGAGGGGGAGGGCCGGGGCAATTCTTGGGAGGCGGTAGTTTTTAATTTTGGCCCCGCCTCTAAATAATGAAGATCCGGGGCTGAAGTACCAGAGATTATGTCACAGTTCAGAATAAAAGCATTCCTATATTATTATCAATCAATGTAGAACATTTTAGTTGCTTCTGATCCGGAAGTTCTTTGTGTATTAATATTTTTCCCCAACTGTCGAGTTCAGTACTACAGATTCAATACAAGCAAGATAGCGCGGTATCCCCTGCGTCGCTGGCTGCCTAAAAAGAATAGTGCGCCAGCCAACCATCTATATAACGATGTCGAAGTTAACTGAAATTATTTTTTAAAAAGAATAAAATAGAAAATTCTTTATTCTAATAAACTTATATTGAAGTGGAATTTATTGTTTACTTGCTTATTTAGATGTCATGAACAACTATCATTCTTCTAAAGGACTTAAAAAGGAGAAGGTTCTTAATTCCACTGTACTTTTGCCGAGTCTTTATAAAAAGTCGCCTGCATGGGTACCTTTCCCTTAGCTATTTCAGTCGCCAAGCATTTTACTTTGTAAGCTGTGGTCGTGTTGAAGGTGAGACATTGTAGATAATTACTGAGTACAGATGCATGACACCTTACTCCTTAGAAAAAGCAAAGCACGATGATAGTCCTTTAATGCTGACGACGACGGCTGAAACTACAAGTTTTAGGAATATGCAATAAACTTACAAAAAAAAAAGAAGAAAACGGATCCAAGTCAACAAACTTAGTGTTATACATATTGATGGAACGGGGTATAAAGCAATTACTGGAGCGTCTAGAGACGTGCAGGTCTACGTATTTGTACGTTAAAATTTATAGATGACAGGAGAAAGGGGGAATCAATTTGACTATTCAACAATTTATATAAGAAAACCATATCAAACTGTTTACGGCGATTTATAGACTCATAATCTTATAATGTGATAAAGAGGACTCATAATTTTTATCGACGTGACTCAAGCGATAATATTGTTGTTTAATGAACTTTTCTGCACATTGTAATGCTGATTCCAGATCACAGAACTAAAATCCAAAATAGAAAGGAAATAACTAATGAAAAATATAATATTTTTATTTATTCTTTTCATTGAAATGATGGATTATCATTTATTAACTATGATTACTAAATGTAGTAAATATAATATGGCGAGTCATACTAGTGATAGCAAAATTTTCGGAAAACAACAGGTTTATTAAGAAAAAAACATGAACTTATTTGTTACTAAAGAGTTCAAAGTCAAAATAAATAATAAGAGTGAGTACATGAGTAAAAAAAATTTAATGATAAATTTCTTACATAAAACAGATTAATTAAGATAAAATGTATTCATTCTGTAAGGCACAGCCTTATTTAACGCATACTAGAAAAAATATATCTAAGGAATGGCTGTTCCATATAAATTTGTAATTAAACACTACTCTTATGAGAATCGAATCCTTTTAATTCTGGACTTGCCTTCATCATTTCTTGACACTTCATAGAAGTGGGAGACTTTATCGATGTTACCAAGAGATTCAATAAATTCCCTGTCATGTGTGATAATGATGAACATGAAATTTTTCTGCGACATTCGCTCCTGTACTATTTCGCCGAGCGCCGCACAAAGGCTTCTAATGTTCTCTTGGTCCAAATTTGTTGTTGGCTCATCCAGGGCTAAGATTCCAAATCTAAATAGAACAATATTTTGTTATTACAAATAATCTCTTCTGTTATCGAATATATTATAAATTGTAAGAGCGAAAACGGTTTGCGTATTTAAAATTTTATGCATCTGTATTTTGATTTTTATCATCTAAGTATTTAAAAATATTTACTACAGTTATTCCATTATAAAATATATATTTACAGAAGAATACCATGCCAATCAAGGCGCGAGCATTAACTATGCTCGTTATTTTCATTACATTTCATTAACATGAAAAAATATTAAAGCGTATATTATGCGACAAGTGCCTTTGTTCAAAATAATTACCTGGAGCTGAATGTCTCAGCAAGTGCCAATCTTATAATAAGACAAGCTAAAACTTTCTGTCCCGCACTGCATCTACCACGCATATCGATTTCCACATTATTTTTACATTGCACAACTCTGAAAATATGACGTCAAATCAATATACACCAAACTTAAAAAAAGATCTTGCACTACCAATACTTACTAATAAAAAAGTCAATGTTTTACCTATAATCATATTTGCGACGTTCTGAATCAGCAGACATGCTACTTTCAGTTTTTATTTCAATATAATCAATATCGTTTCCTCTGTATATCTTTCGCCACATCTCCCTAAATGAAGAAACAAATGTTTTTATTAACAACACCAATAAAAACTAACTAAATAAAATTTAATCACGTTTTTAATATATTTGATTTATTATACCTGATAATCAGGTTAATGTTTTCCATTTTCTCTTTGTGGAATTCCATTAGACACTTCTCCAGTGCAACTGAGTAATCCCTGATGTCTTTATCCAGGACTTTAGTAACATTGAATTCATAATACTTCTCTTTATACTTTCTTTCTATATCTTTACTTTCAAGTTTCTTAACTTCTTGTTTAATTTGTTTTAATCTTACCTATAAAATAAAAATGCAATTACTAGAATTAATTATATTAGACTAGTACTAGACATATCTCTAATAGGCTGTGTTATCTATGGACAAATGTAAACACAGCATAAAATATTAAAGTAATTAAGTGAGTTAAGATGACGTAACTTACTTAAATACTTTAATATTTTGCAATGAACAAAAAATTGTTCCGGAATAATTATGTCTATGTAATGATCTCACATCAAAGTCTATACATAACATATAAATTATTAAAAATGAATAAATAATATTTTTACGTCACCTGTTGTTCATTTAAACTGCCTTCCAGATGTGCCTTCTCACGGAACAGCTTCGTTTGCTTAGAAATCAGTGCTTCCTTTTCTGACAAAGAGTCCATGTTCACACCGCTCATCCTCTCGTTATTTTTGACTTCGTCCTTATGACAATTTTCAATGTCTTCTTGGGTTTTACGCAATTTAGAGTTGTCATCCAGATCACGTTTGTATATCTTAAAAAATATTAAGAAAATTTATGAATGATTAGGTTGTATCTGATATTTTGTAAGGCACAAGAGATAAATATGGGATTACTGTATTCATAGCCGGCTAGTTTTAAACATTTATTTCTTTATATTAATGTTGTATATGTTAAAGTAAACATAGAAATTTATTACAGAATTATTTATTTTCTTGAAACAAATAATAGTCTCTATGTCTATGTAAAAATGTTTACTACTCACTTCTTGTTTGGCAATTTCATCTTTCAAACTATCTATTCTTTTGGTGAGCACATCTCTGTCAATCATGATTTGTTTTTGTTTCTCCATAAGTTTGTTATTAGCTTCCTTTATCTTCTCCATCTCACGGGGAATGTTTCGATCTTTGTGTTGTTTTATTTCAGAAAGAATTGTTTTAACTTTATCAAATTCGTTATTCACTTTTACTATATAGGTATTCTTCGTGTCTACAATATCTCTAAAGAAATATAAAAATACACTTTTTTATATGTAACTGGAATGGTAAAAAGCTCACATGATGATATACATGAACTGAACCACGCACTTCCGTTATGTGACTCTCGTGATACATTGCCATTCTGGAGGATTATTATGCGCCTTATCTCGTAATTTCTCTGCCCCATTCACCCTTCCACCAACACAATTCTTAAAGCAAGCCGCTTAGCGGATGAAAATATAACCTAGACTGAGATACCTGATATGTCAATGCTGTTAGAATGAATATGATCTCGATTCAATTAATGAGATCTCAGAATTCTAACTAATCTATAATGTTAAAACACTTATACACCATACTCAACATAATAAAATTATAGGCAAATCAGAATTATATAGGGTTAGATACATAACTATAATAAATTTTAATTAATAAAGTTAATTATTTCTAAGTGATGTTGAACAAACTCTAGCAAAGTCAATACATCTTACATTTTTTTAACAAATTATAATATTTTATATTTTAATACAGTTCCATGACATTGACGGACTTTTGCCAAATTACTTATTTAGTTAATATAACACTTTTTTCTCAAAAGCATGAAGTATTTACTTCAAATCTGCAGGTACACATTCCATTAGGCTACTTCGCTAACATGAAAAACCAATAGCAGACACTGCATGGCATTTCAATTTATGAAACCTATTGTTATTCAATGTTTTAAGGTTTTAACTAACATACCTGTGTTTTTTTACCGTTTCATTTTTAGCAGCTTCTTTTTCCTTGAGAGTAACTTCCAATGGCGCGATGGACTCTTGTAATTCTTTTAATTCCTCTACGAATTTTTGTGCATCCGACTCTAATTGTTTCTTCTTTTCTTGCAGGTTAACTATTTCTTGAACCTACGAATTAATATTTTATAAATAAATTTGGTTATAGTTTCCAGAGAAAGTCTAAATATTTATTATAAAATTATATAGTTTTTATTAAATTTAGTCTTTTTGATTGATAAGACTATATAAAATACCGTATATTTTTATATATCAATACATGTTGCCGAGGTAGACTTTACAAAGCCATCTGCATGGATATCTTTGTTCGCGTGTGGGCTGATTATGAAAAAATAACATAATTATATCATTTTAAGAAAACAAAGTTATATTATACCTTTTTCTGCACATTCAGGTACTGCTCCTTCAATTTGTTCTTTTTGTCAGCCATAGTTTGTATTTTCTTGTTATGTGCATTTAGTTTTCTTTGGTTGCTCTTGATTCGGGCTTTCATTGTAACAATTTTTTGCCGTAGATCTACCTTTTTTGCATTTGCATCATCCAATGTCATGTTAAATCCTAAATCTGCACATTGTGCTTGAGCAGTCTCCAACTGTAAATTTCAACTTACTTAATATAAAGTGTAAAATTAATGTAATATATCATAATATATATTACGTGTCGTGTTGTTGAACGTGAAACGTAAAACGTTAAACTACTGAACCGATTGCAAATTAGATTTGCATCAAAATGCGCACATTGTGTGCATTTTGATCCAACTTGAAAGATTGTTTTACATCTCAATTTATAGTCACAATATTATTTTATTGCAGATTATTTGTCTATTATTAGTCAGAGCAACGCGTGGCCGGGTTTGCTAGTACTTCTATAAATGTGAACATATTTATTTCATGGATCATCCAATCGAATGGTCCCCACCGTACATCGACCCATCATCAAAAAAATCCAAACTAGTCAATCAGACAATTAGTCTGATTATTTAAAAAATATTACAGTTTACATGCTGGGTTCTTGTTCAAGTGGTTTGGTTTCATCACAATTAAAAAATTGCTCACCATATTAGAAATTGATTTGATATCTTGATTATATCTGTCAAGCAACGGCATTTCACCTTGAAGGATTTTAGCCGTCTGCATCTTCTGTTCCGGCTCTATTAAACTCTTTGTTATCTCTTCCGATGATTCAGATAAAACTGATATTTTCTGCAATTTAATAAAACAGTTGATTAACAATATAGTTTACATAAGTATATACAACATTAAAATATATAATACATTAGAAAAAGACCATTTGAATAATAAGTCTTGAAATAAACCATTAAACAATAGTTTGTTACTAACCCAGTAATATCTCTACATAATAAAACCATATTTTAAAAATTTTAATCATTCTACAATGATCTTATTTCAACAATATATTGATTTAAAGAAATAATATATTTTTTCTTTACAAAAATATTTTAAGGCTTTGGGCCTGCAGAGGGTACTCAAAAACTGCGGAAGACATGACAGAGCGGCTGAAGGCCATCTGCCGCCTGATGGACACGCATAATATAGTAAAGGTAGATTTCTGTATAAACACCTGCTCAATGTCTTTCAATCGTTTTTCTAATTGCGGAATATCGGTTTCCTTTAGTGTGATAATTCTTTCGTTCAGAGATTTCATGCTTATCAATTCATCCTTCTTAGCAGATATTTTTTGCAACTCTTCAGTGACTTTTTCAAGTTTAGCAGGCACATTCATCACTTGTGTTGTCATTTGTGATATCAGATCGGTTACCTGAATGAGAAATAAAAAGAAATCTGTAATTCTAAAATCTGAAATATAATGTTTCTACGCATCCTTCTTCTAAACCATGCAACAGAGGTATTTGGTCCTTGAAATGGCATGGCACAAGTGTCACATGATAACGTGTTGTACATGTATAATAATGCCGGTTACTGTTACCATCACAGCCGCCAGTTTATTTGTCATCAAAAAACAGATTTTGATACGTTTTTTACTATATTGTCGGGAATTACTCAGATATTTAAAAAAAAAAAGTTATTTGACCTCACATATACTCCACAAACCGTGCTGGGGTCGTTAGATACGTATACTCACTTTAAAAAGGTTTTTTTCAACACTTGCGTCGTGATCAATGTACAGAAAATATAAAATCGCAGAATTAATTCTAATATTAAAAGTACATACCTCTGATTCATTCTCAAATCCTCGGCTGCATAATGGACAACAGTTGTTGTCCTTGAGTTGTCCTTTATATTTATTAATAATGAAAATTGAAGATTGAAGAACATTTTGTTCATCCTGTAATGAAAATGAGTAAGTTGTACAGTTCATTAATAGAGAATTAAGATCATAACTCATTTGGGCATTCTTATGGACACAAAGGTCCATAAGAATGCCCAAAAGTTCTTTCTTCTTATAGTAGCATAGGAGAACTCACCCTTAAAATTGTTAACAAGGAAATTTTAGAACTGTATTATGTCTACCTATTTATTAAATATATCATACTTACTATTATCTTTAAATAGTGATATAATGATACTTCTGGCTGCCTAAATTGTATGGCGCTGCTATGATCTAGTGAAGATTAGAAAGAATGGGAATACAATCAGACACATAGCCAGTGTCTCTCTTACAGATTGTTAATACAAGTGGTCTGACTAATTAAGTGATCAGTCAGACCACCTCTCATTTGCACAAAAAGAGAGTCTCCTAGTCTCTCTTTTGTCTTAGACACATAATTAATTAGTAATAAAAATTCAACCTGTAATTTGTCCACCGAGTTAGTGATCTTGTCTAATGTAGCTGTATACGACTGAGTACCACAAGCTTGATATATTTGGTCCTCTGCCTTGGTCAGTTCGCTGCGACGTTCATTTAATGTCTCCCGTACATGTTTACGTTCTGTTTCTAGGCTTTTTGCCTATAAATAAATAGAAATTCTGCTTTAATAATATTAATGAAATTTTTCTAAATTCACTGTGTATATAAACTGATATAAAAGTTTGAAATTTTGATAATGTGTCAATGAGCGTGTATGAAATACAAATTTCTGTAAAGGGGAATAATATCAACCAAATTTAGTTACAGATTAAAAAAACAGGTATCTAACAAACTTGTTGATATTAACAAAATTTCACCTCTAGTTGCTGATCTTTCAATTTTTGCTTCATAGTTTCTACTTCATTGCGTATGTCATATTCATACTTATTTATGGAGATTGCAAAGTCCTTTTCTGGCATATTACCAAGAAGCTCTGTTATTGCCGACTTGTGTTTATTCTTTAATACCAATGACTGTTTCTCTTTTTGTTTCAATGTACCTTCAATCATGTCCCTTTCTTTCATCTTTTCATTGTGTTTTTGTAATTTTGTAATCTGTAAAAATAATTATTATCTTGGAAAAGGTAACATGTTTTTGTTTTTTGTGAATGTCCATCAAGAAAAGGTGACTGCCTTCATACGTTTTAAAATGTAGTTATGAGTGCTTATACATATGAAGATCATTGTTATAAGAAAATATATTACGATTCTCATGGTATCACTCATGAATTGTAATTATACAAGATTAAAGTACTATGACTCACATATCTCACCCTTCAAACTTCCTTGGCAGCAGAAATAGGTGAGACAGAGGTACCCACAGAGACGATTTTGTACAAAAATCTCCCTCCGGTATAATAACCAAATTATTTGCAAATAGTATATAAATTTATTTCATTTTGATAGGTCTGAAAGATTATTTGATTTAATAAATTAATACCAAATTGACAAATAAAATTATATTACAATAATTCATTAATTTCAATTGTTTAGTTATATATTAACAGACCTTGTCATCTAAATCTACAATTTCATTTTCATGTGTCTCTAAAGCTTTTTCATCATCATTTATTTCCTGTTGGGCTTCTTCAGGATTCAGTTCGCTCACTGCCTGTTGGTACTCCTCCTCAGCAACATTCATTTTCGATTCCAAAGTTTCCAATTTAACTTTTGATTCATTGGCATCATTTATGTCTCTATCCAACTTATTGATGTCTCTCTTATTCTTATTAATTTCAGATTCTTTACCAGAAATCTTTTGTTTATGTCGTGAAAGTGCATCCCTACTTTCGTCAACAAAAACTTGCATTTTCTTTTCCTCACTATCAGCTACAGATTTCAGTTCATTAAGATCTTGCTTTAAGCTATTAATTTTGTTTGTTATTTCCTTTATAACTTTATCAGCATCTTCATTTGTTTCTACTTCAGTTACACCATCAATTTCAGCGAGTTTTGCTGTTTCTACTAGCATTTTATTTCTTTTATCAATTTTCTCTTGATTTTGACCCTCAAGCAAAATAAATTTGTTTAATTTCAATTCATTGGAGGTTTTCTCATTGGCAATTTTTTCTTCTTCTTTATTAAAGCTTGAGTTTTTTTTATAAGATTCTTCAAGTTCCTTTTGCTTTTGTTTATGTGTTGTTGCATAGTTAGCTAAAATTAAAGTTTCATGATACAATTATTTAACATAAAACTGACATTTTGATTTATTTTCTATCAAAATATACCTACCGATTTTTTCTTGCAATTCAGCAGTAGTTCCTTCAAACATATTCTTAATAGTTTTCTTCAATTCTTCTTCCTGGGTTCGACAGTGCTCTAATCTGAAATTTAATAATATTATAAAATTACATAACTTTTGAAACTGCAAAAAATCTAATAGATGTAGTTTCAATTTGTATTTATTATAATCATCATCATCATCATCAGCCCACTGCAGTCCACTGCTGGACATAGGCCTCTCCCAAGGCACGCCACTGGGCACGATCTTCAGCCCTTCTCTTCCATTTTTTACCCGCAACGCTGGTTTTGTACTTGGACGGTCATTGTAGCAGCGTTATAGAGACATCTCAGCACTTCGATGTATCGCCAGGCGACTTAGCATCGCTAAACAACTTAGGGATATAACATCCCCTGTCTTACTCCACGTTTCAGGTGGATATGCTTAGTCTGCTGGTTTTGTACTTGGACGGTCATTGTAGCAGCGTTATAGAGACATCTCAGCACTTCGATGTATCGCCAGGCGACTTAGCATCGCTGCAGAGACTCCAGAACAGACCAGGTCTCGATAGAGTAAAAGGCCTTCTCATAGTCAACAAAGGCTAGACACAGAGGTTGATTATACTCTTCGGTTTTCTGTATAATCTGCCTAACTGTCTGAATGTGATCTATGGTGCCATAACCACTTCGAAACCCGGCCTGTTCCGGGGGTTGAAACTCGTCAAACTTTCGCGGGAGTTGATTTGTGATGACTCTTGAAAACAGCTTGTATATATGGCTTAGCAAATTTATTATAGTACATAATATAAATAGTAAAAAAATGTAACCTTGCTTTAATTTTCTCTTTATTGGCTTCAAATGTAGCCAAATTCTTCTCTAAAGTCTGAATAGCTTTTATTTTTTCTGTAACGGGTTTAAGTTCTTGAGCCATTTCTGTAATCTTGAGTTCATTTTCAGATATTTTAGACTCTGTGTTGACCATATCTAACTTTCTTTTATCTAAGTCTTCTTTCTTTTCTGTTAAATGCTTTACTTCTTGCTCTGTTATATAAATATTCATGTTATATAAATATGCACATTATACTACTAACATATGTTGATAATTATTGATAAGTTTAATGCATACTTACCAAGCAATTTAAGGGTTTGGGCATATTCTTTTCTAATTTTCTTGAGACGGTCAAAGCAATCACTGTATTTATCTGCATCAAAAATTTCATCAAATCTTTCCTTTACCTTTTTCCCCTCATCAAGAGGCCAACTGGAATCTTCTTGATGACAAAATATAACAGAATTCAGGATAGCTTTTGAGACACCTTTAAATACAAATATTAAAACATTCAATTTTATAATAAAAATTAAAAATCATTTATAACAATATACTTTTTCTTGCAGTATCAGTAAGTATCAAAATTGTTGCATATTTACTTATATTATATTATGGCAATGAATATTTAAATATATAAAAATTAAATACCAAGTTCTTCAAACATTACAAAATCCAAATCAGCACATCTTGATGATATATCTTTTGTTTTGCCTCCCTCATCAACTATTGATAAAAAGGAATCTAATGTCTGAAATTTTGTTTTCTTATTATGCAAAGCCGTCACTCTCATAGATCTCGAGACTTCAAGTTGTTTATCTTTTGCATTCATAATCTAAAAAAAATTTAAATATTGACAATGAATTATTGTGTTTATGTCATGTGTGATCTTATACCTTGTTTAAGCATACAAAATTAAGAAAATAGGTAGAATACATTTCCCAGTAATCCTAAAATATTATTGAGTTAAACAAACTAATGACAAACTATGTTCCCCACGATTTTGTCCACATGGAATTTAACTTTCATTTTCTAAAATAAAAATTGCCTAAGTCCATATTATATCAGCTACTTGCCAATAAAAGTCCCGTCAAAATCGGTCCAGCCATTTCAGAGATTAGCCAGAACAAACAGACAGACACAAAAATTGTAAAAAAAGGAAATTTTGGTGTATGCATATTTATATTTATATGCATACAGTAAGAATTGATTATTTCAATATTACAAACAGACACTTCAATTTTATTTATAGTCATAGATTAATATGTTAGATATCTGCAATAATCATAGTGAAAGGGTATTATTTAATGTTAGTGTTTTGAAAACTTTTATTCTTAATGTAACTGTACTTACCATCCTGTTATCTAGGTTTCACAACATTTATTATATTAAATAAACCAATATTTTGATAAAGTGATAGGGCCATACATAAATTACATGTGATGTTGTTACTTCTATTACCAATAGGTAGATAGATCAAAAATGTAAATAATATTGAACAATCTGATGCATCATAATAATAACGAAGGAAATATTTAAATAACATATATTTATTTTAGGAAAACAGCGCTGTTTGCGAAAAAAAAATTAAACTGTTAAACCACAATTGAATCTAGATTTGACTATACTAGATCTAGAATGCTTTAACTTTTATTATTATTGATATTACGAATATTAAAAAAAACATTAGTGACAGATTAGAAGCAATACTTCTTAAGTTTATTTATACTAGTCGGTTATGTTTATTTAATTTAAAACTGACACTTGAAGTATTTTAAGGTTAGAAATAAATTGGTCGCTATTGTTTTTTTTTTTACATAAAATAATGTTTACCTTCAGTTTAACTTGAGCCATAACCTCAGTGCTCCTATTAACTTTAGGATCATGTACAAAGCACTCATTGCGGCTGCCCGGTGGCATTTGGCCTGTGATAGCATAACGCAGACACTCAATAATGGTTGTTTTACCACAACCATTTTGTCCCAATATGAGAGTTAAAGGTTTATCAAATATTATACGTTGTTCATCAACTTCTTCTGGACCGAAACTTCGTATTCCTCTTACTGCTAATGATTTAACACCAGCCATTTTGTTGTTGTAAAACAAAAGGGACTATTTCGCGCCAATGAGATTTACATTAAAGAATGGAATAACCGGCTAAAGTAAATTATTTTAAGCGTAGCAGTAAACGCAAAGGTAGCATCGCGTGCCAGTGTTGCCAATTAACATCTGTTTTGAGTCGCCAGAAATTTACCGTCTAGTAACCGAAATTCCCCTAAGTATGATTTTTTTTCACTTTCGTTGATTATTATCAACGAAAGTAAAGAAAAGTTTCATTAATTGTTTAATCCTTTCCAAAATTATATATAGAACTACAGTAAACTAAAATGTAAATGTGTATCAAGATTAAATAAACATTATTATTATATATATTATAAACAACATATTTTCTTAAAAGGGAGAAATAAAACGCAACAATAATTACTAATTACACTAATTTAATCGTTTTAGAGACTTTAATGAGTTTTAAGGTAGAACTTGCGAGCAACTACAAATAATTGATATACGCTATTTGTGTGTTTTATTGTATACATTTCCTTAAATGTCCCTTAGAATCTTTTAATATTATGGTTATACCATTTTATTTCTAACTTGTTGTCTAAGCATATTCAAAGTGTAACTTCTGAATAGAAATGTTTTTAATGTACAATAATAATTTAGTATGTTTATTAAGGCTACTAAAAAATAAATATCTACCAGGTTTAGACCTCCAATGCCATCAAATCCACCAGATGTAGTGGTAAAATCATTAAGATGGCAACGTTGTCGAAGAAAGCTGTCTACGATCTAGGGTTGCCAACCAAAAGACTTTATAATGGGTACGAATCAGTACGTATTTTTTAATTACGTACAATATTTTAACATATAGAAATCTCTGAATAATTTATTCACTGAAGCTATTTTGCAATATTTTTTATTAAGTTTTAAACTTTGCATAACTTGTTTAGTTTGTGTAAGTAACATAATAAGTACTGACAACTATCCAATTTGTCTAATTTTTTCACAGGGAGGTAAAAATTTTAAGACTGTCAATATTAGTGTAGTCTGTGACAGTGATTCATTGTTGTTGAGACATATTTTCTAATCTGTGACTGCATTGGCGAAGAAAGCTTATGGGTTTCTACTTCTTTATTTACAAAATTTCAATTTATAGTCTTTAATAATTTTTAATTAATATCAGTGACTAATAATGTGCTATTGTTCATTTTACAATATTTATTATTTGGATTTTAGTCGTGATAGTCGTAAAATGTATAATGCAAATCGTCAACACCAATAAATTCCATAACATTATTTATAAATCGCTAAAATTAAAGACACATTTTGTGTTGTGTAAGTTGTGTTGAAGTGAAATTTACATATCATTTTATAAACATTCAATACAATAAGAGGTATGTTTTGATATTTGTCATTTACATTACCGCACTAATTGAGAAATTCAAGGTTTTGTACACCCGAAGTAGTAGATATGTTGAATTGCTCTGATTCATTTGTGACGATATATGTACATGGAAGGCGTACAATATAAGCTCGGTACCAGACAGCTTCAAGGGTTTAAGAGGATATTTGAAAATCTTTCAATATATTGGAACCAAATGTGCCCTTATGTTACTTATTCAATACTGGACTTTGTGCATGAAATTTGTGAACATATATGATTTTACAAATTATGATGTTTGCTGTAAAAACAAGTGTTATAGAAATATACAAATGTTTGTTCATAAAATATATTAACACATACAAAAACTCTACTTGAAGCTATATGTGGTGCCAGTTTATATTTCATTTGAGCTACTGAATTGATAATGGAATACTTATTCTATCTAATTATTCCAATTATAGCCTATATAGTGAGGCATAAAACTGCTTAATTAAGTAACAACATTACCTACAATTTATGTAACAGTTTGAAACAGTACTATTTAGTTTGCATCTGCTGCTCACAATAGGTATATAGATAATTGCAAAAATCATGAAATTTGATATGCTATAATTGAAAATGATCAATAACATAACTAGGCCTCTGTACTTGGTAATAAAATTACTAGATAATAATCAATATAATACAGAATTTATCACAGAATAGCAGTTATTTATTCTTATGTTAGTATTATTTAACTATTTGAATGCTACATTTGCACTACATAGCTAAAATTGTTTAGCACTAAAATAGTTAAAATGATATCTGACATATACCTGAACACATACAAATTTACTGATACTCATGTGCATTGTAATTTATTTAGTGTCGGAATATTTTTCTGCTAATTTATATATCAATTATGTTAGCACAAAATTCACATAATTAAAATATAATAATTTGTTATTTGGAGAAAAAACTCAGCAGATAATTATTCTGCTGCAATTAGAATAATTTATAGCAACAAAAGGAATTGTGTGAAATGATGGTCTGAAAAAGCCTTTGATCAGTATCATGTTATAACTATGGGTTCATAGCAATTTACAGATTCTCAGTGTAAATAATAAACATTGTTGTAAAATTTAAGGAATAAAAGTTAATAATTCAGTTGCCCTTGTTGTATATGTATCTAAAATAAAAACAGGTATCCCAAAGAATGTGATAAATTGTTAATTATTATTATTCTTTGTTCACTTTAATCAGATCTAGTGATCTAGTGATACTCAATGAACTCAATGTTGTAAGCATTGAGTTAGCATATATAATTTCTTTGACTTAAGTTATATCTTTATGTTTTTTATATATGCAATAATTTCATAAAACAAGCCCAAACCATATTTTTTAATATTTCATATAAAAATTACGATGATATTTTCGCAGAATCTTTTTTGTAACCTGTTTTTATTACTTTATCTTTACCTTTCAAAATAATATTTTGATTTCAGGAAACAATTAATTTTAGAAAATGGCATCCACTACTATGATCGAGACAGTTACTATAACCAGACCACTGAAGGTGAGTTAGACTTATATTAATTATATATTAAAAATATTTGCAGTACAATAATGGTTTACAAAATATGCACAACATTCCAAATGAGGGACTCATAAATGTGCAAAATAGAGCAACATATAATTGTTAACAAACTAAAAATAAGCTCCAAACAGCCATTTTTGGAGTTCCTAATAAAAAAGCCAATTGTGCGGCATTTAAACTTGTAGTATTATATTAAAATAATATTTTCTATTTTCATTATTCTTACTACTATTCGAAATTTCTAATGTTTCGAATGTTAGATGTCTAGATAAAATCGTGAGCGAGGTCGATAAACTGTACATATAATTTATTTTTTTAGTTTTATTATGTTAGGTAGTTCTGAAAAATAACGTTATGGATTACTTCCCATGTTTTTATATATATTCAATAGCCCTGATCTCATTTTAACAGGCTTTACTAGACATCGGTGAATACCCTTAAGTGCACAAGCCAAGTATTGGATTAGTAATAATGGTTCTTGCGTTAGTATAAACTTGTGTCGAGATGCAAACACACGGGAACTTGACAGCGAGCTATCTGTGGCAACCAGGCGAGTTTGCCCGTCGCATGCTAGGGGAGCGACCGTCTCCCGTATCACCCACGAGAGAACTCTGGCCTGCGCCTCAGCAGCCACTCAGCATTAGCACTTTACATATCACATATTTGCAAGATGAACCCGTCCCTAGGCGAGCAGCTACATTACCATCCCAAACGTACATTCCCACAACTATGACCATTGAAAATGAGCACAACAGACCTAGTTTATGCACTGTTGGAACAAATACAGATCCTCCTGAGACTATACTCAATAGGTTGAAGCGGCTTACACGTCGTCAAAATGATGTTCCAGTTGGTCCGCTGCCTCCAACCCGACTCACAGCAGTTCCTAGGGAAACATCTATAGATAAAGAAGATAATGCGGCAATGCGTGCTCTCAATGAATTCAAGAAAGCCATATCAAGCGCCAAATATCGTATTACACCGGGTACAGAGACTGTAGAAAGTCCAAAGATAGTTTATGACGTGTCCAAACCAGGAAATAGAATGACTACAACTTTCGGAGCTAGGGAATCTCGAAGATGGTGTTCTATGCCTTCAAAGGCGAGCTGTTCGCAACGTCTTCGGGCTATAGGCGGCTGGTGTAGACAACATCCACGCCGACCGTCGCGACGCCCGCCGCATCCACCTCGCCTACAGATTACACAGGTGTAACATGCCAGAAGACCTAGATTGATCAATTTAACTAAAAATTTTAATATTGCTATTGTTTTGTTGGATAAAAATAAATGGAAAAGTACATAAAAGTGTAAATTTGGAACGCTAAGCATTTTCGTGTTTGTTTTGTAGTACGATCGAAGTTTAAGTAGCGTTTGGCTATTAAATGTGTCTCTGTAATCTGTGTTTTGTTGGCGCGAGGGAGGGCGGCAGATGCGAGGCGGGCGAGTCCCGCAGGGCGGGCGGCAGTCCCGCGTCAGGCGCCGTATCGCCCGGTCCGACCGCCCTAGCTTACTTAGGCCCACCCGCCCTTCGCGTGTATCCATCCTATCACAACCTTTTCAATTACTAATATCCCTTTCATATTCCTTTTTCAAAACATTCCTGACATTTGTGATAAAGATTTTTCCAAACTTTTCTGCATTGAAAAAGTGTTAATGAAGTACAATACTGGTTAAGGTGATTTTTTTGTGGAAGCACAAAACCGGCGCGACCCAATGCGCAATTCACACAAACGACTCCAAAAAAATTAGGGCGAAAAATATTATAGTTTTTGTAGAAATAATTTGATGCATGATTTACTGTTATATTACATATACAGAGTTATGTTATTTCGTAAAAAATGTGTTCAGATTCATAATTGATTAATTGAAAATAAATATATGACAAAGATATTTTATCACATCAAGTATAAAAATTGAAGAAGAAAAAATTAAATTATTTTCTATAATTATGCTATTTTTAATGGAAATAGTGACCACATAATATAGTATATATACAAGTTATTACTAAAGGATTGAATTGGTCAGCGAAATTTAGTTTTACTGGGTATATTCACGATGTATTGTTTAGTGAAAGAAAAATAAGAACAGATTATTATGTTTGAAATATGTGAAGCGACGTTGAATATATACTTATTTTATTTCAAAATATATAAAAAAGTATAAATCACATTGTATATATAATATAAATGCGCAAAAAATATTATGTTGTATATCTTTGCATTATTATACAATATAACAGTATAAAACGTAGATATAACCAGAGAACAATATAAATAGCTACGATTCTTTTTCTGTGGATATAATATCTAATCGAAGCTATCGTTTTAAATTCATTTATTTGCTGATTATATGCCGGGCATTCCCGTGGGAGTAATTACAGCTAATATAGCAATTGCAGATAGATGAACATTAGTTTTACGTGTAAAGCACTCCTAGAAAACCCTCACTGAAATCCAGTATATATATAAAAAGTAAAGATTTAAATGTAGGCTTTTTTTACCTTTAGGCCGGACCATTTTGCATCCTATGTTTCTTTTACTCTACAAATGCAATCATAAATAGGAAAATACAGTCTTTCATATTTAATTGATAGGCTATACAATACCTATAGGTATATATGTATATATGATTAGTTTGATTGTAAGTTTCGTATGGAAATACGTCTATTTATAAGCTTAGTGGGTAAGTTCACGTGTGACGCATTACTCTCGCTCATAATGACGTTGAAGATAGGTACTTCCGTTTCAACGATTACCCATCTTATTTGTGTATCTTCGTGTATATGTTTCTTCCGGTGATTGCACCACTTGTTAACATTAAAACAATATACTGTAAACCGTTGGCGTATGTTTTGTTATTCTTGGTGTATTGTTCTTTTTATTCGTTTCTGTTTCTTAGCGTACTATTCTCGAGCGACGGTTTATTTGTGCAAGTACTGTTCGTTGTTATGAATAAACAGCCGTCATTTAATAAACAATGCATAGAAATCGGGTTAATCGCTTAAGGTATGAATTATACTCTTTATTGTAACAAAATAATAAGATGTTTTTGATGAAATTAATCTTTTGTGCATTTGCATTTATTATTTAGAGTCCCGTAGGCTGAGAACCACAAAAAAAATTAATTAGAAAGCCTTAGTAAAAAATGAAATAAATAGAGTTAAAACAATGTTGAATAGTAGTTGTTTCTTATTGAGTATGAGTAAAAATAGCTAAGTAGAAAGAAAGAAAGAAAGAAAAATATTTTATTCAGTGCAATGTAAAAAATACAATATAAACAACAAACGAAAAAAAAAGAGCAAATAAAATGTACATATAATTAAACTTAATTTACCATAATTAAAAATAAACATAAAATAATCATTTTTTACATCAAAAAATGCACTGAAATGGCTCCACTCAGCTTTAATGTATGTCCTAGGTGAACATACAGCTGGTTTTCAGTGGCACCAAAATATATATATAAAAGGGGGGGAGAGAGACGGCACTATTTAAAATATTAATGATAATAATTAAAAATTACAACTAATAAATACAAACCAATTACATATACTAGAAATAACAAAATAGAATAAAATAACATTAATAAATATAAACATTAAACATATATATACAACTACTTTGCCGTAAGATTTATAGGTTAAATAGTACATAGATAATTCTTGTACCTATAGTTTTTTAAAGGTGAATAATGATTTAATATGATAATGAAGTACATGACATTCTTAAAATCCCAAATAAACTCACTGCCCTACTGATGGAAAGTGGTAAATAGCCGTCGCCTTTAGACATGAAAGGCACTTTAAACATAACAGAATACAATGTGACGCCTAAAATATCTCTGTATTCATTACTGAGGTCAATTTGATCACCTTATGTGTGTTATACTATCGTAGCTTTTTGCCTTTGATACTGATAAATAACACCTGCTTAATGAAATTGAAAGGTAAAAAAGAGTCGTAAATTTTAGAGTATAATTATTAAACCATTTTGCTGTTAGGTATTAATATAACTGGTGGGCGCCTAGTGGTTCAAACATAATTAATTTCAATTATAAGTTTGAACATTATTAAGGTTTTATTGTCAAAGACTGTACTCCTATAATTGCAGGCACTGGCAGTCGCACAGATAATAAACAAAAGAGTGTACATGCGTTTATTTTTAATGCATAATTTAAAAAAAATAGGTTTTTGCATTCAGTCTCTATGTAAACTAAAGAAGTGTGTGTCTTCGTCTCCTTCGTTCGCGCAATATTACCAATAAATAGGTTCAAAGTTTTTGATTCACGTAATATATTACTGGAAATTCTGACCTACAATATTGTTGCTAGTAGCTAGTGAGTGTATTATTACTGTGTGTGTATGTAATACCTAGGTATCTATGCCTATATGGAACACACCTAATTTTTGTCCAACGCCGTAGTGACGCCAGCGGGCGACCTCATTCGGAGCCAGTCTCTCCCCCATAGCGTACAATTATTTTGCTCTGTCTGACCCAAATACAGAAACTACAGGAAAGGGGTAGCAATAATTGTGCCTGTATTTGAACAATTTCTTCCACTTGTTTAATATATAATCAAAGCCATTTGGCTTTGATTATATATTAAGTAATTTTACTAACGTACCAACATTATTCCATTTGCTTTGTTTGATAGCATAGACGGGTATCTCAAACTAATATCACTTGAATTTACACTTATGTACTAGGTACAATGGTAGTCAAATCACAAAAATTCGAGGACAGACAGTACTTTACGTTTATCTTTATAAAGTTAAAAAAATGCTCTTTTCCTTGAAACAGAATAACGCGCAATATAACTTTATTAGGGTTTATTCTTTATTGACCTCATATCACAAATAAGCCAATTCGTTCTGTTTCGTTTTCGAGAAATAGTTGCTTATCTTACGTGAATTAGTTTTCGGAATATTAAACATATTTTTAACAATCGTTTATTTATAATATTTCTTAATACTCCAATAAGTTCTTTTCTTTACTTCACTGTAGTTATTCAGATTGCCTTTATTTAGCGCAACTCAAAAATACTCAGAATTGTAAAGCGTTTACTGAATTGTTCACAAATATAAAATAAATAAAATTGAATTTTTATGGGACCTAATCGAATCAATAACCCCCGAAGGTTCCTCTAAGTGCCCGGACCATCGAGTGAGTGAATTAGTGGGATCGACCTTTACATCGTGTAATTGGTCGTGTGATGCTTTGGGTAGTTGTGGGTATATAGTGCAGTGGTGACGTGCGTGGTGTGGTGGCGGTTCGGTAGCAAGCGCATGCAGGGGCGCGCGGGCGCTGGCCCGGGCGGGCACCGCTCAAACCCGCGCGCCCTCCCTCCACCTGTGTTGCCACCTCCGCCGCAATTCGCTACAGAACCCGACGAGATGCCTGCCAACCAGATAGCCCAGGTGGAGAAATATGATTTTATAAGTTTCTTATTTTTTATGACGTTGTCCTTACAGACACGGGGAGCAATAAAATACTCAAAAAAGTAATTAAATGTCTTTGTATTTCCATAAAATTTTACAGTACGCAAGTTTCGTGACTAAGTGAATTTAATGAGTGACTATTATTTTGTAACGGGTAGTAAAAAAATAAATCAATCGGTAAAATGTAATATTAATAATATTTAGCCGTTTTTGCTATTGAAATTTCTCAGGCTTTAACAGACGTTTTAAGGAGTTTTTAATGGTCGTTAAATTAAGTGCATTCAAATTATATACTTGCCCGCCAAAAAATACAGTAAACTTTACAATAGAATGAGCAAATACAAATGTACCCCACCCATTTAGAGCAAGTAACACAAATTGATTGGTTTATATGGAAACCGAAATTATATTGTAATTAAGCTGGTCGTATACGTACCTCGGTGAATTTTGTAAATAATTCCCTAGATAGATATTCGACAGACATGTACTTGTTGTTTGTCAATATATGCAACACTTTTTTGTATTTTATTATATTTTTTTAGATTATCCACTCGTATCGAATCCTACATAGGAATGTAAGTAAATAATAGAAATTGATAACTAACAAAGATAGACCGGGCTGTCCTCGAAAACTACATATATATTTCACAGATACCATATTCGCTTATTTGTATAACCTTTACTACAAAGGTAGCCCAGCCAAATTTGCCAGTCATCAAAAATCTTATGCCGATATAGGGTATGTGACGTCAGCACAATTTTATGTGGATGAATATGCGCGTGTTTAAGTATCTTATAAGAAATATAACATATAGGTTGTATGGAAATTGTAATACTTCGTGTATATTCGCTTATCTATTCGGGACAATTCATAAACAAATAAATTGAGGAAGTAACTAATGTAAATCAAAAGAATATGGTAAATTAATATATATTATGTTATAGCCGATTGTACAATATATATATATATATATATATATATATATATATATATATATATATTTTAAAATTTATATTTAGAAAAAGAGCCTAATAATATCGGCATCTAGGGTGGAATCTCTCTGACGTTCTCTCTGAAGCTTAGGTATTTCTTTAGATAGGAAATCAAAAGAGATCATATAGATATATTATGATAGAGATACATAGAGATATATTATGGATTTATTTGTATTATGTACCTATACGGTATACATGACTAAGTTAGTGACCCCTTCCAATGGTCACCAAATAGCTCGGTACGTGAATGCATTGTGCGTAATTCAATGAACGATGTCCCTCTTGTAGTTAATACTTCCGGTTTATTGTGTAACATTGATTGGTAACTCAACTGGTTAAGTAGAATATTAATAATGCTCCAATCTTTTATTTTTTTATTTAAATGCGAATGGCAAACAACCTTACCGACCACCTGGTGGTAAGCGGTAATCGTCGCCTATATACGTGAACAGTACTACGGTCATCTCATTAGCATATGACACCCATGACACCACTCGTGCGTTGCTATTCCAGAGGATTGAGATGTCATGCCCTATTCGGTAATTTTACTGTCTAATCTGCACCCTATAACCGAAATACAGCTTACAAATTAAGGCTCCAAGCGCCTGAAATTTATAATAGGTGAGGCTGAGGTACCCACGTGAAGTTCTTTTTAGAAAATCTACCGCTGTAAAAGTGCCCACCGGCGGATATTTAGTCTAGACTACAATACCAGAGGGTCTCTCTCTATCTCTTTCTTTCTCTTTAAGATTAAAACTATGTATGTTCTGTAGTTGTAGGTACTGTCTATTTATTCTATTCAGTAGTCCGAATCAGACGTGAGACGGAGCGACGCGCCGCCTCGCCGAACAGCTGATATTGCCTTACGTCCCCCAAGAGCCGACGGGCAAAGCGATCGATGACCGCGCCCCCCTTGCGTTTCTCCTCGAGACACACGCCTCAGTATGCCGCTTTTCTTTCCCTCCCTGTACTCTGTTGGTACTAGTGTTGCCGTCGTGTTCAATTGAACAGAAATGTAAACAATTTATTTATTTCGATCTAAATAAAGTGTAGAAATGTAAAATAATTTATGAAGAACACACAATCTGTACCTTGCTTATACCTAAGCCAATATACCAATTAGATACTTATTTAAAGAAACTGATTTTATTATAACTAAACTGATAGGATTATTTGTCGAACTTTTATTATCGATTGTTTCATTAGTAGGTAAATGAACTGTAACTGAAAGTATTTACGTAGATTTGTTAAATTATATTCATTAGACTATCACGTTAATGTTTCGATTGAATTTATTAGTTGCAAGAAAATTTGCGAAGTAGATTACTGTCACATTCCTGTAACATTTATTGCTTTCGATAGTATACTGTGTTTGAACTTAATAGATTCATCGTAACGACAACTAAATATACAAAGTTAGCTTATATATACAGTCCATTGTTTACGAATTGTCCGTTCTGTTTTAACTCCAAATTTATAATGAATCTCTCCACCGTTTTTAACCTCCCTTTAAACACATTTGTACAAAGTACAACGTTTAGTTTCGTCTTTAACTTCAAATAGTTAGCTAAATTTAAATATGTCTAGCAAAATGTCATTAACGATACAAGAGGATAACGAACTATGAAATTACTAATTGTAGTCTAGAAAACATGTGCTATAGATATCGTTCGTGTCTTAAATTATTTTAAAATCCACATTGGGAGCATTTTAATAATATAAAAAATGTTATTATTCCAGGTGATTGCACTGATATGCGGCTTGTTGGTTGTAATTCTAATGGTGCTGGGACTGGCCTCCGCGGACTGGTTGATGGCTGCCGGCTGGCGGCAGGGGCTATTCATGCACTGTATAGACCCCGAAGCGCCTACGCCTTTACCCTTCGATATTACCGCACAACCTGGGTGTTATGCTGCGAGACCGGCGCCGTATATTAAGTAAGTAACTTCAGCGATAATTTGAAAAACTAAGCAACAATATTGATGATTATTATATGTAATGTATAGTATTATGTTTTTGAATTTTATGACAATTATGACCTATATCAATATGAAATCTTTTCGAATAGTGAAAGAATTTCTCCAATCAGTGCAGTGGTTCGGTTGCACTGGGCGTGATCACGAGCATGACTCTAATAATCTAATATATCAATTTTTAAACACGTTTGAACTATTAAGAAAACATAGTTTGACTAGATGCCCGGGCAGTGCGGTTTCAGAGGAGCTTATTTCCGCGTACACTTATATTGTGGAATTAACTACTTGCCAAGGTTTTCTCTAGAGACCACAGCATGGAGTTTTTCAAGAAGGGTGTATTAAAATTTCCTAAGTATCGATAATGCGCACGTGACACCCCTGGTGTTCCAGGCGTCAAAAGGTTACGGTAACCATCAGATGGGCCATAATAATACGCTTGTTTGCTGCTTATTTAGTAAGCTGTGCTTTGGAAAGTTTATACTCTATACAGAGGAGATAAAAATCATCGTTCTTAAGAACATCCTTCAATTCTTGTCCTTAACGGGTCTTAGTACCGAACTCCAAAAAGGGCGAGCACAATAGAACTATGTACGTCGCAGTGCTACAGGTCAAAACAAAACAGCCCAAAAAATTTAGTATAAATAATTGTGATGTGGCGTCATCAGAGCGGCGGCCGGGCTGTGCGTGGCGACGCTGGCCGCAGATGTGTGCGGCGCGCTGCTGACTGGACTCGGCCTGCGCGCCGCCGACCACCGCACCAAGTTCCGGTACTATCGGTTCGCGGTGCTCGCCATGGCGCTTGCATGTGAGTATCGCGTATAACACTACTACATGACCCGCGCAACTTTGTCTACATCACACTTACGTGACATTTATTATATAATATTTCGCTCCGTTTACATAATATCTTTTTTAATTATATATAGCTTATATGTTATTTGTACTGCTCGTTATTTCATATACATTTGAAACTTTACAGTAATATAGCAATAATATAGCACATATGTATAATATGTGCTATATTATTGTAAAGTTTCATCAAAATTCGTTCAGTAGTTTTGGCGTGAAAGAGTAACAATCCATCCATCCATACTCACAAACTTTAGCTTTTATAATATTATTAAGACCATCGTTTCACCATTTTACAATCCACTGGTGCACTTGCACCGTAGACACCGTCTTAAAGTTTTGGTCCGTCCGCATATATTATCCCAAATTAGACTCTTAACTATATAGCTAAGAGTCGAACTTGGTACATAATTAACATTAAGAACTGTTTTTAACAAAATGTTTATTATTTTTCAGTGATGTGCATTTTAATAGCACTAGTAATCTACCCAGTATGTTTTGCCGCCGAGTTAAATTTGGGTAAGTTTATTTTTTTTAATGTATGCAAAACAAAGATTTTCGACACTGTTTACGTTACGCAAATAATAATTTATCCTATAAAATGTGATATCAATAATAATTTCTATATATTTTATATGCTAACTGACTCGCGAAACTTCTTTGCATCATCGTCCTCGGTTTTGCGACATTTTTCATAAGCTCTTGATTGTAGCAATGTTATATAGGGTTCCTCAATGAAAGGGCTATCCAACATTAAAAGAAATTTCAAAATCGGATCAGATTATCCTAAACATACAGACTCATAAATTTGCCTCTTTGTATTATTTGTATAGATATACAAATTTAGGCTAATAAATGTAGGTTATATAGAATATAAAAAAAATTATTAATCCCGACACAGCCTATTGCCCTGCAAGTCAGCAACAGGTCAATGTGTGTGATCAATTTCATGCCCTGTTAAAAACTTCTATAATGTTTAAGGTATCATGAAACTTGAACAGGACCCTCACAGTCGATTACAAAAATATTTTTCTTATAAAAATAGACCTTAAAGTTTACTTTAAAGTTAATTTCTATTCTTATTTAGGTTGGTATATACATTTATTTACACTGCTACAATACACTACAGCAATAGTAGTTATCTGTTTACAAGTATGTAATGTCCTGAACAACAACTGGTATGAAGTTTATACTTTAAAGTTATAACTTTAAACCCACGTTTGCTCCTCAATCGAACTAAACAGCAGTCGATTTTCGCTAGACTTAATAATATTCGTTATATTATTACAAGTTTTCAGCTGACTATCTGGACTATCTGTGTTCAGTGGCAGTTTGGCACCACCTAAGCAGGTTTCTCACACTATACAAACATTTGTATTCATCAGTATGGCTGTGTATTCGCCTGGGGTTTACTATGTATATTAATTTTATAGTATGTATCATCTATCAGTTGTTTAATACCTCATAGCACAAGTTCAGTTTAGTTTGGGACTATATGGTCCTGTGTAAATTATACTAGTTATTTATTTCATGTAATAATTTAATTTAATAATATTGTTTTATATCTCAGAATAATTATCACAGCGCCTTAGTTAAACTAGTTCCAAGTTAACTAGGGTTTGTGTTATGGGTACAACTGATACAAATACATACTGTTTTTTTTGTAAATACACAATATACATAGAAAACTCTCAGATCGATACAAACATACATACTCATCGAGAAATCGAACTGGCAACTATCAGAAGTAAAGGTTTGCTACACGGCTAGATCACCGAGGTCGTCGTAGTTATTATTGTTGTGTTGGTAGGTAACCGGTCGGTTTGGGAGTTCGGCTGGGCGTACGGTGTTGGCTGGGGCGCCGCCATCTTCCTGTTCGGCGCCGTCGTGCTACTGCTGTGTGACAAGGAGAGCGAGGAACTGTACTACAAGGAACGAAAAGTGAGTCAATGCATTTGTTTCATATAGCGTTAGAGATGCTAGATATAAAGATTAGTTACTTTTCTACTCGGACAGCTCAATAATACCTAGAATATTTATAATGTATATGAATTGTAATTTTTTGATATTATACCTAATATAACTAACATCTTGTTCATTTTATGGAGCGAAGAATACAATTTTCAACATGAAATAACATTTATTTTATAATGATGCACAGTATAACTTCAAAACAATTTTAGAATCATGTATAAAATTTAATCTATTAAGCAACTTAATTATTGGAGCCTTCTCACATGGTCAAAAAACGGAAGAAGAGATCTAATTGTAAAAAGGCAGTAGAGTTGCTGACCTTATTGTCCATCCAGCGTCCTTAAAACATTAGCTTATAGTCTTATAACTAATCACCACTTTGAAAAAGAACAAAATAAAAATAACTGACAAAACTATATGTATAACGTTTGAGTAAAAAAACTTTTGCGTAAAATTATTACTGCACCATTACATAAAATAACTCTTTATATGATTTCTTAAATGAGTTTCAGTGTAATTTGAACGTAACTTAAATAATACACAATAATTTGCTACATACATTCATGAAAATTACACTTATTTATACATTATAGTCATACCTATTTTTATAATGGTCTTAATTGTAATGTTTTATTATCTCTGTTATCTGTATGTATGCTGTCTCGTGGCCCCACTGAAAATCAGCGCTGTAGTATAACTTGGTACTACAGTATTTATGCTGAGTGGAAATAATTTTCAATGTTACCATTATATTTTAACTATTAAATTACCAGCAGTGGCCGCGGATTCATTTGCGTTAAATTTCAATAACAAATATAGCCAAGCTTAATATAGCCTGTTATTCTGATGCATAAGTTATATTATCGTAAAGTTTCATCAAAATCCGTACAGTAGTTGCGTGAAAGAGTAAACAGCAATACTCACAAACAAATAAACATCCTTACTCACAAACTTTCGCGTTTATAATATTATATTCTATTAAGATATAGTAAATAATAATACTGATGTAATGCTGAATCTATATGTCGTGTATTTAGTATATTTAATTTTTTTTGTATGATTGTAACTGCAGGTGGTACAGGCGGAGGGCGGCGGCCGCCCCTAGGGCCGCGGGCGCCTGCCCGACCTGGTGCCGTGAGCGCCGCGCTGAGTGCGACCCTCACCACTCCCACCATCACCACCACCACCACCACCACCTTGCACCACACGCACCCCAAGCGACTCACGAACACCGCGTCTTCTACGTCTAACGAACTCGCTCACTTATTGGCGATCCATAGGCTCTAGACAAGCAATAAATGAATTCATCAATAGCATGTCGACTGCATCAGAAAAACCAAGACTGACATTATTGTCTCGTTTTTTCTTATGCGTTTGGTTAGCGATCGATTAGCTATTGATATCTTTGTTACGACTTGTCTATGTCCTCTGGCCGTTTTGTCTTGACGAGTTCGTAGTCGGTTGTTGGTACTGAGTTTGGCCGCTTTATAGATTAGTACCTCCGATCAAAGTAACAAAATCCGTAATTTAACGTTTGGTCTGATAGTATTTGTACAAATCATGTATAGCTTCATGTATTAAACGCTTGAACGGCAGCTATAGTACCGGAACTGGTGTAGTTAGATGTAGGAATTAGGTGCGCTATCGTTTGAAATCGAGAATTGAAACCTTAAACATTGCATTGGTTTTCTATGTATACCTACGTACGTAGTTAACACGTTATATGCGTTGATCGATTTTAACGATAAGGTTGTGATCAATGGTGTTAAAGAAAATCTTATTTGCACAGATAGCGTAAAGATTTCATACTTGCCTTTTTAAAATTTTAGTTAATAATAAATTTGTACGATTAATTGATTTTGTTCGCGTTACTTATGTAACATACGTGATTATCTGTTAGTTATTTGAAAATATTAAAAATTTGTTTGCTTAATGGTATTTGTATTACAATGAAAAAATTATAACTAGACGGGCGCTAGAAATACTCTTTATAATCATAGGTCATGTCGTGTCATGAAAAAAATATAAATTATTTTTCTAAATTATATAAACAAATTACTATTAATGCCTATGTCGGGGCCAAACTATTTTCTTATCGAATGTTTTAATTTTAAGTTTTTATTATAAGTTGTGTTATGTACGCATTTCCGCAGCCGGCATCGTACCATCGCGCGTTTCTCTTCTGTTGCGGCCGGAGTATGTTCATGCTTATGTTTTCCGTACTTTCGTACATAGAAAGTAATCCGTTCCAAAGAGCGTTACTTTAATTTATTCGCTTTTATTTATTATCGCTATAAGTATAACCGGAGATGTAACTCTGGAGGCATCTGTTGCACAATCCTTGGCGTGTGGTGTGTGCGTGTATTGTGGCGTGGCGTAGCGTGTCGTGCGGCTACTCGGGCAGGCGATTGGCGAGATTCGGACCCCCTCCGATCGCTCGAATCTTTTGTATCACATACTCAATTATATTTATTATCGCTGAAGTGTCGCCGGAGATGTAACTCCGGTGGCATCTGTTGCACTTGCACTATCTGTGGCGTGTGGTGTGTGTGTGTGTGTGTGTGACGTGGCGTAGCGTGTCGTGCGGGTACTCGGGCAGGCGACTAGCGAGATCGGACCCCTTCCGCTCGTTCGAACCTCTTGATTATTGACTTGTATTTTTATAATAAACTCGTGTAGTGTTAGTGCGCGAGCAGTGCGGTGTGTGACGCTCGCGACCTCTATTGGCAATCGCAGGCTCCCCGTAACAGCTCCGTCGTACCGACGGTTCTTTGGATACTACGGAATGCGACGAAATTAAGAGCGGCGCCCACTGAGGTATATAAAGGAATTAAACGTATGTTTTTATTAAAGTTACCTTATAGTGCGATATGCTCGCGTTTGTGTAAAATCTATTTTATTAATATTTATACACCATAATAATATGGTTATATATATGTACACTATATTTGGATTTGTACTGAAATTGTACTTTGTTTTCTCAGTGATATTATAGAATCTCATTCCAGTTAGTTAAAAATTATTTTTACAGAGTAAGAATTTATAACTGAAATACTTTTTTGGAATTGAACATCATTAATTGACTAACATTATATTTTCTTAATGTATATGTAAAAGTAAGAAAAAACAAAGCGATGAATTAACATAAAGTGTTATAATTAATTATTACAGTGGTAATTATTATTATAAGTGTAATCTTAATGTTACAATTATCATTATAAAGATAATTTAAGAGCAATGTTAGAATGATATCCGATGTCTTCAGTTTAATTATTGTACAATTAAAAGAAATAGATTAAAGTTTATCTCATTATTTGTAAGTAAACCGCCTTTATAATCTCTTGGTTATGGCTTTAATTTCATATGATAATGTAAAAAAAGAGTTTGTGATAGTTTGGTGGCTATATGCAGGCCTGGAGATTCATAATGCAAGGGCCTCTTATATTTATTGTAACACTATTTATTTTAATTATCTTTTGAATAATTTTAATCTTACTAATTAATGACTTATCAAAAGCCAAGTCTCATTAAGGCATTAAATTTCACTTAACATACATGTGGGAATTTTGTCAATTTAGTGTTTTCTAACAATTATTAGTCATTAGTGAAGCCTTGTGGTAATCTTATTTATTATGTGTTTAAGTACAAGGTCAACTAGGTTTAGTTATATTTATAATTGTGTCAATAATTTGTTTAATTATTATACACAACTAATTATATTGCAGCATTATTCACATTTAAAGATGCATGTGGCTATTAAAACAGACATTTATTGTGTCTTCTTACAACACTATCTTTTATATGCAAAAATAATCAATAAACACAGTTTAGGTGTTGACTTCATCAATACTCAGCTATTTACGCACTAAAAGTAAAGTAAAGAGAAACTGAATACGATCGAAATTAAATTATTTGGAAGCCATTACGTAATAAAATAATTCACTCTATCGAAAAATTTTGTTGTTTTTGAATATTATTATATAAAAATTAAATATTGTCTCGATTTAAATCGATTATTAAATGTTCCTGTATAAAATTAATTACTTATAATTTATATTTTTTTAAGTCTGCTATAATTGACAGTTCCGTCTGTACATATGAAATATTTAAGACTAATGTCATTTAGAATTCTTGTCTATATGTTTAAAATGTACGTTATTTTACTATACAAAAAATGACGTGCTTCTTCTACATTTTTATTGCTAAAAATAATGTGGAATGTGGTGTCTTTATTTTGTGATAACCCTTTAAAAATCAAAGTTTTATGCTAAGATTTCCAATATTAAAAAGGCTCATAAACCAATAACCTATTTGTTATGCCATTGAGAAGACTATTCTTAAATCTATATGGTGGTATCCCAGACGTAGGAAATACCGAGACTTAGGCAAATGGAAGTGGCGGGCAGAAGCTACAAGTCATCAAGGATACGTGTTTGTAATTGATGATAAGATTAATCTGATGTTTATCTCTAAATGTGAAATGTCTACTGTAACTTATCACACTGCCATGTAATTAACATAATTATTTAATTTCGTTCATAAGTCATCTTTTGTTACACTCTTGTTGTATTGTATGTATTTATAGTAAGTGTACACTATAGAAATGGTACCCCATGTACGAGTTAAATTAGCTACTTGTTTTATGCACCTTCACGTGTCGTACTCGAGCAATTCAATGGCGTCTAGTCAATTATTTAATTATATTTGTGCAGAAGTTGTAATTAAATTTAATAATTTATTTCAAACTATTTCAACGAGGGTATCTTAATTCCGCTCTGTTTTAAGTTATTTCTCTATTGTACGCTACATAGTTTTATTTTGTATAACTGGCAGAGCATTATGTTCAGTTGACAATATTATAATTTTGAAATAGTGAAAAAGTCTTATTAGATTCTGGACTTCTTAAATATTGCAAAAAGTCATAGGTTTTAATATAAACCATATAAGAAGTTGAGTAGTTGTAATAAATTGTAGTGAGTGGACATAAGCATACCATATTCTAAGCCAATTGGCTGGTATTAAATTATTCTGGGTATTATCCCCATTTAGCTGTATTACTACTTTTGAAAGACGAACCATTGATTATATTATTTTTTCGTCCGAACAAGAACAGGCGGCTACATTTATTATTAAGAAATTAATTTAAGGACAATGAATTATTGGAATACAAATTTTAAATTGCCGCAAGGTGTCGCAAATTGCCGCAAGTCCAAATTTATTCTTTGTATTGTGTATGAATAAGACTGCTTTTTGGTTCATTTTGTGCTCATACTTATAAAAGTTGCGTAGTAGAATAATTATCATTATTGTGCCACTAAAATGGTTGTTAATCAGTAAGAAAAAAACGGAATATTTTTGATTTCATTTATGTTGTCATTACAGAATTGGAATATATAAACATGAATTTGATGTTGCTCGAGTACATAAATAAAAATGTCCATTTTAGCCAAATTATGAGTCATATCAATGAGATTGAAATAAAGTACCTAGTGAAAATATTTGTTTTATTGTGTGCCTCAGTTCTGTGTGCGTACTTAGGAGGTGACGTTTTCCCCGGTTACATTTTTTGTTCCCAAAGTACGATATATTGATACTTGATATACAATTCAAGGTTCATTTACATTAATATTGAAGCAGATTCAGTTCCATCGCCTAAACATCTTTCCATATATACATTAGAATAAATTTTAAAGTGAATTTGTTACCTCTTAGTGTTTTGACCGTTCAATCAAGTCGTCATAATTTTTGATGATGTTACGCGTCCATATGATTAAGAGATTGAAAAATTATAAACACGACGTATGCAAAATAAATTTATTAGATCTTACATATAAATTTGTATAGTAACAGTTGGTACATGGTTTACAATGTTTTGTTCGCGGCGTAATATTATACTTAATTTAAATGTGTGTGGTGGCCTCTTGTCGCGATTTACGCGTGGCAACACTGGCAATCAGGCGCGGAATCACTAATATGTTTTACACGTTTTCATTTATTGTTAACATTCTAAATAAATATAAGTATATACGGGAAGTTGTATTTTAATTAAATATGATACAATCGATCCCATATTTGTTAACAATAATATAACATGAGTGACGTGTATTACGCACTTTCACACCGACAAAACAATTAAATACCCGTTCATGGCCTGCAATAATTAGGTATTGCTTTTTATTTAGTTACATTTTGGTGCTATGTTCACGTCTTAAAACTAGAAAAGAATTAAGTTTATTTAATTCAAAGATAACAAAACTAACAAAATGCTTCGAAACAGATAGCTGCATAATTATGGACATCTACTTCAATTCTAGACCATTTAATTCAATAATTAAAGCTTAGGAACTCTCATAACTAATCTCTTTTAATTTGTATGTGTTACATAGTGTTTATAACATTTTTCATATTTATTACATACAATTTTTGAAATAGATGTGTGTAAGTTACTAGTTTATTTGCTTTCTGAAAGCTATTTCGAGACGTATTCCGAACAAGCGTTATAACTGTGAAATTACGAAATGTCTTAAATATGACATTCAATTTGATCTTGATATTTTTTTTTATAACATGAAATGGCTTAATGAATCAATAATAATAAATATGTTGTAACAACATATTCCATTAATTTGAGTTTAACTGTAGTTTTCAGTCCTAATAGGAGCGCCAAGTATTTAAAATAAAGTTATGCGATTATTTAGAAAAATAAAAAAAAAACAATTTTATATCACACTTCTACTCCGGTTATAGATTTGATGCTTTTAATTAGTCTTGAATTGGCTTCTTTGTAGTCAACAGGCTGCGCATTCATAATGGTTGTTTTAAGTCGAGCTTCATCCTAAAAATAAAATGAATAATGATAGTAAGTAAAATCAACAAGTATGTGTTTAAAAGAAGACAACAATAGAAAGTAGTGTAGTGTAAATATCGTGCAAAATTTTTTTTATACATTTAATACCAATATTAAATTTCGTGAAATTTTCACCGATTCATAATCATCCATAAAATATATATACCATATATACTAGTAAGTGTACTGTGCTCAAGTGTAATTCGTAATTTGCAGAGTGCCAATTGTAAAATAAACATTATTTTTATTGTATATAATTTCGTCGATAGTGAATCGATTATCAACTTTCTTCCGTCATAAATTAGTTTTGTTAAAATATTTATTTTTATCTATTTACGTAAGTAAAAATAATTATAAATAGAAACTGATATTATACATACATTGTAAGTTTCCATTTTAGTTCGAAATTTAAATACGAATGTCTTGAATTTGACATTCTCGAAAAGTTGATTATATGCGTTCTTGTCGTAGTCGAACATCTGGCCGACGTCTGCCGCAGTCTTGCCGAGCATGGCTTCTGCGGTCTCGTTGAAAGCTGTAATGCGCTGGTCTCCAGTCGGATCAGATATATTTGCCTATAAAATTTATTTAAAAAAAATACCAACTTAGGATCTGTGATAATTTAAAAAAAATGTGACAGTTGAGTTGCTTATCGATTTGGAACCAGTAAGGACAGACAGTGATAAAAATAATGATTGACAATAAACTTATTAATTACTTTGCCTTGATTTTCGACACACTGTTAAAACTACTGAGTCTATAAGCTGAAATTAGGGAAGTAAATGTTCTCGTGGAAGTAGACACATGGAAAACAGTAATATTATAATTATTCATGATATTAATATACTTACGGCCAAAAGTAGTCTATGCTTAAAATTAGGGTATTCTCGATTACATTTTTCACATCTGTAGGAGCCATTGTCTTGATCCACAACTTTCTTATTGCACTGTTCTTGTGGACACGCTTTGTACAGTGCGTTATCTGAGAATGTGAATGTGAGGACACCAAGTAAATTGTAAAAGTCTCCTTTGTCTCCGGAGCCGAGTTGACGGGTCTCCGCCTCAGAGAAAGTTATCCATTCATTACTGCCAGTGTTGTAGCCTCCCACCCTAAGAATAAAGAAAAATATTATTAAGCAAATCATCAAGCTATAATTTTCCATTCATCAGATAAGAAAGAGCTAGACTGGCCAGGTCTAATCAGAAATATAAAAATATACTTAAACATTTATTTATATATACTATTTATTTAACATCCAACATAAAAATTACTCTAGACAAAAAAAAATTATAGAAAGTAAATGTAATGTTTATTAATATATATATTAGTAGTTACCTAGCAGATATATTAACGATTTCCATGTTCGCACCGCCATTATCGTACCATCCCCGTAACTTGTGGGCTTCCGGTAAGTCCGGATTAAGACGTAGCATTGTACTAGACAAACACGACAGAGATTTACTGCCATTGAACTCTGTTAATCGGGCACCCTGGAATTCGTAAATTATAATATAAATTATAAATATAAACATTCGTCATAAATTCATCACAAAAAACTCATTAAGTTATTGTTATACCTTTGCAGACACAACTGGATTATTGTTCGCTTCAAATTTTTCGGCATCATTTCCCCAAAGAGTTAAAACAATCTGAAAAGACATTGAAAAATTAGAAATCATTAAAAATTAATTTAAATTTAACACAAACATCTAAAATTATATAATAATATAATATTATACAAGTAAAAAATAAATTAGAAATACTGACAGCACCACCAGAAGAGTCTACGAGAGTGATTTCGCGTTTTTTTAACAGCTTGCCTGTGCTTCTAGCTGTTAACTCTTGGACATCAGCTGCTGATTTGCATACTCCTATTATGTCTAAAACAAAGATTAGACAACACACCATCACTAAAAGCTACTAGAAATTATTGTAGAAAATAATAGTTTTGTTAATAAATAATGCTCAGAATTTGGAAGAAATTAAAAAGCACTAGATTGTATCAAAGCTTATATTCAGGCAAATATATTAATGATTTCTATAAGAACAGTAACAGAATTTCTAAAAATTACCTACCAAGTAATGTGTCCGGATTTTTGGCGCCAATTTCATTAATTGCCACAAATTCATACTTAATGTTGGGCACTGAGTCACCATCCTCCTGGCATTCGACAACTACAGTATCATTGGTAAATGACATCTCGTAGTCATTCTTTAGGCTGGTGAATTGCTTATTGGCTGTTTTTAGTGTACAACGACTGATATAGTACACCTTATCTACCTGTTAGTAGAAAATATTATTAGCAATATAGAAATAGGTGTAGATACTGGCCATATAGTAGATTTAGAGATGCAATAGGAGTTTTATGTTGGCTCTTATTTCTTCAATTTTCCAAAAGCAAAAGCATTATAGATTAAAGGTATCATAAATAAATACACTGATGTATAATAATCTAAAATATATACATTGTGTACCTGTATAATGTCATAGAACTTGTCACATTCATTTTTGAATGCAGTAGCTCTAATTTCTCCGCTTTCATCACACAGATCCATGCTGAACAGCTTTCCTTCCCCTCTGGCGTTGCTCCATGTCCTTATAGCGGATTTGTTCATAACTCGCGCTTTTATTACCCACCTAAAAATAATATTTGTTTCTTTAATTGGCATGTGTATAGTCTTCATTGTGGTTCATAGTACTGTATTGTGACAAATGTATAAGAAAGAGGAAGCATAAAACATTCTATTGCCTCCACTTGTACAGTGTGGGTTAGTTAGACAACACAATGCATTAATTTAATTAAGTATAAGAAAATATTTTGTTAGGCACAAATCTAAAAATCTACTTAAATATGCCGCTTGCCAAATTGAATGTAGCTGAATTGAAACTATACTTACTTATTTTGATAAGGGCTTAGGCTTGCAATGGGATGTGTCATTTGACTGGAGAGGATACTAGAATCTAGACCTGTTGCTGCAGGACGAGGCATCATGTTTGGCTTGACAGGACTTGGTTTTGGCACTGTTTGCATGGCTGGCGTAGGTGGGGCAGATGGTGTTGATCCTTCATTCCAAGTCTGTGGGTTACCTAGTTTCTTGCCTACTTCTCCACCGGGAGCAATTATTGTCACATCTAAAATAATCATTACTCTCCTGTAAGAGAGAATTATAGCTTAATTACATTGAATTTTGATCTTATTTCACAAAATTTTAGAGATTAATATAATAATTGTTATTCTACTTAGAGTGATAATTGTAGTATTTAATTCTGGCAACTACTTCCATACACATAGTATAATGTAAACAGATTTTTCTCTCATTCTCATTATATGATAATGTCTACAAAATTGAACTATAATAAAATTTTGTATAGCGAAATTTTGTTGACTTTTAGACTACCAGTTAGAAGAGTATGCTTGCAAAGATAGAAAATAAATTATTTCAAATATGTCACTTTCAATCTAATTGGGCTGAAATTTATAGTATTAGTAGTGTGTGAAATATAACACTGACAGACAGATACACTATATAACATCACTGTAATAAAAAGAAAACTTACTTCTCTCCTTTGCCAGTATCTTTCAATAATGATGTAACAAAACGATCTATTTGCACAACAGAATAATCTGAAAGCTCCCCTGTAATCAGTTTATCATTTAATTGTGTTGCAAGCATTGCAAAGCTGTGGGAATGTTTACCGTCAGATACTAATAATCTGAATCTTTCATTAGCACCACTACCTTGTATTTTTTTACTTCCCAAGACCTGCATCACCGGTTTGTCGTAATGACCACCCGTCATGATAACCTAAAACATAGAATATACATATACATTTATGGGTATATAAATAACAAAAATGAACGATAGATATGACTTGTTTTTACATTTTACATTTTTAATAGAGGTTAACTTTTCATAAAGTCCTCTTTATGGAGACAGTAAAATTAGTAACAAAATTATTTTTAGTTACTAATTTTGTTGTATTTATATGCTTAATGTTTTTAATCAATTAATAAAGGTTTCAGAATTGAAAATAAATTTTTATAGAGCCTTATAGTCTTAATAAAAAACGCTGATGTGTTCTTGATGGAGGGTAGGCATAACAAGAAAAATTAATAAACCAAAAATATAATAGTTATCTGTTAAAAACATGTGTTATATGGAAGAATAAAGTTACAATAATAATAAGTGTTCTAGTGTTTGTGAGGAAGGGCATATAATGGGGACTATAGTCTCTATTACTAGCAATGTATGCTCTTAGGTCTATCTCAACATAGTAGTTATGGGATACCATTGCGATAGATTCCTGGTCAATATGTTATTAGAATCGAACTAACCCACTGCATATGTATCCGGTCATTTGCAACTGGTGTAGCAAATGACCAATCTGTACTATTAGTGCAGTTGGATGCTATATATTCAACCATTACTATACAGAGGGCTAACATAAAGCAGTAGATGCAAGACAATAGTAAAACCTATCAACATAAGAAATTATTATAAAAGAACAAAAGAAGACCAAGAACACACACAATGTATTATTATCTGACTGAGATGATGTGTACAAGAGATAGGAGTTCTATACATGTGTACACAAGATAACTTATTTGTGATGGTCGAACATATAATGTTCGACCAGCATGGTTTAAATTGATATTATAGTTATAAGTATAATAATGGTGTATTTTCATTAAAAACACTGTATTGTTAATATAATTATTATGTAGGTACAGAAATACAACATACTTCGAGGGAACCCTCCGATAGTTTATGTGCCATATTTTTAACTCTGATGTCGAACACTGCAATATTATTTTGTTAACAATCAAATTACTTTTAGTGTATTCGATGAATTGGTTAAAATTTACAATATATTTAAGATTCACTGGAAAACAAAGGAGTAAAATATTTTTTACCGGTCAATCGTGAAATAAAGAGGGAAAATATGGTTTGATTGATAATATTCAGTTATGTCATGATTGTCATATCGTGTGGGACTGACAGGAAATGATTATAGGATAATTTTGAAATATAACTGAATGATCTAACACTGACACACTGTCAGTATTGTACTTGGGTTATTATTATGTTATCTGTGTTTTGGATAAGCAATACAAACAGTAACGTAATGATTATTTGCTCAATCACATGCAGCATCTACCCGAATGTTTTTAATATTAAAAACATGGTGTATTTCGGATAGATGCTCAAAACATCCCTTGCCCCAATTTAACGAAGGTAGAATTTGCAAATTCAGACTAATTTAAAGAAAGTTGCGTCGGGCGTATTATGCACCAAAACGCATTGTACCAGGACCAGGATTTTTTTACATATAAATATTATTGTGAAAGCCTTGAGCGAGGTTAAAATTAAAATGAATTTTAGTTAATATAAATGCAATGTCTCGGTAAACTCTGTTAATTTTTTATTTGTTATTTCCTTTACATTATTTTTATTAAGCACTAGCTGTGCCGCGACTTCGTCCGCGTGGAATTTAACTTGAATTTGAGCAGTATATTTTCTACACGCGCCACCATCCACGTCCTTGCAATTTCCTGCAATCCTTATCGCACGGCACGTGTAACTTTAGAAACGCAGCTGCGCGACCTTGGAGCCGTCGCGCGTCGTGACCTGCAGCTGCGTTTAAAAGCTGGTTAGGATTCTAGGAAGTTGTAAAGACGTGGATGGTGGCGCGTGTAGAAAGTATGCTGCTTTATTTATCTAAAATAAAAGCAAACTTTATTTGTGTAAAAAAAAAGTAGCCTAAGTTACTCCTTATTAGGTACATCAGTTACCTGTCAAAATAAATCCCTATATAATATTGGTGTATGTGCCCTATTTATATTCATATGCATGTACCTAGTAAAAATCTTTTTTGACATTTGACATTTTTTTTGAAAAATATTTATGACATGATAACGCACACATTTGTAGGCTTTTGATAATAATAGACAATAAGTAAGTCTAAAACATACCTATGTAGTGTAATTGGACTATTTCTTATCTTCAATGTATAGGTTTTACTATGATATTATGCCAATTTCGAACCAGGAGGAAAAAACAGATTTTTTTATTTTTTACATGTTTGCGAAGGTGCTGCTTCTCTACCCACCCTTGAAGCAGCATCTGTCTACGCTTCGTAAGTTCATAATACAACTTTCTTAGGCATCTTTAAAATGTATGTTACAATAGGAGGCTGCAAATAATCATAATAATCTACTATTAAAAAAATATTAGAATAGAATAGAATAGAAAATCATTTATTCAAATAAACTTAATTTAAGCACTTTTGAATAGTCAACATTTTTTTAAATCTACGGTTTATTCGGAAAGCTTTCTCATCACAAGAAGAATAAGCAAGAAACTTGTGTGTTGCTCTTTTAAACAATCCTTGTAAGTTCACATTTTACAAGTCGAAACGTGTGTTCAACTACCAGCACTAATTTATTTAGGCTCAAATATAAAAACACAATAAGATTAAATCAGTCGTAGTGATAAGAGTCCCTACAAGCAGCACTCGTTCATGAGTATGACGGATGAGCCAGCCATCACTGCGCTCGACCATATTTTAGGGAGCCCAATGACCCGGCCCACCACGCCGCCACATGTCTGGACATTTTAGTGAGCATGACTACTCATTCCACTCGACCACGTCACAGCTACAAAAATTACTATATGGTAGTTACATTATTCGCACTTTACATGAGGATGCATGCGGCAATCCATACAAAAGCCGCTACGCTATCATATATCAAGAAAGCAGTATGAAAAACAAATTATAATGTTGTCCGCAAATAAACTTATACTTGCTATATATTGCTATCATCTATAAATTCATTTATCCTATAATAGGCTTTTTACATAACATTTGTTTAATATAAAGTTTTAATTGCATCTGTCAGATTTAGCGTAGATTCTGGCAGTTTATTATAGAATCTTACGCAATTACCATAAAATGAATTACTAACTTTGTGTAGGTATTATATTTATTTAGGTAAAATTAACTTATTTTTATTGCGTAAGTTTCTACTTGTACAGTCTTTAAGTTTCTTGAAACTATCTAAGTTTTTCCTTGTACACATAATATTTTCATAAATGTACTGTGAGGCAACGGTGAGGATATTTGATTGTTTAAAGCATTGACGTAATGACTCTCTAGAACCCATACCATAAATAGAACGTATGGCTCTCTTTTGCAAAATAAATATAGTATTTACATCGGCAGCTTTACCCCACAGCAGTATGCCATATGCCATAATGCTATGGAAATAACTAAAATATACAAGTTTTGCCGTCGCCACGTCTCTTAATAGCCTTATCCTTCTAATTGCATAAGCAGCAGAACTAAGTCTACTGGCTAATTTTGAAATATGGGGCCCCCTTTGTAACTTCGAGTCCACTGTTATTCCTAAAAAAACTGTATCACTAATAAAATTTACTATTTCATCATTAAGCAATAGCTGCGTATTTACTTGTCTTACATTAGGCAGCGTGAATTTAATACACTTAGTTTTGTTGGAGTTTAATAAAAAAAAATTGTAAGTATTGCAGTTAAGAATTTTATGATAATCACACCTTTATTAAATGAAAATATTACTAAACTAACCGATGTATTTATATTAACAACGTTAAAAAGTCTTAGAAGTCATATTCGTAAATATTCTTGTAAACAATACTTCGAACAATTGTTAAATTTGATTCGTCAGCTATTGCGATAATTCTGTTACCCGATCTTGCCGTGCGTCGACAAATTAAAGTACTTATTTAAATCCTCTACATGCTTTGTAAAACTTCGCTTCGTCAACATAAAAAGTTTGTGATGATCTTTTGCATGATGTAACAATATTCTGTACCTAATTATATGCCATAAAGCGTCTAAACACGGCCCTAAAATCTTTTGAATATAGTAGAGTAGAAGTGGGGAACTAGCCTTGTTCCAAGCTTATCATGTTATAATATACAAGGCGTTCCTGTATAGGAAAATCGGCAAAGAATAATAATATTTTACTTTTCTATCTTTATCAGTAACTATTGACCTCGGATCTGCAGAAGAGGGCGTAACGGACTGTATGTTTGGGGTGGCCTCAATGAAATCGTTTGTCTTTTAAATTAAAGCCTTCTTTATCGACTCGCTCAACGATGGTTCAGTGGTCTAGCCACGATCCACTCCTTCAACCACTCTATAAGTCTTCCGGGCGTTTGGAGTGCCATCTGCACTACAGTCCGGTGAAGCTGGAAATACCATCTACGACTAACAGCATTTTGAGTAGTCCGATAAAAAAAGGAAATCTCCATTATTTTGAATGTAAAGCAGACACGACTAACAATGTATTAATAGGATTATGGTGGTCAGCACCCTGCTATCTCTCGAGGTTGTCCTGTACAAAATGGCAGAACAAATCAATAATGTGATGATACAAAAAGGGATGACACTGACTTTCTCACATTACGTTCTAGTTCTAGAAACAATAATAATACCCATGTCAAAATAAATAATAAATTATCTATTGAATATCTGAAGTACAAAAGATGAAAATGAAAATATATTAAAAGCAACCATATACTAAATGGACTTATTGGAATGCTCGTCTCCTTAGGAAATAATAGCAGGTTCACTGACGTCCTTAGTTATTAAGAACATATTAATAAAAAGTATTAAAAGTGACTAAATAATTTATTAGAATATTTAAATTCAGTATAAAAGTACTTATAATAAAAACTTTTGCTTATGAGAAATGTTATACATACATTTTTACTAACCAAAACTTTTTTTATTTACTGACAATTATATTGATATTTGCTTACTTAACAACACGTGGTTAAGAGAGAATTTGCCACTTTAATATGCCTGTTTATAACTTCATAAGTCAAAATGGTATAAGTGGACATAGAGGTAGGTATATTAATAAAATACAGTAATTCCATGACTACAGTGAGCTATAGGTAATATTAATAATCCTCACATAGTGTAAAACGAAGTCGCTTCTGATGTGTTTCAAAGATTTTTTTAGCAATAGATACATAGTCTGTTAAAGATACGAGGAATGTTTACATGTATGATACATGTACATGGGGCGGCTATCTATTAGTTAATAAACTCAAACAAATAAAACAAAGACTACCAAAATCTTTAATGGTCATTTAAATGCACATCATGTAGGTTTTGGCTGTAACAATACTATTGAATGCTCTTGAATTTGATTTATGCCACAGGTTTTCCGACTATTTTTGGTATATCTACTTATCAAGTGTCTGCAATAGATATTTCTGCTATCAGCGAATGAATGGAGAATTCATATCCATTGGGCAGTTACAATTATGTTACTATTGTTGATATCCAAACTTATACAGAAAAATATAGGACTGCTCATAGAACAGTTCATTCTAAAGCATGGTTGATTTCCATTTATTGATTGGTTCTCGTTTCTTTCTGAATCTGAAAAGACATTTAATAGTATTCATTTAGATCTAGACCACCGAGAGCGATTTTATTTACATGTAAACGCTAAAGAATATTCCTTGATAGTTTCAATTTGCTATAGCATTGTCAACATATACCACAAACATGAAAACACCAACTTTTTCTCAACGCATGTATTGGTAATGATTAATTAATAGACAGAGCAGAAGGTGAAGCGAATATTTATTTTTCAAGGAATATTTGATTGCGCGTGTTCGTCAGCGAGGACGGTGTCGTGTATTTGTATTATAATTTGTTACGGATGGAACTGGTGGACCCGTAGAGACGTTTGCTGCCGTTATGACTTTATGACCTCGACGGGATCAATAAGAACGTGCTCCGGGTGTTGTCGCGTAGGATAGTCGACCATATACGTGGTAGACTAATTGAGTTCGTTGAACGCCCCAAGCGCAACGAACTTATTTTAAAGGATTTTAAATTGCTGAATTTGACAGGGAGCAAGCCGTTGTGCCAAAGCTTTGGCGGCGAATTGCCAGTTGCGGTGAATGTGTTTACACG